TCTACATGCCATCACTCGACATGCCTCTCTTTCCGCTTCTCATCCTTTTCTTTTTGTTTCATTCATTATCAATCATTATTATACTCTCATCTCCTCTAATCTCTCGCTAAATCGTATCATACCCATCATTAACTTATCTCTCCTTTAATTATGCTTATTAGTTAATCTTTATGTCCCTACCTAATTGATAAAATTCGAAAGCCTGTCTTTCTCTCTTTTTTTCCTTTTCTCCGGTAATTGCCATTAAAAAAACACTCTTACTGTTGTCTTTAGACAGTCTACTCTGCGTAATAGCTAATATATCCTCTAATAATCATTTTTTTATTATTATTTTGGTTATACTTGTGGGGTTAGATTTTTTTATTATATATTTACTGTGTATATAATCATTTAATTTGTGGTTATAAATATGAATGTTTGTTTTTATTTTAATATGAGATATACTTTCTCATATTTAAATGCAAAAATGAACAGAATATGAAAAATCCTCTTTTTTTTTTTTATTTTGAAAAATTCTTACGTATGATATGCTCTTGTACTTGTTATCGTATATCTACAGTATTTGTTAAATGAAACAATTTGTGTTTTTATTTAAGTTTTATAGAATTTAGGGGTGAGACAACGATATGACAGGTCCTTGATCTTAAATTTTCTGTTTATTCACCGACCAAAGTGTCGCCGTTTAGAGCTTCATCTATCTAATTGAACGAGAACTATGATGCTACATTTATTGTTCTTGTATTCTTGTCTGTTTTATGCTTTAATCCCAAATTTAAAAAACGTATACACATATATAAAAATGTGATCTACGTACGAACATATCTTGAATTAAAGTATAGGAAAACTGTTGACAAGTAATATATAATCTTGGTTGCTATTGCCTCAAAATCTTCAAGTTCGATATATACACACCACCTTTTTTTTGTCTAGTTCCATTTTGTCTGTCATAATATTTTTTTTTTTGTCCAGATAAGTATTATAGTGGCAATGTGGCATAAACCACCTTTTCAATTAATAAACAATACATTCTAAAAGTAAATATGAATCTCAAGTTTTATGGTATATTAAAAAAGATCCATTATTCTAAAACAAATTATCTGGCCATCGGAAAATTTTAATAAATGGATTGCACGTTAACCCGCCGGTCCTATAGATCATGCATGGATGGCTATATATTGCAGCTAAATATATTCAGTTTGGTTTCTAATACATTAAAATCAATATAAAAAAATAAATTAACTATTACAAATATGAAAACACTCAAATATATTATTATCATATCAGTTTTAAATGCTGTTCTTCAGCTCGAATTAGTTTGCCTTTTTTTGTTTATGTTTGGTTTCATATGCGGGCAACAACAAAAAATCGAAACGTTTGTTTTGGCAGGATTGAATCATCTGTAGGCGGCTAGGCGCCACTGCACCATATATACACTGTTCATTTTTAAGAATCTTAAAAATTAATCGTGATTTTACCTATTTCTAAAATAATTGTATTTGGATAACTCGATCAGTTTGATGATCTGGTTTTGAAATGCCTAGACATAACTTGAGGTCGGCAGAGAACTAATGTTAATGGATTAGATCATAGATTGTTGATGAATACGGACCACTAAGGTCCCAGTCACCAGGTATCCTGTCTTTCCTATTTTCGTCGGATTCTTGTTTTTACTTTTTCTTACATATATATATAACATAGATATATATATAAACATATATATATATATATATTGGATAACATTTGTCATTCAAAGTTATCATATCTACAAGTCTACAACTTCAATTTTATTTTGTTAATACTGTATGCACCTACCAATTTAACATTTAAAATAAATATATTTGATCATACTGTTTTTTGACAGAAATTTAGATCATAAAGAAATTTTGTTTTAGAAATTTTTATCATAAAATTAGTCAGTTTAAAGAATTTCGTAGTTTGTTTTACTGGTTAGGTTTCTCTTTAAAACCAATGTTTGGGGCAAGAAAATATAGATTCCGTCATATGAGAGATTCATCGGACGGCAATATGTGTAAAAAGAAAGACACGTGTCAGCATCCAGCACATAAAAGAATTTCGGGCCCACCTGTTAGCGTGCGGGAAGCGAGAATTAATTAACCTCTTTTTATTCCCCCTTCCACTCATGTTCAATCAAAAGCCACTCTTCATCTCATGGCATGTGTCTTAATTTTAGTTAGATAATATAATCCTGATATTTAAATAAGAAAAGCTTCTACCTTTTTCCCTCTTTACAAATTTTTGTTTCTAAAATCACAAATTTAGTTGTTTTTCATCCCAAACCCAATATATCAAACTCAAATATTATTGGATTTTTTTTTCAATCAAGAAATTTTTTATCAAAGAATTATAAATCATTGTAATATTAAGTATATATTATTATTAGAGATTCAAACTAGTTGTGCTAAATTTCGAACGAAAACTTACAAAGATGCTATTTTAAAATATTGCCCCATTTCCTTTTGTAACCAGGGTTTTACTTTACTAGCCAAAATCCAAATTTCTTAAAACAAGCTTTGTACATGAGGCCATGAGCGTCGTTTAATCCTCAAGCCCAATGTATTACAGGCCTATAGTGATATTTGACAATTTTGATCCACTTGATGATGTTTATTTCTAAGTTACTTTTTCTTGGTCTTTTTTCTTTTGGTCGTCTTTCTTAGTCTAGTATGCATTCGTAAGCAAAATTTATCATCATACATACAAGCAGCCTGCTGCATGTAGTAATACGATATAACGTGCATATTATACTGGATTTTAGTTTCTTTTGGCTAGTACGTAGAAGCTTTTACAAAAACACGAAAACATCAATTACAGTATTTTGTGTTTTGTCAGAACTAATTAATTAATTTAAGGTGATTTTTTTTATATCTCTTCTAAACCTTTAGATTGAAACGCTAATACTGTAATCTGAATACATACATCTTTCTTTTCGATAATCTGATTCTGTAGTCTTATTTCACCCCGTTTTTCTTTTCTCTAGATTTATATGTTTTCCAAATTTTATAGATTTTTCTATTCGGATCCACATACATTAATCTATTCAGATATGATATAGAGCTTGGAACTACCAGAAAAGTACTTGAAAATATTCTAACAAGTCATATAGGAAACGAGCACATCTATCATATTACTTGTCATACGAATATACATTGTTTTTAGAAATTGATATTGACAGGGATTTATAATTTATTAATTAATGGAAGAAAAATACACTTAAGGAGAGCCTGGGCCTAGTCTAACATGGATTTCAACATGAGTGGAATGCACGTTGCTGGGTGATGCTAAGAGTGCTATCATATCAACTTCGATATCTCTTAATTTATTGTCCTTCCATATAAACTCTTTTTAATTGATGTATATTTATGCAATTTGTGACTATTACGATGCATGTTGTTAAATTTTTCTGTTCATTCACCAAATATAAACGATTTGCAATTATATGCCATAATTGAATCTCTATTTCTTTTGCAAATTCTCACAAAATATTCTAAAAACAAGTTTTCCCCACTATATATTATCATAAAATGATTAAAATTTCTACAAGATATGTATTTTATAATTTTAAATAGCGATCCTTATTTATATGTTTCCATAATGTCATGGGTTAGTCTAAGATTTGGTTCTTCATAGTTTTAACAATATAAATGGTCAAAGCATTCTAAATTGAAATTAATAGAATCTAATTGTATACATATATATATATACATATATATATATACATATATATATATATAAAAACAGTGGTGAATTATAATGTTTAACCATATAGCACTTAACCTGAATAGAATCCTAAACTCTTAAATTCATATAATTCTTAGCATAAACAATCTCATCCAGAACAGGATTTTGTCTATAAACTACTTAACAAAACCTTTCGGTTGTTTGCAACTTTGGTTTACACACACGCAAAGCTTTGTAAGTATTAGTATTAAGTTGTTCAATGAATTTTACATTTCATCAAAGAAATAAAGAAGAAGAAGAAGACCAATTAAACCAATCGAGCGAATCTCTAAAGAAACTACAAACAGTACAATGGCCCCTAAAAGCCCATAAAACATCATTAAGGGTGAGCAACAAAGGAGAGAGAGAGAGAGATTCTAGAAGAGAAGGTACTCAAAACTTAGGACGTACAACATGGGCTATGTACTGCTTTGCGACAAAGCGTAGCATTTAGGTTTAATAGTCACTAAACAAAAACCAGAAGTTTCTGTTCCTTCAAGCCCTTTATATATATATATATATACATCTCCGGTCTCCTTTCATTACATTAGAACTCTTTGACCTCCTTCTTCTTCTTCTTCTCCTTTTGCCAGTTCATATTATTTTTGTATATTTTTTTTTATAAAAGAAATTACATATAACGTATAAGATAATTACGTATTCTTGTCTCCCACTCTCTTCCTTCTCCCCTAATATTTCAATAAGAAAATAATTAAAGTACGGGCAAACATAAGTTATTATGTCTTAAAGTTTCGACGTGGCGTAATCTCCTGAGTTTCTGCCAGCGTATCAGACAACAATTCTTTCCTTTCTCCCCATATTCTATTAAGGTACTACCCACAATTGTCACTAATACCGATTATATCAATGTAATTGGTATTATGCAATAATTACTTTATATGATTACTGATTGATTAGTGGTAATATACATTATTATTATAGTTAATTCTGGATCGATGGTCTTTTCTTACATTATTATTTTGTTGGCGGCGAAACTCTCAACTAAGATATTGTGAATTAACCACATACGTTAGACCATAACCCAATATATATTTGAATAAATATCCCCACCCATTTTTTCTAATTTTGTGGTAAAATAACACCAACATTCAACAACAACTAATCTTTATATCTTTCGTAAAGAATAATATTGATATTTAGTAGAGGTGATTAGTTTAAGTAGATAGGAAAAAAGAATACCCACACATTAATAAAGTTAATTAAATCAAAAATCAAGAAGAAGAAGAAGAAGAAGAAGAAAGGCAACAACTGTAAAACACGACTTAGCCACAAAAACTGAGCGTTGAAAATTGTGTGTAAGTGTTTGTATCGATCGGTTGAGAAGTGCCTCTCTTGTTTTCGGATTCTTTCTCTCTCTTTCTCTTTCTTTATTCTTTTTTTTTTTCACTTTCTTCTTCCTTTTGTTTTTTTCTCACCTTCTCTTCTCTTCTTTCATGGCGATCGGTGAAAATCCAGATATTTGATTTAACTTTAAACTCTGTATAATCTATATGTGTATTAGTGTGTAGGTGGTTAAATAATCTTCCTCATGAAGTTATCGCCTCTGAGTTTCTCATCGCGATCGAGTTTCAGTCACGCCGATGGAATCGACGACGGCGTGGAGTTAAGACCATCTCCAGTCGCCGGCGGCGCAATGCTGCCGGTTTTTCTCAACGATTTGAGTCGTAATGAAGACTCCGGAAGCGGAAGCAGCTGGGATAGAGAGCTCGTGGAGGTGACTCTGGAGCTCGACGGCGACGACTCCATTGTCGTCTGCGAAATGTCAGAAGCGGCGGCGGAGGCGGCGGCGTCTGTTGATTCTCGGCCGAGATCGGTGGACGTGGCGGGAAGATTAACGAGGAGTCTATCGACGGCGTCTTCGAGGATCCGGCAGAAACTGGGGAGGCTATTGAGGTCGGATTCGACGAGAACGACGACTTCTTCAATCGCCGGCGAGAGAGATGTCGAGCGACAGGCGGCGGAGACGCCGATTATGACGGCGAGGGATAAACGGAAGGAGAACGCGAAATTGCAGCGATCGACGTCGAGCGCACAGAGAGCGCTAAAGGGGTTACAGTTCATTAACAAGACCACGAAGGGAAACAGCTGCGATTGCGATTGGGATTGCGATTGCGATCAGATGTGGAAGAAAGTCGAGAAGAGATTCGAATCGCTCTCTAATGAAGGATTGCTCGCGCGAGAGGATTTTGGAGAGTGCGTTGGTAAGTAATAGATAAACCCAAGTTAAATAAATATCTATGTAACTTTTGATTCTCATTAAAAAAAAAAAAAATGTGTGGAAAATTAGGGATGAAGGATTCGAAGGAATTCGCGGTGAGTGTATTCGACGCGTTGGCAAGAAGAAGAAGGCAGAAACTGGAGAAGGTGACGAAAGATGAGCTTCACGATTTCTGGTTACAGATTTCTGATCAAAGCTTCGACGCGCGTCTTCAAATTTTCTTCGATATGTACGTTTCCTCTCTTTCTCTTTTCTTCTTTGGTTTGTCTTTACGTTTATAACTGTTACGGGAATAACGCATTTCAATTTGCAAAAGCATTAGAAAACAAATGTGTTCATCCAAATTGCCACGACTAAATTATTAGTTGACGACAATAATGATTTTGTAGTTTGCTTATCTATCTTTTAGTATTACGATTTCTGAATAATGCAGATGGAACTCTGATCAACTTGCGTTTTTTTCTATTGTCTGTTTGTGGTACTTCATGAAGTTTAGGTGATTATATCACATACTGAGTAATTTTTGTTAATTATAGAAAACAAATTAGCTCACCAGTCACTCGTTGATTGGAAATTGTTATCTCCCTTTACTGAGACTACCGCAACTTGAGAGTTAACTTTTCTACAATTTTGGGAATTATTAAAATGTGTTAGTCATGTTGAAATGAATTTATGAGGCAAATGCAACCGAATTGTTTTTACTTTTGTTTAGATACATCATCTAAATCATGTGGTGTTCATAGCCGTTGGATCTGGTAGTTCAAAAAAACTACCTAGTGAGTTTGATTATTGGGCCGCGGTTTACTTGGCCCAGTAAAATAAAACTTGACCAAATTTTCAAAAAAGTTTCCTCTTTTCTGCTTTCTTCCCGCAATTAGTTTCTTGCAAGTCAGATAAAGAGGCCATGACTCTTAAATCCACCAAATGATTTTGCGAAATTTTTTTTTTAAAAACCAAACACTTATTATCTATGTTCGCTTCATTCCATTATTCTGTCATTTTTACGACAATAATAATTAAAATTTTGTTAGTTAATGATTCTATTATTGTGTTAATTTTGAAGGTTTTGATTTTAAAAAAAGATTCTAACTGATACATGTTTTGTTACAGGGCTGATAGCAACGAAGACGGGAAGATTACTAGAGAAGAAATCAAAGAAGTATTTTTTTCTTCTTCTTGACATTACGTACAAATTACGTTTAAAACTATCAAACGATCCTAAGTAACGTTTTACATCTATTGAAACGCAGCTTTTAATGTTAAGCGCATCAGCAAACAAGTTAGCAAAACTCAAGGAACAAGCAGAAGAGTACGCATCTCTGATCATGGAAGAACTTGATCCAGAGAATTTTGGATACATTGAGGTTACACAAGAAACAAAAAAGAAACATATTAATATATTCCTATTCTTCAAACACATTGCCAACGATTTTCTAATTTATAAAAAAAACTTTTGTGTTGTTTCAGTTATGGCAACTCGAGACACTCTTACTTCAGAGAGACGCATACATGAATTACAGTAGACCGCTTAGCACAACAAGCGTTGGAATGAGCACACCAAGACGGAATCTAACTAAACCTCGTCATGTGGTTCGAAAATGTAGACAAACACTTCAGTGTCTGGTTTTAGATAACTGGCAAAGAAGCTGGGTTCTGTTACTGTGGTTCATTCTTATGGCTATTCTCTTCGTGTGGAAGTTCTTACAGTACAGAGACAAAGCTGCTTTCAAGGTCATGGGTTATTGTGTAACCACTGCCAAAGGAGCTGCAGAGACTCTCAAGCTCAATATGGCTCTGGTTCTGTTACCTGTGTGTAGAAACACATTGACCTGGCTGAGATCTACACGTGCTCGAGCTTTTGTTCCTTTTGATGATAACATCAATTTCCATAAGGTAAAACACAATAAAACCTTCCATCACTCTTTCTATTTTTCATTCTTCATAGGTCAAAAACTTGAGATCAAGAATCTTTGCCTCTCTGTTGTCCCCGGTGTGTTTGCAGATTATTGCTTGTGCCATAGTGATTGGGATACTTGTTCATGCTGGCACTCATTTGGCGTGTGATTTTCCCCGAATCATAAACTCGAGTCCAGAAGAATTCGCCTTGATCGCTTCTTCCTTTAATGGTACTAAGCCTACTTTCAAAGACTTGATGACTGGTGCGGAAGGGATCACCGGAATCTCGATGGTGATCTTGACAACCATCGCGTTCACATTAGCATCAACACATTTCAGGAGAAACCGTGTGAAGCTACCGGCACCACTTGATCGGTTGACTGGCTTTAACGCATTCTGGTACACTCATCACCTTCTAGTGGTTGTCTACATTATGCTCATTGTGCACGGGACCTTCCTCTTCTTCGCTGACAAGTGGTATCAGAAAACTGTAAGCCGAACCTAATCTTACTTTGGTTTTAAACCGTAACTTCAAAATGTCTTCAAACCTAAATTGTATTGCTTCTTGAACCTCTCAGACTTGGATGTACATCTCGGTTCCTCTGGTGCTCTATGTGGCAGAACGAAGTCTACGAGCTTGTAGGTCCAAGTATTACTCTGTCAAAATCCTCAAGGCAACCACCGTTCACTGAGCAAATTACTTCCTGCTAAAAAGTGTTTGAATAACATATAATTCCAACCTCGATCTCTGCAGGTTTCCATGCTACCTGGGGAAGTACTCAGCTTAATCATGTCAAAGCCTCCAGGATTTAAGTACAAAAGCGGTCAATACATATTCTTGCAGTGTCCAACAATCTCTCGATTTGAATGGTGAGTAGAGATGCCAAATTCACCATAAATGTTAGCAAACATCTCGAGTTTCACACGTAAGGATGTCCCCTAAACCTTTCCAGGCACCCATTTTCTATTACCTCTGCGCCAGGAGATGACCAACTTAGCGTTCACATCCGAACACTCGGAGACTGGACAGAGGAGCTACAACGAGTTCTAACAATGGGCAAAGATCTTTCAACATGCGTGATTGGGCGATCAAAATTCTCTGCCTATTGCAATAGTGATCCATCAGAGTAAATTCCAAGACACTTTCTTTGCTTCCTCCTATCTACATTGAGATACCTAGTACTAACATGCCTTGTTGGTCGTGCATTGGCAGACGACCGAAATTACTAGTAGACGGTCCATATGGAGCTCCAGCACAGGACTACAGAAGTTATGATGTCTTACTCCTCATTGGATTGGGAATAGGAGCTACTCCTTTCATAAGCATCCTGAAGGATCTCCTGAACAATTCAAGAGAAGAACATACAGTAAGTCCGATTCAGTGGACCAGAAAATATGAGTATTTTCAGGAACCTTGCACCAAGTACATAATAACTCTTAACTTCTTATGGCGCAGGACAATGAGTTCAGCAGATCAGATTTCAGCTGGAATAGCTTCACATCTTCATATACCACAACAACTCCAACTTCAACACAAGGAGGGAAAAAGAAAGCAGTGAAGGCTCACTTCTACTGGGTCACAAGGGAGCCAGGATCCGTCGAATGGTTTAGAGGAGTAATGGAGGAAATATCAGACATGGACTGCAGAGTAATAAACACCAACATATCTTCTATTTGTATCACCACATAACCTGTTTGGTCGAGATACCAACACAATCCTTCATCTTATCGTTAAACAGGGCCAGATTGAGTTGCACAACTACCTTACGAGCGTATATGACGAAGGCGATGCAAGATCAACCCTGATAAAAATGGTCCAGGCTTTGAACCATGCCAAAAATGGAGTTGATATTCTATCCGGAACACGGGTAAGAATTGTTGCAGGGCATAATAATCAGTAAGAAAAAAGTTTTTCCCAGTATTACCTACAGCTACTAAGATAACATCATTCGAACAGGTGAGAACACATTTTGCAAGGCCCAACTGGAAGGAAGTATTCAGTAGCATAGCAAGAAAGCATCCAAATTCAACAGTCGGTAAATATTCTATACAATCAGCTGTGTAGCAATAAGTAACACTAGGCAAACACAAGAACCTGTTTGCTTATATCTAGGCCAAGCATTACGAAGCATATGCGTAAACAATCTATCGTATTGTGCAGGAGTGTTTTACTGCGGCATACCAACCGTGGCAAAGGAGTTGAAGAAGCAAGCACAAGAAATGAGTCAAAAAACAACCACACGGTTCGAGTTCCATAAAGAGAATTTCTAACTCGATTGGTACAAGTCAGCTTCTATCACTTTCCCTAAAGTGAGATTCAAATCACACCAACCGTTATTTTTCTCATGCTAACTTCACAGTCACTTAGCAAAAATAGATTATATACACTTTGTCACAAGGAAACATTGTCCTGCATGTTTGTATAGACCCGCCTAAAGGCATGAAAATAACAAATATAAGTTACTACTACATACGCGTCTTTCCAGAGGTGACTCAACCACTATTTCCATTACGAGAAGCTACAAGTCACAGAGGAAGCAGATTAAACAACAAAGTGCCTTGAGCACAGTAATTTTGGTACTGAAACGCATTCAAGAAGGAGAAGAGACTAATGCATTTGTGCTATCTGTACCAAAATCGCAGAGAGAAACAAAACAGAGGTTAGAGTTTAATCATCCTTGATTCTTCTCAGCAATTTAGAAGCCCATCTTCGGACCCGTCTCTTGAGCGTATAACCCACAAACACTCCAGCGACGAAGAAAACAGCACATAGCTTTGAACACGTCCAGACCGATACTCCGCTGCCACCAAACATAGTCTCATCAGATATGTCAGATGGTAAAACTATAGTACAAAGCAAGTAAACTCAAACTAATAAAGAAGAACCCTAATCTCCTACTTGCTCGTCTATAATCGACCTGCAAAGTTCTATAAGCCTTAATAATGAATTTGACTAATTAAGGATTCAGCGAGCCATTACAAATTTCCAAGCTTTCTCTGATGTGGAACTTGAGCAGTCATCAAAGTCTCTAGATTTTGAGCTATAACAAAGAATCTTCCTTCTTTTCTTTGTGCTAATACTTTTATATGTATAATTTTCTCGAGCTGACCAAGTTCATGAATCACCAGCAAAATCCGGTGATTATTATCTCCAATCGAGAAAAAAAAGATGAGGAACAAGAGCAGACTACCTCGGAGGTCTGTTGACCAAAATTCCGGATCCTTCGTATGAAGTCAAGTTGGCGGTGCCTCGTTTCTCCGGCATTAGATTGTCCGCAAAATCAGATAGAGAAGAGGAAGAAGAAGAAGCTGCCGATTTCGCATCCTTGACAATCTTGCTGTAAAACTTCTCTAAACCCTCCATCGCTAGACGATTATTATCGAAATAATTAGGGTTTATAGGGTTCACTGCTTCCCTTTCCCAAGCTGAGTGATTTCCGGTGAGGAAAATCTATGGCTAAAGTGACTTGCCGTTGACAAAAAAAAAAAAAAAAAAAAAACTGAAAAGGATAAAATTGGAATTTCGATGTTTACTCGGAGTCGGAGGAGACAAGGGAGACCCACAATTTAAAAAATAAAAAAAGAACACAAGACATGAATTTGGTATGAAAATTATTTAATTTATTTTGCTTTTTATTTCTTTCAAAAAATAAAGCAAAATCTAATTTGCTAGTTGAGAAGAAACTGCTTTTGAGCAAGGTGTAAAAGAATAAGAATCAATACTAAAAGCGATATGACTTTATTTATATCACCATACTATTACAAGAGTATAAAAACATTAAACTCATGCACTCGAACATACGTCGATTATTCAGTGACTCAACCAACACAATTCAATGACTCACCCAACACAATTTTATAATTTTATTACACAGTATCCATCAAATGCAATAATTCGTTATATTTCTTTTGTTCAGTTAGTTTCTTCTTCATCGAGTCGATAATCTTGAGAACCATAAGGACTAAACGCTTCAAGGAGCATGTTGGATTTTCGGTGAGGATTGAGTCCCATATCATTACACAAATCATCGGCATGTTGGATGCTGAATGTAGAGATGCAATGACGTTTGTAGAATCTGCTCGATCTTCTCATCACTTCCATTTCCTTTGAGAATTGGTCCAACATTTCCTCTTTGCTCGGTAATTTGAATTTCTCATCCACGAGACGGCTAAGCCACAACGAACGTAGCTCTGATGTGTGTAGGTTCGAGTTGCTTTGAACGTATCCCACAAAACCCATGTTTGGTATCAAAGGATGGATCGTTCCCCTGAAATTTGATAATTAGTTTTTGTTATGATAAGCAACAGTCCAATATCAAATTAGTATTATAAGAATGTAATTAGCTTGAACTAGCTAGTGTTCTAATGAATTAGAGACTTATTAATCAAAATATCAGTTAACTTTTCATATTAAATTTGCACAGGATTTTCTAATAGTCTAAAGGTAACATAATGAGTGTATATATAAGTTACCTGTATAAAGGCATGACGCCGCATGGAAACTCAAGCCAAGTTCGAAAAGGTTCAGGAACAATGGCTTTGAGCTTCTTCTTTCCATCATAACCAGTCGCGAGTATCACAAGATCAGCTTCTAGCTTAGTCCCATCCTCAAACTCAATCCCTTGATCATAAAAGCACCATTTTGATGTTTTCTTGAACCGGATCATCCCTTTATCCGCTTCCTCAAAGAAATTCTCCGGTATGATTGCCATTTGACAAGAAGCATAGTCTTCTTCAAAGGTATGGTCCGGTTTCAGACCATATTTCTCTAGAGGAAGTTTCCACAAAACATATGACTCGATGAATTTGGAAACCGCGGCACGCTGTATTGTCATATATATATATATATGTTTAGAAAAACTTGGAAAATCCACACGATATATTGAGCAATTTATTTTATAAGGACAAAAATCAAGGGGTTTCATTAAGATCACTAACCAGAAGAGAGAAGATGAGGCAAAAGAGAGTTCTAAGGAAGCTTTGGTTAGGCCTATCATGGAGGAATTGAGAAGCTCTGGTTGAGTAGAACAAGAAGAATGGCAAGCCCCACACCCAATAATGCGGAAACACCCAGTGTGTTGTTCTCACCACCATTGTGCATGCTTGTCCTCCTTCTCCTGCAAAATTTACTTATCTTATTTAGACTTAGTGGAATCAGATTTTTTAAAACTTTACAAGATGATCGAAAATTGGTCACATTGGAATATTTAATCTGTCGGTTTACCAAACTTGAGCAACTTTTACATTTGTGATGTGTCAATCAGAATAACGTTGCAAATCCAACCGAAATTTGTATACATATATTATAATAATACGATTATCAATTGCATATATATATATGAAAGTATATATTAATTGCAAGATTACGTATGTACCTTGATTGGCTAAAGCAGACTCTAAAGCCAAATCAATGGCGGATTTCTTGAAGCCAATGACAGCGACTTTCTTGCCACGGAGGAGATGAGAAGCTTCTTCTTTCTCTAATTTGCAGTAATCCATCGAATGCATCACTTTCCCTTTGAATGTCTCAGGTCCTTTATTTGCCGGAAACGTCGGTATTCTTGGTACGTCGCCGTATTTCCCGGTGCACACTACCACGAACTCAAATGCATGCCACTGCACACACATTTTACACCCACACATGCATTAATAACAATAATATCATGCATTAATGATTCAAAAATAAACGTAAACAGCTTAAATGCACCAAAAAAAAAGATTATGTATACGTAAACTCCAGTTGGTGATGCATGCAGTAGTTTACAAAAGCTGTATATATAGATTAAAACTAAATTTACGTAGTAACAAACTAACAACAAAAACTCCAGTTCTTTAAAAAAAAAAACAAAAAACAAAAACTCCGTTTCATATACATATTCAAAAATGCATTTCCGCCACTACAAAATTTCACGGCTATTATAAATTCTAGAGAGATTAGCTTTTTGGTCACATATAATTCGAGAGATTTTGAGATACAAAATTCTCAAAGAAAAACTCGTACAAAAAAATATTTTGAAAACAAAAAAATTATATGAGAATATATGCAGAAGGATCTGCATGCAAAAATACATAAGCAAATACATGAGATGCAGAGATGTGAAAAGAATTAATTAAGACAAACCTGAATATCTCCAGCATCTGATCCGTTCTGAACAGCAACTTCCCAGACAGGTTTTCCGGGCAACAAGTTGCCGTAAGCACCGAGATCAACCATCTGCGGAATTTCGCCGTCACCGGTGTACCTAACTTCGATGACCTTAGAGCCAAACTTGATGAACTTGAAGAGATCAAAGTGCTTAGCATAAGATTCCAAGTAATCCAATATCTCAACGTAAGGTGGGAAGGTTGTGTCATCTCTGTTGGGCCATGGAAAGTCAGAGAACTCGTAATCGACTCGAGCCGATTGTAACTTTGTAGTCTCGTAAGTGCAACTCCTCCAAACACCTCCGACCGAGTCCGAGGCTTCGAACACCGTTGGGTTGTGTCGAGCTAAGTGCTTAGCGGCTGCTAAACCGCTAACACCAGCACCGATGATCGCTACTCTGGAAGAAGTAAGCTTATCGTAGTTAGAAGCCATTGGGTTAAGACTTAAGAGAGAGCGAGAGAGAGAAATGGTTTTGATGAAGAGTGTTTTGAGTTGTTTGTGAATTTGCATGAGCGATGTATATATATTTATAAGGGTTTTTTTTGGGTCGGGTCACGTCTTATGTACTCGGGTGGGTATGAATTTTATTTGGGAGCACCGAGCACGTGGTTTTGAATATTGGTTTAGTTTGGAGGAGGAGGTTTGAAAGATCTAAGTGAACGTTGCTTCCATCTTTGAGAAATTTGGTGGTTATTGTGTAGCAATTTCTGCAAGCGTGCGTTGTGAGATCAATATTCGAATTTGTTCTTGTTAAATTTCTAAGTACTTTCAAGAAGTCTAATGGAATATTTCTGTTTTTTTTTTTTTGTTTACTTTGCTTTTTCTTCTTAATTTTGATTAAGAAATGTTTAGCCTATGGGTCGATACTAACTCTATTATATAAAACTAATTATAGACAAAAACTCGTTTCCGTTCTAATTACGATCTCAAAATCTCGTCTCATGTATTATATATGAATTTATGATCAATGTATACAAAACCTTACGATCCCTTGTTAGAGGGGAAAAAAAGAAGCGAAGCAACCAAATGGACATCAATGAATTAAAAACTTAATTAGTCTAACTGTTCCAATAAAAAACAGAATTTTAAGCTGTAATTATTAACGAGAAAAACGGAAATACTACTTACAAATCAATCATTTATATATAGTCTTTGGTGGATAGACTTTCAAAATTTATTTTAATCATGTATTGGTCTATTCTTTAATACGTTATTTCTGTCTGGTTCTTGAATTGTGACTACTATTATTATATTTTTTCTCTACTAAAACTAGACTAAATCTTTATTCCTAAAATTCAATTTAAATAATAATCATGTTCTTAACTCTTAAGTACGTGTCCGCGCAAGTTTTGAATTTTAAAATATTAGACAAAAAGTCTAGCCTTATAGTTTATATTTGACACTCGGACATATTATAAATTATATAACCACATTTCGATTGTATACATTTTGACTGAAATCTCACAATACTTGGTCATCAAACTTAAATAAATGCTAAGAAGTCACTGTTCTCTCAAATTAATAGAATTTCTTTTAAAAAATTTGTTTGTTTTGACTTCGATCAGAATTTCTTGAAGTTGTATGTTTATTATACACACATATACACAAACAAACACAAGTCTGCTAAAATAAGACTAGTCACTTTTTGGATTGACCATTCTTCTCTATGTCATCAGCGATGTCTTTAATACTACTGGAATTCATTTATATCGCACGAACGAAGAAAAAAAAGTCATTTACCCGTACCGTACATATCTATAAAAATATTCAGTTATACTCAATTTCATGTCATAATCATCCCTAATCAATTAGTTAATGGAGTAATGTTTAGAAATTAAGCATACCGTATACATATTAGTTGAGACGAATGTGGAGAATCTTCAAGTCAAACGTAATAGGCAAAGCACACAAAACTATTTAGCTAAGTGACTAAGTCACAAGAATACTTCATTTAACTTGGAAGATGGTCAATTGTTCAGTGGATATATTTATAATTTGATTTCCCTAAACAAATTAAATTAGTCTCGAAATCTACAATTATTCACATTAATATTTTTTAATACAATCATTTGGTTGATTAACCGATCGAGTCAAGTTACCCAAGGCACTTGAAAAAAAAACAGAGAGTACTATCCAATAACGTTGAGCAAAAGGTACTTTATAGAATACTTATATGGTCATACAAATACGATATACTAGTAAATGGAAAAGAAGAGGAAGCAACAAGGAAAATGAGGAATTTTTGTTCAAAACAAAATGAAGATGAGTTTGAAGGATACTCAATTAGAGGAAAGAAGGTTAGGAATATGGTTCGAGAAAATTATAAGAGAGTTAATAGTGAATACAATGTGCCATTTTGATTGTTTGGTACAAATCAACTTTCTTACGATTGATATTTCGTAATCTTTTTTCTCGTCTTTGTGACTGCATATACCTTAGTTTTGTGGTCCTATGTTTTTCTCTTGTCCCTCCATACATTAATGGTGAGAAAAAGTAATAGCGATGTATATAAGGTATATATTTTTTTTTACGACTATATAAGCCATATATATAATTTGTTAATATTTTTTTCCCACCATTTATTACCTTTTCAGGGTTAAAGATTTTTAATTAGAAAATATGACAAAGTCAAGATAAGTTAAATATATATCCTGTTTAACGATTTTTTAGTTCTCATAATTTAACAAGTGGTATGAGTTTATTTTATCCTGTTTAATGATTTTTTAGTTCTCATAATTTAACAAATGGTATGAATTTATTTAGATTTTGAAATTTTTACGCGGGTGTCTCTGTCTACATGGGCATATTGGGTTGTTGATATATACATATAAACAATAGACGAGCGTACGTTGATAATATTATACATTTTTTATAAAGAAAATCGTTAATCTTTTTTTTTTTTAATTGTGTGTTGTTATTATAATCAAGTATCAACACTCAACAGTAAACACTTGAATACATAATAACTCTAATTTTTAAATACCTAAAATAAAAAAAAATTATAAACATTCACGATAAGCATCCAATGTGGTTTAAAAACTATATATAGAGTATACGAATTAAGATCATTGATAACCACTGTATTTCTATTTTCGATCGGATTAATAAATAAAAAGACCTTATCTAAAGTACTTGAATCTTGATAATGATACATGAGAGTCTATATTCAAGGTTATTTCTAAAGTTAGGTGTGTTGGGTAGGGACTTCGGATAAAAGCTATGTGCATAAAGTAGCATGCAGAGCATATACCAATATACCACCATACTCTCAACTTGAGTCTCAAGTGCCATCGAATTTCCCAGAGTGAAGTCTGCATCATCAAATAGATAAGTGAGGTAGAAGATAGAGTTATATCATCAGTAAGAAAAGATAGCCAAGACTACCTAAAAAGGGATAAATTTCCAAAATGTAAAGAAGTAGAATATATGGTAGCCATTAAAACTAAATATTGATGGAACAAATATAAGTCGAACATAATTGAATAAAATAAAGAAGATAAAAGAACAAATTCATCTCTTTAATTTCCTACTTTACATAGGAATATTTTTTTCTCAAATTGTTCATATTTTTTTTCATTTTTTCAATAAATGAGTTGGATTAATCTTTTTACATTTCAGTTTTGATGGAAAACAATTCAAAGAATGGTTAGTTCCACAAACTTATTATTTAATATATATAGTAAGAGTCTAGAAAATGCTTAACTTTCACCAACTTGTATTCCTCTAAAATATACAACAATTTTCACCCAAACATAGTTGACAAGTTACATATATAAAACTAAAAGATTGTATCCACAGAGATTGTATCCCAAATAAAACTAGTATTGTTCGATTAGGTTCGGTTAGGGCAAATTTCGGTTCGGTTAAAGGGTTGTTACTGTTACCGAAATAGATCGAAATTTGTTGTTAATCGGTTCTCTGACTTTGATGGAACCCAGCTAAAATAAATTAGAAACCCAGCTAACAAAACGCAAAACTCCTAATTCTTTAAACCTTCAATTAAAAAAAAAAAAGGTTTGGGCATATGCTACAGTGACAAAAGACAATGAAAAGTGAAAACAACGACGGCTCAACATGGAGGTGACACATGAAATCAGACGGTAAAAAAGGTCTAGACGGTGAAGACGATCGACGACTGAGAGGACATTTAAAGAGGAAGTCGAAGGACATTTAAATCGGCATAATGGTCCAAATAATAATGGGCCTAGAGAAGTTCGACATGTGGCCCATATCAAATATTCTCTGGGATCATCATACGAAAGTGGGTGGATTGCAACTTCATTGAACGATGATAAAAAGTTGAAGACAAAAACTAAAACCGAGGTGAGGTATTGGCTTAATTTGTTGAATGTTTGGTTACAGCTTTCTTAGAAAAAAAAAGGAAAAAAAAAGACGAGAAATGTAGCTCAAGATTTCAATATTAACAACCCAAAATGACGCATAATAGATATCATACATAAAGAACAGTCGATTGCTCATTACAAACCCAAACCCAGCACTTTCTTCTCCGGTCCCATACCATTCCTATTTTTTTTTTTTTGACTGTCTGAAGAAACTTTGCTTGAACTCTTTGTTGAAGTTAATCGCATCCTGAATCGTAACACGACCAAAAACATGGGAAGTTCTTGTACACACACTGCATCAAAACATGGCAGAAAACACTCAGTCATTTGCAATTACAAGTCAAGATATCGATGATGGTACAAAACAGCGTAAAAATCACCATTCCCAAGCTTTAGTTACCGGTCCCTATGATGGTTCAAGAAAAGTATGCTAGATTCAATTCTGGGTTGTCCAGCAAATAGTCAAGGAGTTATCTTATAAATATGTTAGCTAAGGAGCAAGCTGTACCACAAAATCTGAGGTTGCATCAACGATGGGCCAAGATATAGCATTCAAAAAGGAGACAAAATAAATGGAAGACTAGAAATTAAGATGTACCTTACAGCAAGTTACAAAGATGAAGTTGGAGTACACAGTTTTGGACTTTTCGCCTTTCATTTGTAAGGAGCGAAAATGATGCTAGAGTTCTGGCCACCAAACCCGAAAGAATTTGACAAGGCTGCTTTAATATCCAGTCTCTCTTTCTTAAGACCCACCAGCAGCTTTGTATTCTGATCCATTTCGTAATGAAGTTGTGTTTTATGTCAGAAACATTTATAGACTGTATGAAATGATTACTCAGCGATGTCAAACTAAAATTTATCAACATACCACGGCTTTGTCTGGATTCTCGAGGTTGATATTTGGATGAACCCATCCTGTCTTTATTGCCTGTAGGGTGACAAGGTCACATGACGTTAATGTTTTGTCACCTCAACTTGTTTATTAATCGATGGAAATTTGAATTTTCAGACTCTAGTTCCTCTCTTGTAGACTTAAAGTCATTGACCTGAACAGTTGCAACAGCCTCCACGGCCCCAGAAGCTCCCAGCAAGTGTCCAATCATAGATTTTGTCGAGTTTACCCTTAGCTGTCAGATTTTCAGAGAGCATGTCGAAAAATACAGACATCAGTTTATCTACAAGACAGGAAATGCGTCCAAATAATAAATTTCCTTGGAAATAAACAACTGGAACGAGAGAAACAAAGCTACCTCAGGATTTTGGCCAAAACAGTGAGCAAGAGCGTTGTATTCCTTAAGGTCTCCAGCTGGTGTAGAGGTAGCATGAGCATTTATGTAATTTATGTCTTCCTTAGAAATCCCGGCATTAGCTAACGCTTTCTCGATACAGAGAATAACACCAGCACCTGCGAATATTAACTATCTCCTTCAGTAATTAACTAAGGGGTTAAATGAATAAGAAACCACTGGAAAGTAAAGCACTGATATTCTCACGTGCAGATCCATAGATATTGCTATAAATTTATAGACAAGAAAAAAACAAGCAAAAGAAAAAAACAATTTACCATCAGGACGTGGTTCGGTTATATGGTATGCATCACATGTGAAACTACCACCAAGGAACTCTGCATAGATAGTTGCTCCTCTTTTCTTCAAAAGCAGAATTTAGCAATTAATATAAAAGCTTTAAAAAGATTTTCATTTGTGACAAGTAAGGAAAGAGCTGGACCATCAAACAATTATACAAAAGCCTTGAAGAACAGAGGTAACTTAAACTTTGAAAAAAAAAGAGGTGGCCAAAAAGCAATGGAGCAAAAACATAAAACACTTGAACAGCAAGATTCAGATCGGTAATCAGCAATGGTATAAAAGAGCTTCCGTTTCTGTATGCATATTTGAAATGAGTGACAAACCTTGGCATGCTCAAGTTCTTCTAAAAGCAGAACTCCAGCTCCCTCTCCCATAACGAAACCATCCCGATTCTGTCCAGCAAGTAAGACAGTGTTTAATAGATCTTTCAATATTATCCTACACGAGGGAGATGCAATGGATATTTATGCCTGCAAAAAATCATTATGATGCCAAGACAATCTTAACACCCATGTTTCCCAAAATGTTTTACAATGGGTATCATCAGGGGACCCTTTCATGTATATCCTTCCATCACATGCTTAAATCAGAAACGCCTTAGAGATCTCAGGGGAGTTCAAATGTGGTCAATGCCGAGGTCCCCATATTTTAAAATCCGTTTCAGTTATAAAGACTCAAAAGGAAAAATAAGAGAAGATTTGGACGACATGAAATAAAATGAAAACAGTACGGAAATGGTGGAAAATTACACTATCCCAAGGACGAGAAGCTTTGGTGGGATCGTCATTCTTTTCTGAAAGAGCCCGGCAAGCAACAAAACCTCCCAACCCTGCATTGGTACACATTAGATAAGATTTGTCTGGCACAAAGTTTGTGAACAAAGGGATTGCATGTAATCAGTACGCACCTATTGGAATGATGACTGAATCAGAGCCACCGCAGAGCATAACATCCTATAAGGAGAAGATACCCAAATGTCAAACAAAAGTAGAGTTAAGCAAAGTCTACCATATAAATTTTCCCCGTGGATCGAGGATACTTACAGCTTCACCTCTAATAATGTGGTTTGCCGCATTCAGAATACAGAAGTTGCCAGTGGCACATGCAGTTGAAATAGAGTAGTTTGGACCCATCCATCCCTAATGTATCATAAGAAAGAAAGGTCAAAACTTTGGTGGGCCATTGGTATTACGACATAATATCCAAAACTGATCAGACCAGATCCAAGGCAAGCATAGCGGAACCCATGTTTGTCGTCGCAAAAGGTACACAAAAAGGATTCATCTTCTTGTAAGAGATTTTCAAAGCTTCAAGCGCATCGTAAAAGACCTGTATCCACATATACAGATGATCAAAATAGAAGAACAGTCACCAATCAACAGAGATTCCGAACAACAACCATCTGTTTAAAATATTTTCAATATTTTCTTTATGTTCAAAAAAAAAGAAAATAAGAAGGTACCTTCATGCCTCCCATTGCTGAGCCAATCAAAACTCCACATCTTGATTTGTCTAACTCTGCCATCACATCCTCAGTTACCCCACCATCAACCAACGCCTTCTTGCCAGCAGTTAAAAGATAGAGCATGAATTTGTCCATCCTTTTCGAAAGTTTTGGAGCAACCAATCCTTCGGTAGAATAGGATTTAATCTCTCCAGCGATTCTCTTGGTAAAGGCAACACAAGAGGAATACACAATCAAAAAACAGCCTAGGAGAGAAAAGAAAAAAACTCCAGAGACTAAAGCTTGTAAGAGCTACTGATATAAATAACGCTTACTGTAGGAAATGCAGAACAGTCAAAATTCTCAATTTGGCTTATACCACTGATGCCTTGTAGCAGATTCTCATAAAAGGAATGTGGATCATGACCTAATGGTGTTTCAACTCCCATGCCTGTCACAACTACCCGGCGTGGCTCCGTCGGAAGTTTCTTGTTAACTATTGCTTCCTTCTCCATCTCTAAAGAGACTTGCCCTGAAAAAGCAGCCAAAATAAAAAACACTAAATTAGCTTAGCTTAAACTATATCTCAGTGGCATTGTAACAAGCAAAGTACTGGCAAGATCAACACTATCCACATGTAAAATTACTTCAAAGTCAAAGTAGAATCGAAGAAACTCCATATTATCAAACGACGAACACACTAAGCTCGTCGACTTGCAGAGATTGCCAAGAAATTAGGAATAATTAAAACCCAGATTGGAACCAATGAAAAATTAGATTGAATTGCTGTACCAGAGGTAGATGCTCGATTCAATCTCCTCTGCTTTCGATTCAAGTAAGTGTTATTCGATTCGAACAGGGAAGACAATGCATTGTTGTTAGGAGAACTGACAAGAGCTTGAACGCCGGAGGATCCATGGGCGGAGCAATTCTTAAGCAGTCTCCTCCGGCGAGCCGAGTGGCTGCTACTCCTACAGACGGATTGAGCCTCTCGCTCTCCGCCGCTGTGCATGCAAGCCGCCGCTAGCCAATCGCATAAAGGAGATGCGTGACATGAAGACGCACCCACCACCATAGCCAGCGAGCGATTTAGAGAGAATGGTGAAAATCGATTGAAGGGATTAAAAAAAAAACGAGAAATGTGTGAGGTAAGGGTGTGAGAATCTAGCAGAAAAAGATGGATTCTGGAGTGATGATTCTCGGATCTCTCTCTCTCTCTCTCTCTCTCGCACACACACACTCACTTCCTGGAGACGTGTGTGAGTGTTTGGATGCGTGAATCCGTGCGTGGAAACGCCAAGTCGTTTCTGTGAACAACTGCGCAAAGCAAAGCGAGAGAGTGAGTGAGAGAGAAAAATAAACTAATACCAAGCTAGATTTATATAATAAGATCCCCAAAATATTAACGACCAGAATCATTTATTTCAATTTCTTTGGAAAATCTGGCTTTTAGTATTTTTATTTATTTTATCCACACAACGTCAATAAATAAATTAATTATTATTACTTTTTGTATACTCAAAATTTGCAAAACTGAGTAGTAACAACATTTGTATTTTTGAGTTTTTTTTTAGAATACATCATGTTATTTTGGATGTGAAATCTATATTTTCCTAAATATTATAAGTTAGTGTGTCGTTTAAATATCTTAATACAATACTACATCTGTATAAAAAAGATATATAATTTGATCCGATTTTGTGTAAAATAAACCACCTCGGTTTAATCGAAGGAAGAGACAGTAAAGTCAATAATTTATTTAATAAAATACAATAAAGTCTTTAACCAACGATAAGAGAGAGACATTTACGTCAATTCTTTATTCAGTCAACTGTTGTCCAGTGATAGGGCAAGCGAGTGATTTTATTCTTTGTTCATACAGTTCTAAAAGAATTCTTATAAGTAAAAATAATACTATAAACAAGTGAAATAGAGAACTACTAAAGTTAGCTTGTCGGATCTAATAGTGAGATAGTGGTTTAGTATGCATTCATTTTAAATTGTTTGTTCATAACACTTATTTGAATAAAATTATTGTCAAGCTATTCAGCTGCGTTAGCTATATTCTACTATATTATCTGTTACCATTTGGCAGACTTAAATATTATGAATGTGCCGACAAAAATATATGTATATTATGGCGATGTAGACTCTTGGTTAAAATCTTTTAACAAAACAATAAAAACCTCTTGGTGATTCTAACAGATGCAATGTAAATATACAAAAATCAAGAAAACGAAGGAGGAAAAAGCATCAACCGGATTAGGCGCGTATGTATGGGCCAATAAAGCCCTAACTGGGAGGCTCTAAAAGCCCATTAAAAGCAAACTGTTTCGGTATATTATGTTCACCATAACTTCAGTCTTCCGCGAATGTTTTTTTCCGGCATCAGTCTCCCGCGAAAAGAATAACCGGGATGTTACGTATCTAATTATCGAGTAAATCTCATAGGACACGTATTCTTTTTATATATAGTAAACGGATTTCTCGATTAAACATATTGTTTCTTGCATTTGCATTGACACGTAGACGTAGTTTATACATTCATGTAATCTACGTAGCGGCTTTTGACGTGTGTGTATAGACCAAGCTAAATGCAAATATGCAATACAGCAATATGGACATGATTGAACTTTACTTTTTAAAGAAATTAAAATTTTCCTTTTCCCATTTTTTTTTGGTACCTCAATAATCTTCCTTTCTAGTTAAAGTTTCCTTTTTATAATAGAAAATTCTTATATTTGGTTTGCCTTTAAAAGAAAAGAACCACGCCTCACCAACTTTTTTTTCCTTTTGTTCTTACTTTTTCACATATCTCATAGCTAGTAAGTAGTAACAACATCATTCATTCATTATATGTAAATAGTTTGTTTTCCTTTTATTTCTTTCTGCGATTATTTGGCAATCGGTAAAATTACCACTCAAGCTGAAACATCCAAATCTAAGAAACAAAAAAGTTGAATTTTTTAATATTTTCTTGTGATTAAAACTGGAGCTATGTAAGATTTTGTTTCATTGGTTTTTTTACCTGGTTCATTAGTTCAACTTCAGATCAATAATTCTAAATAAGATATCGGTAGAAACTTAAAAACCAATCAACCAAACGTCAAATGATTTTTATGATTAAGCGGGCAATTATTATTATCCCTAGGCGTTCATTTAACATATTTATACATAATATTAAAGATTACATGAAAAATATTAAAATAGTTATTTTTAAAAAAGTTAAAACCCTAAACTAATGTTATGTGGAAGTCGATAGGTCTAAATGTCTAATGGTCAAGAGTTCAGACTTCAGAGGTATAAGAAAATATAGTTTTTAATTTTATAGATTCATAATTGATTAAATAATCAAATTTTGTCGAAACTTTCGAAGTGATATAGGTAAAACTTGTCGTTCATGTTCTTGAATGTTGCAGCTGGTTATTATAAGTGTAGTATAGTTTATTGTATTGTAGAAAGAAATAGTAAAGCAATTACAATTGTTTGATGATGATGTAATCGTAAGAACTAGATTAGCGGTATAAGCGTTAGACGGCAGCTGAACATAACGATTTTTAGAAGAATGGTTTATGCCAATATTAAATATTAAAACGTATAGATATTTGCATAAAAACAATTTTTATGTAAACAAGAATTGACTTTTAAATTGCGTATTGTTTCTCTGTCCATCTCCAAGTCCGAGCGTCGGAAACGTTTTTCGTGGAAGGAGAAGAGCTCAACGACGACCATATTTCCGACGCGGAGACTTTTTAATTTATTTTTTTCCTCAGTAATCTCATAACCAAAATTCTCGATAGACGATCTCTTCTTCTTCTTCTTCTTATTTTCTCGTGATACTCATCAAGTGTTTTTTTTTTCTTTTTCGCGTTCACCAAATTTTGACTTTGAATTTGCGTAGTATTCAAGCACATTCTGGGTTTATTCGTTTTAGCAAGACATTGATTTTGTCAAAGTTACGTTTTTTTTTTCTATAAAAGAATAAAAATTTCTTTTTTTTCTTCTTCCCTTTCTCTTTACTCTTTTTCTACCCCATGTTGTAGATTCTTAGATTCTCCCCCAAAATTTGAAGAAAGGAGAAACTAAAGGGTCTTTTTGAGATTCCTTTTTAGCTGCAGTTTCGTGATTAGATCGTTTCTTGTATCCACAAAAAGCGGAGAGAAATCGTGTTTTGGATTTTTGGTTTTTCTTCAAATATTGGGATCTTATCTGATCCCAGGATTTCGCCTAAAAACTTCTCGAGGTAAGACGTGATTGTCTTGACGAATCTACAGCTTCGTTTGGTAGCTGAAATCACTTGATAACTCCATGCTGAATTGGTTTCTGATTTATTTCAAATTCATGGGCAACAACATAGCCATGGAGTTTCCGTGGACTCGTTTGCCCAATTGGTTGCTGGTTTAGGGTTTAATCATTGTTGGTAGATTCAAAATGCGGTTATTTTGTGGCTAATGATGTTTGGAAGTGAACTAGTGAAACAACTTCGTTCTGGGTTTTGGTCTGAATTAAAGGTTTTTGCTGAATCAGAGATTCGACGATTGTGCAGGTAAAAGAATTTAGCTGCATTGGCTATGAACAGATAGTTATTTAGGCACTATGGGTTGGTTTAACAAGATCTTCAAAGGCTCTAACCAAAGGTTCCGGGTCGGGGAAGGGCAACATCACAATGGCTGTTACGAGAATTATCCGAATGCACATTCTTCACATGATGAGCCTAGTGTAGATACAGATGCTGATCCTGATGATCCTCATACACAGGAAACATCTACCTCTGAGGTTAGTTTGACGCAGATAGCTACTGTTTTCTCATTATTGTTAACTTTGTTTTAAACTTCTCAACTTCTGTTGTTGTTTTCCTTTAATAGGATACGTCGAATTACCAGGAGAACGAAGAGATAGACCGTGCAATTGCATTGTCTCTTTTAGAAGAGAACCAAGGACAGACAAATACAGGAGGTGAGTCCATTTTCCGGATTGTTTATTGCCAAACAGAAATATGAAGAGATAGTTTTGTGATCAAACTCGGTTTGCTACATTTAAAAAGAGAAAACAAAAAAATGAACACAGGGAAACACGTAATGGTGGATGAAGATGAGCAACTTGCTAGAGCCATACAAGAAAGTATGGTAGTTGGGAATTCACCGCGTAACAAAAATGGAAGTACATATGACCATGGGAATGCATACGGGACTGCAGATTTATTCGGGAATGGTCATATGCATGGAGGAGGAAATGTATTTGCAAATGGAGACATATATTACCCAAGACCTATTCCTTTTTCAGTGGACTACAGGTACTTAGATAGCCAATCATATATAGCCGGTCAAGCACACATGCATTAATAATAAGAATAAACGAAGAAGCTTTTAAAAAGATATCCTAATCTAAAAACCTAAATGTTAATCGATCGATGAGAGTTTCTTTTGAGAATCCTGAACTCAACAAGGATGCTTTCGATGTTATGGCTGCAGTCACCCGATTTCTGAGTACGAGGTGAAACTAAGCTCTTCCAAATTCTTAATTTTTTTTTTTGGTTCTACCTAACCTTTATAATTTATAACATGTTTTTTCTTATAGTTTTCAACATCTGGGAACTACCCTTTTCACAAGGCTTGTTACAAGGAGAGATATCATCCAAAATGTGATGTCTGCAGCCTCTTTGTATGTAAATCTGTAGCCTTTTCCATAGTTAATTAAAGCCTCTATATATATGCGTTGTTTTGTTTGGATCTTGCACTTATCTTCTGTTGCTTTCTTTTCTCCATATGTAAATTTTTTGGACAGATTCCAACAAATCCTGCTGGTCTTATTGAATATAGGGCACATCCTTTTTGGGTCCAGAAGTATTGCCCTTCTCACGAACACGATGGTACCCCAAGATGTTGCAGTTGCGAAAGAATGGAGGTGAATACTCCCCAAACATGCATATATTCAAAAGTCAAAAACATTTTTTTGGGAGGAAGTTGACAGCTTTTTCTTTATTTTGCAGCCACGGAATACGGGATATGTTGAGCTAAATGATGGGCGTAAACTTTGCCTCGAGTGTCTGGACTCAGCGGTCATGGACACTAGTCAATGCGAACCTCTGCACTTGCAGATAGAAGAATTCTATGAAGGACTTAACATGAAGGTCGAGCAGGAAGTTCCACTGCTCTTGGTTGAGAGGCAAGCACTTAACGAAGCCAGAGAAGGTGAAAAGAATGTGAGTAAAAAAGAACAAAACTATACTTAGTAATTACTTGATTATATATCTCATTTTGGTTTTCCAAAGTGTTTGAGCTTTTCAATTTTATGCTTCTTAGGGTCACTATCACATGCCAGAGACAAGAGGACTCTGCCTTTCAGAAGAACAAACTGTTAGTACTGTAAGAAAGCGATCAAAGCATGGCACAGGAAATTGGGGTGGGAATATGATTACAGAGCCGTACAAGTTAACTCGTCAATGCGAGGTTACTGCCATTCTCATCTTATTTGGGCTCCCTAGGCTACTCACTGGTTCGATTCTAGCTCATGAGATGATGCACGCGTGGATGCGGCTCAAAGGTGAGTTTCTTGCTCCTCCCCAATACTTATTTGACTGATTCTTCGCTTGTTTCACATTGTGGAATTGCTAATACATTGTGGTCTTTTAAAAGGATTCCGGACACTGAGCCAAGACGTTGAAGAGGGAATATGTCAAGTGATGGCTCATAAGTGGTTAGAAGCCGAGTTAGCTGCTGGTTCAAAAAACAGCAATGCTGCTTCGTCATCATCTTCTTCTACTTCTTCTAGAGGAGTGAAGAAGGGACCACGATCGCAGTACGAGAGGAAGCTTGGTGAGTTCTTCAAGCACCAGATCGAGTCTGATGCTTCTCCGGTTTATGGAGACGGGTTCAGGGCCGGGCGGTTAGCAGTTAACAAATATGGTTTGCGAAAAACACTTGAGCATATACAAATGACCGGGAGATTCCCGTATTAAGAACCCACATGGACAAGGTCTTTCCCTTTTGATTGGGTTTTTTATTTATAGGATACTTGGTAGATTGTTATTAATATATGCTCTATTCTTTTGGTGAAATATGAAATTTCTCGACCATATTCTTATGTGACTGAATCATAGTGTAATCATTTTGATGATTCTTTTGTATTTCTGTGTTAGTCCTTTAGAAGGATTAGATTCAGAGATATCTTTGTAAATGTTCTCAAATTCTAAACCAAAAGTGTTCATGTAGAATCCCATCGGTTTTATAACTTACAACTAAATATAAACCGAGGCCGAGCTGAACTATAATCGAATTTAACCAATTTCTAACAAAGTCGAATCAAAATTAATCAAAACAGACCGAACCAAATAAACCGAATACCCGAGTACCAATTTTAAGGTTTCTCCTTTGCACACACACACAGTCTCTCTCTCTCTTCGTCGCCGACGAAGTCGTCGTCAAGCGTCGCCGAACAGGTACCCTATTTGGCTAAAACCTTAAGACACATACAAAGAACGTCACTTTAAGGTCCGAAGTTTAATGGGCTACTATGATTAATTCACCGACAACGATATTCTCCTGATGCTCCGGCTGTCTCCGGCACGCGTTGTTGCCTTTCAGTTGCGTTCGCTTCTCCACACTCGTAGATTCTCCGAAGCCTCTAGAACCTTACGCCGCGAGCTTCGGGTAGGACACGGACGGATTCGACCCGAGTTACTCGAGCGGGTCTCGCGTTTGCTCGTGCTCAGAAGGTACGATGCTTTACATGATCTCTCTATCGATTTCTCGGATAAACTTCTCAACTCCCTCCTCCGCAATTTGAGGCTTAACCCAGAGGCATGTCTCGAGATTTTCAATTTGGCTTCAAAACAGCAAAAGTTCCGGCCTGATTACACGGCTTATTGTAAAATGGTTCACATCTTGTCCAGAGCTAGAATGTACGATAAGACAAGGACGTATTTATGTGAACTGGTTGCTCTTAATCACTCGGGCTTCGTTGTCTGGGACGAGCTCGTTCGGGTTTTCAAGAAGTTTTCATTCTCTCCTACAGTCTTTGACATGATACTGAAAGTTTATGCAGAGAATGGTATGATCAAGAACGCTTTACATGTTTTTGACAACATGGGAAGCTGTGGAAGAATCCCGAGCTTGCTGTCTTGTAATAGCCTGTTGAGCAATTTGGTCAAGAAAGGTGAAAACTTTGTTGCTTTACATGTTTATGATCAGATGATTACTTTTGGGGTTTCTCCAGATGTGTTTACCTGCAGTATTGTTGTCAATGCTAACTGTAGAAATGGAGAAGTGGATAAAGCCATGGAATTTGCAAAAGAAATGGAGGTTTCATCCGGTTTGGAGCTGAATGTGGTAGTTTACAATAGTCTGATCAACGGGTATGCCATGGTCGGAGATGTCGAGGGAGTGACAAGAGTATTGCAGTTGATGTCTAAAGGAGGGATTTCTAAGAACATTGTTACGTATACTTCGTGGATCAAGGGTTACTGTAAAAAGGGTTTGATGGAAGAAGCAGAACATGTGTTTAAATCGGTAAAGGAAAAGGAACTTGTTGCAGATCAGCACATGTACGGTGTGTTGATAGACGGATATTGTCGCAGTGGTAGAATCCGTGATGCGGTTAGGGTTCATGATGATATGATGGGGAAGGGAGTGAGAACAAATACAACCATTTGTAACTCATTGATCAATGGGTATTGCAAATCTGGTCAATTAGTCAAAGCAGAACAAATATTTACGCGGATGAGCGATTGGAGCTTGAAACCGGATCATCATACTTATAATACCCTTGTGGACGGGTACTGCAGGGCTGGTCGTATTGACGAGGCATTAAAGCTTTGTGATCAAATGTGTGCAAAAGAGGAAGTTGTACCAACAATCATGACTTACAATATTCTTCTAAAAGGTTTTACTCGGGTCGGTGCTTTTCATGATGTAGTGAGCCTTTGGAAGACGATGCTAAAAAGAGGTGTTACGGCCAATGAGATTAGCTGTAGCACTCTACTCGAAGCATTGTTCAAGCTTGGCGATATTGTTGAAGCTATGAAGCTCTGGGAGAATGTCTTAGCAAGAGGTCTTTTGACAGATACAATAACCTTAAACGTAATGATCAGTGGTCTATGTAAAATGGAGAGGGTCAATGATGCCAAAGAGATTCTAGATAATGTGCAACGATTCAGATGCAAGCCAGATGTGCAAACATATCAAGCGTTGAGCCACGGTTATTATAAAGTCGGAAACTTGAAAGAAGCTTTTGGGGTTAAAGATTCTATGGAGAGGAAAGGTATTTTCCCCACCATAGAAATGTATAACACTCTGATATCTGGTGCTTTCAAGTGTAGACACTTGAATAAAGTAGCGGATCTTGTAATCGAGCTACGCGCAAGAGGATTAACTCCTACTGTTGCTACATATGGAGCACTTATCACAGGGTGGTGCAATATTGGAATGATGGATAAAGCCTATGCTACATGTTTCGAGATGATAGAGAAAGGGATTACCGTAAATGTGAATATCTGCAGCAAGATTGCAATCAGTTTGTTTCGGCTTGACAAGATCGACGAGGCTTGTTTGTTACTGCAGAAGATTGTGGATTTTGATCTTCTTCTTCCCGGTTATCAGAGCTTTAAAGAGTTTCTTAAGCCTGGTGCTACTACGTGTCCTGAAACACAAAGAATCGCTGATTCCCTTGAGAATAGCACTCCTAATAAACTCATAGTTCCCAACAACATTGTCTACAATGTAGCTCTCGCAGGTCTCTGTAAAGCTGGGAAACTCAAGGATGCTCGAAAACTCTTCTCGGACTTACTATCACGTGAGGCGTTTATCCCAGACGAATACACATACACAATCTTAATCCATGGATGTGCTATCGATGGTGACATAGATGAAGCGTTTAAACTCAGGGATGAGATGTCTGTAAAAGGTATTAGTCCTAACATTGTTACATACAATGCTTTGATAAAAGGCTTGTGCAAATCAGGGAATCTAGATCGCGCTCAGAGGCTTTTACGTAAGCTTCCACAGAAGGGCATAACTCCTAATGCCATTACCTATAACACAGTGATTGAGGGACTGATGAAATGTGGTCATGTGGCTGAAGCTTTGCGGTTTAAAGACAAAATGATTTTGATTAGATAAGCTGATCGACTGATCAAACTAGTAAGCTAGCTATCTATGTCATAGTTGTTCCTTCCGGGACAGATTAGACTTTTTCATCATATACGATTGTAATGTTATTGTAATAGTTGTGATTGATTGATAATTAAGTTGCTTCAGATCAACTCAAGCTACTGTGATTAAATTGACGAGCCACCTCTCTTGCCGTTTTTAGAATGTGAACAACCAAACCTACCCTTGATTTGTGTTTGTTATCTGCTGGGCCGGAGAGCTTACTCCGGTTTGGTTTGGTTTGGTTCGATTTTGAATCGATTTGTTTGAGACATTGTGGGTCCACAGCCAATGCCATTGTCACGTGTTGCTTCAGAAAGCTCAGAAACTACTCAACTTGAAGACTATAGTGGGTGAGATAAAAAAACATATAAAACTAAAAGTATTTTCGCTCAAATCAAGTTTTGCCAAAAAAAAAAAAAAGCAACTTAACATAAATTTTATATTATTTTGGGTTTATTTTCATAACTTTTTGTACCACTAAATATGTTCAATGCCAAATAGATTTCCATTAAAGTTACATTTGATTTCAAATATCTTTATAATTTGCATCCTATAGGAATTGGAGGGTAAACAAAAATTTTGAAAATGTTACGATGGAGTGAAATGCACAGTAACATTTGTTCTGAAGAAAGAAAAAGATGACACAAAAATGATGAAAAAAGGCTCAAAGGTCAAACTGTACATTAATGAATGATGGGACTTTGCTCGTGCTTTTTCGCTCGCATCACCGACACTCTTGTCTCCAATTATTTCTTAAAACTTAACCGAATAATTAGATTTATTTTAATTTCCTGAATCATTTTATTGATAAATCAACATTATAAGTCTCTCGTTAATTCATTTAAATGAGCACGTTCCGGTGACTGATTTGTTTGTTTTGGTAAGTTAGTTTATTGCTATGTCTGCAAGAAACTATTGTCTCAAAATGTTACGAACTACTTGTATTAATCTATTTTATTCAAGAGCATTTCTATTCTCAAGATACATAAGTTATGATGATATGCTAGTATCCACTATCCACCCATAAGAATGAAAATCACATGGAAATATACGTGGAAAGGAGCTTTTACTATGTTTTTTTATGACTTAGTTTTTTTTCGGGGCTAATTTGGTGCTTAGATTTGGTATTTTCATAAGAAAAAATGGAATAGCAAAAAAAACTTAAGGCACGTGCTTTTGTTCTAAAGACGGATAATACAACTTCGAAAATGGGGCATCACATGTGCTCCTCAACCTACGAACCATCTACACATAGAATCTGTCCATCGGATATCATGTACCTTCTTCATTAACACTACTTTAAATTCTTATGGTTATGAAGAAAGAAAAAAATTGATTTCATAAACTATAATTGCTTCATATTCCCCATGTGCAAAGGCAAATTTGGCCATCTACGGCTAATAAACACTCAACAATTCAATCATGTCCTTTTTATTATTCACTTCTATACTTTGAACAAGAATGTGAAGATAACAATGGACAAAAAAAGTAAAATATTTTTCTTTTTATCAACAATGTCAATATACAACTTGAACCTAAGTTATCACATCTCCACGGGAATAATTCGAATCATTAACCTACTTGTTTTATATGTAGTGTATATATAAACACAAATGTTACCAAAATGATTTATCTAAATGTTTCATTCTTCCATTTACTCCAAAAATTGCAAACGCCAACGCAACATTTTGCCGCCTCTAAACTCGCGCAATTATTCACTTTTATATACTCCGAACAAAACCGATGAAAACAACAACGAGCAAAAGCAAAATGTTTTTTTTTGTTTGTCACAATTTATGATGAATCAATGTACATTAAAAACAAAAAATCACCTGTATATATATTCATATATGTGTATTTATGTACCGGTACATGATAAGTAAACCGAAGTGGTCAAGAATCCAAAGCGAAGGGTGTTTGAAGAAGATCGTAGGGAGACCAAAGCGCGTCTAACGGACAAGGCCGACCAGCGTCGAGCCTAGCCCATGGCTTACCTTTCCCACTCCAATGCAACAGACTCACCGGACCAGGATGCAGATCTCGGCACAGTCCCCTGAAATTATCTCCTCCCAAACCGTGCTGGTTCCACCGATGATTAACCGGTTTAATCAAACCGCCAAAAACCAGCAAAAACGGCGGAAGCGAACCGAGCTCGTAAATCCTCATCCGCTTTTGCATCGCCATCCACTCCTCGATGCGTGCGGTGTAAGCACCTTCGCGCCACCGCGAGAGATCGATCACCATCACGCCGGTGTTGAAGTAGCAAGCTTTCCGATCGGCGAAGGTTAAGGAGAGAGTCGGATTCGACCAGAAGGCCGATGTGAAGTAGGAGGTGAAATTGGCGTTGCAGTATTCCGGCGCGGCGAGGACTGAATCGCGTCCGAGATCAGTGGCGGCGAGTTTAGCGATGTCGTCGACGAGGATTAGATCGGAGTCTAGGTACACGACGCGGCGGACGCACGGCGGGAGGAGGTCGGCGAGGTAGCTCCGGGCGTAGTTCAAGGGGCAGTCTAAGGCGGAGCGGATGGAGGAGGAGATTAGGCGGGAGACGGAGGAGACGTTGAAGACGTAGACGGTGAAATCGAGGTAAGGAAACGAGCCGGAGATGGTGGCGCGTAGAGACGACGCGTCGGCGGAAGCGGAGGCGACGAAGTGGAAAACGATGTTTTCCGGGCAAGAGGAGTGTTGGAGGACGGAGAGAACGGCGGCGATTGAGCCGCGAATGTAGGCGGCGTCGAGTGTCATCGCCACGTGGACAGCTCGACGGGAGCAGAAGATTGGCTTCGCCACCACGTCATCATCGTCATCTCCGGGATCGTCGATTATGGGGCAATCAGCGGAATTGTAAAACTGTGGGGCTTCTTTGAATTTTTGAACAATTGGAGAGGCGGAAATGGGATTAGGAAGAATGGAGAGAAGCGAGAGGAGAATGAGAAGAAGATGTTGGGACATGTTTTCTCAGACTCTCTGGTTGTATTGTAGTGTAAGGTTTTCTCTCAACTGAGAAAGAGCTGTCTCTGAGACTTTTTATCATGTGAGTATGTGTGTGCAAGACAGAGAGAGAGAGAGAGAGAGATTAAAGGGTTTTGCTTAGATTTTGGGTTTCTCTCTTAAATTTATATATTGATTAGATTCCAAGCCCTTTTCACCATTTTTTCTTATTATTTATTTATTTTCCATGAACATGATTGGTTGATATATAGCTAGCTCCTGAAACCCAAATACTATTGTGTCTGAAAATAATAATGGTCAAATACCATTTACTGGTTTATGGATTTTTAGACTTCTTACGCTGACAAAAAAAAAAAAGACTTCTTACATGTTTTTTAAATATTGACTGAAGAACTGTGGCAATTTATTACTTCCACATGTTAACCGTAAATCATTGTAGATCCACATTATAGGCTATAATGCATATTAATTGGTGACTAAGTTATTTATTGGTGAGATTTGAGTTTTTGTGATTTTCGTTTATTTTGTTCTTACAAGATACAAACAAATAAAAAGACATGGAAGTTGATATATGACACTGATAAGTACTAATCAAAATCAAATTCATACACGTAATATACTACTAATACATTTGTCTGTGCATGCAGAAACAAATAGTTTTTCGAATTCGAATTTTTCAGATAATTATATCTGGACGATCATATAAAATTATGTGGCTGGTACTAGATAGAACGACTCACAAGTGCACAAGAATAGGGGGAAGATAGAAACGTGAAATGAATGTTTTGAGAATAATTTAACATCCTGAACAAAAAAAAATGAAAAAAATATTATATAGTACTACGTGACTTGGTCAATAATTCTTATGGTTGAGATGTTAGATTTAGCTTCAAACTTTACAGTAAATTTATCCATTTTTGTTATAAATTTTGTTAGTCTTTCTTTAAGGCTTCTATTATGGTCCTTTGTCACTTTCCATGACTACAAAATTTGTAGGTGAAATGTATATATATATATATATATATATCAAATTGGTCCATTTTATAGTTCTTTCATAAACTGATATGAATTTTACAATATTGCTGCTACGCTTTTCTTTTTATTCTTCTTTGCTTATGGGTTGTAGTCTTATTTTTTCAATGATTGAATTTTTCTTTTTGTTTCTTTATTTTGTTAATAAATTCTTTTTGGTTCATGAGGATGGGAACATGGTCACGGAATGGTTTCCCTTTTTCTTTTCTTTTTTTCCTTCCGATATTCAAATTATATAATAATTGACAAAAAAAAACTAAAAAGGAATATCAAGAAGTAATTTTTAGTCCATGTTGTCAAAATCAGTTAAAAACATGTTTTAGTTTTAATTAAGGAAACTTTAGATGTATACATGTATTTGTCCAAACCAACTTTCTCACTCTCTAGTTTTGAGATAGTTTTTTAAGTCAAAATCTTAAAGAGTCGCGAGATACTTAAGATATTTTACCTTGATCTACTTAGACGCCTAAAGGCTAGTTATACTCAATACATATAAATATTATAGTTAACTATAACAAGATATAAGATTATAATAGTATCATCTTAATTATTCACTAACTTTTAGCCATCGTTACGTAAAAAGGAATATCAAGAAGTAAAATTGAGTCCATACTTTTAAGCACATTAACTGGACAAAATAAAAAATAGTATCGACATAATAAAAAATTTTAAATAAGTAAAACATCATAAAGATTTTCATTTAGATAAACACTTATCACCCATGATCAAAAATATAATGCAGAAAAAGCAAGATGCGTGGGCCAAACGTGTAATGGAATAATATCTCAAATCCTAATGGTACGACTTTTCTTTCATCACCAAATGTGAAATCGCGAGTACTTTAAGTTCTAGTCTTTAGTCTAGACCCAAAGAACATAAAAAAAGAGTCTAGACATGTCTTTTTTCCCCTTCTTTTTTGTATCCCTTTTGCACTTTGTTAAAGATCATTTTATTTCAAATGATTTTTTTTTTTTGAAGAAAGAAATTTTTATTTCAAATGATTTCCATTCATATTGTAAAACACTCGGTATCGGAAAAGGAAAATGCAAACATTCGCGATTAAGACACCTCATTGCAATGCACCATAAAAGATACGAATCGATATGGTACCGAATATTTCATGAGCGTAACAGAAAAAAATCTCACGTATAAAGAAAATGTTGGATAATCACAGTCAATGGCCATATATAATTTGAACGAAATCAATTTTGAAATTTACAACCGCTAAATAATAGCGCAGACACGCAGATAAACTCCTTTGTGTAATAATAGATCATGAATCAGCCCTACAAGGCTACAACTCACTACTTAGCTCACCTGTTTTACTACTGACAAAATCTAGTTTAATTGGTGGGTGAATGAAGGTCTCGATAATAAATTAAATATATCAATTTCTGTAATTACCAATCCAAATTAACCGATTCCATCATCCGGTCCGAACCAAACTAAAAAAACTGATCTATGTTTTAAAGCGGCTAAGTGATATATCATGTTTTCTACATCCAAAAACTGAAAACCAAAACTAAAAACCAAAGAAAGAAAAAACTGATTAAAACCGAAGTTTTTGGAAAATTAAAGATCAATTTCACTTAACTCCCAATCTAATTCGAAACCGAAGCCAAACCAAACCATCTATAATAGATTATGTTTTATTTTAAATATTTATTAACAAACCGAAAATCTAAAAGATCGAAATTCAGATTAAAAACACCCACTAGACAACTAGTGTAAAATAGAATTACCAGAAAATAATTATTAAGAAGGCAAATTGATCTGTTGGACCATCGTTTTTTCTTGAAAACCCCTTCACTTATTTCCTAAGGGAGTTAGGTGCTGAAACTCGAAGCATTGCGAGAATGCGAGGTTCCCTTCTTCTATTTACTTTCATAAATGTTAAAACAAAACTAATTTTATTTTTCATCACAATATGAGTTCTATTTTTAGCGGCAAACATATAGCTAATTTTGTTCCGCAGTTTGAAATCATGAAACTCGAAAACTATGATGATTACTCTTGTTCAATGTTTTAAACGTTCAATTCGAATTTTGCTTCAAATTATTGTTTCAAATCTTTATGGACAATAAACACCACCGTATGATATTAAAAGTAATGCATTAAGACCAAACGTAAAGTTGTGACAAAAAAAAACATATAATAACAAACGTCAAGTATCTATAATAATATTGAGTAAATCATTTCTGTTCTCTTAATTCAAACTAACGTGATCATTAGACACAAAAAATAACTAATGTGATCAATGAAAGGGATGCATATGGCTTCATGGCGCATTAAATCAAACATAGAAACGAACGAAACAATAAATAAGCATGTTTTGTTCAAAAAATACCAACAAATAAGCATGTGGTCATGTGTGCATGAAGGAAAGGCTTTAAGACATGTTCATGAACGTATGCAATTTAAATAAGTAACTTAAATTCAGAAAATATTTAATTTGAACCAAATGAAGTGGAGACTGTGTGTATGTGTCAACTCCCTGACAACAAATAAAAATAAAAATTTACGATGGGTCTCAAAGTTAGATTTCGATTTAGCATTTATAGCACATACATTCACTTCCACGAGTTCAAATTGTTAAGTTTCAGGAGAGTCCAGAAGTTAATTTTATTCTGAATGGTTACTTCATACTTCCTGATAGTTATTAATTAAAAAAGACTCAAAGTGCATTGGCTGCATGTGGCTTAAATATAGGTATATCCTCAAGGCAGACAATTCTTTTGGTAGCTACTACTACTGAGCAATAGGGAGCATCTTATGTCTTGTCTTCCAAACCTAACACTATTACTATAGAGAATATCTATTTGCTGCAAAATCTTATCTAAAATGGGAAGAAGACATAGTAAAGTTAAAGACAAAGTAAAGTTAAAGACAATCCCTTAAAGAACAAACAAACAATGTAGATTGAACCATCAGTAGATTCATCGTAGTCTCTATACAATCCTAAGCTCCCTCAACGTAAGAAAAAAAAATTCAAGGAATTAGCCAACCCATGACATAATGGTGAATAATGATCGATTCTTCAACATTATGAGAATAAACTGAACACCATAAATCTATAAGAAGACTCGCAAAACAAAATCCGTAAGAAACATCAGTAAGAGAATCCGACATGTATTATTAACATATGTATGAACAATTTTGCTAAGCAAAAAAGATTAACATGCCAAATCACAGCAAATTTTCCCGGTTTTTTATGCAATCAAATCTCGAATAGAGAGTGAATGGAAAGCTAGCAAATCGATTTTCATCACTAGCTTAAGACGAGGGAAAACACAACGATGATGAAAACAAAGCCAAGCAATGCCTTCAAGTGATAGTCTTGTTGTCCTTGACGCCCCGTGTGCCTGTGATAACTATGCATATGCGAGTGTCCTCCATGGAATGTGTTCGAGAACCCGTGAGGGAAGCCTCCAGAAGCAGCAGCACCATACATGGCTGCATCAGGGAATCCATGGAACTGGAGGTTAAACAACGACGGAATCAAACCACCAAAAGCTGCAGACAACGTAACATTCCCAAACCGAGCACTAGCCATTGGAGCTGCAAAACCTCCCATGAACCCTCCAAAACCATGATGAGCAAAACCATGGTTAGGCTCAGGAGGCTGTGCTGTTTCGGGTCTCTGTCCCGATGGACGGTTTGGCACTTCCAGTCCCGGTATAGACTTGGATCGAGGGTCAGTGGATGATTTACCTCTACCGTACAAAGGAACCAACTTGTCTTCTTCGATGACGGCTTTGCAAACAGGACATTCCTTTGAGAGGGAATGGAGATGGAGCCATTTGTATAAGCAAGGCCAACAGAACAAGTGACCACAGAGAGTCACAATCGGGTCTTGAGCCAAGTCCAAGCAGATGTTACATTCAAAGTTACCCGAATCATTATTGCTGTTTGAATTATTGCCGCTAGAACAAGAAGGGATATCAGACATTGATTCCACCAAAAAAACCTCTGTTTTTTTCTTAACTCCTACACAGCATTAATCACATCAGGATTTGAATTAAGTAAACAAACAATGGAAGATAACACAAAGACGATTACTTTAGCTAATCAACTACTCTCACCAGACAAAAATTAAAATCAGTTTGCTCCAAGAAACCAAACAAAAAAAAAGTGATTCCAAATTCGCCAATTTGATTGAAATTTTGAGGATTTAGTAACCATTGGTGGATCATTAAAGCTTTAAAAGAAGAAGAAAAAGGCCTAAAGATTAAGTGATTCCAAACAAGCAAAACGGAATCATAAACCTCCAGATCTCTCCGTTAAACCACTACAAAACATCGGTCATATAATCCGGCGATTAAAAAACCAAATCATCTTGAAACCGTACCAAATCAAGAAAATCATTAACTCAGGAACGGAATTTTCCCGGGAATCGAAGAGGAAATAGAAAAAGAAGCAGCGAAATTAGAACAACAAGAATCGGAACAATCTGAAACAAAGTGAATGATCGGAAAATATACCGAGTAAAGGTTGGATCGACGATCGATCGCAATCCGCGGGGAGCAACGTTTGCTTAAGGGCTAAGATTGGTCGGAGACATGAATCATCGAAGAAAAATCTTTTGATTAACTGATTCATTTTTTTTTCCTTTTCCTAAAAGTTCTAGTTTAATTATTTCACCCATGAATTTGACGTGTCATCGAGTGGTCCCCACATCCACGTGAGCACATTGTGTGCACGTGACGGACAAGTAGTGTCTATTGAAGTCAACTATTTCTCTCATTGGACGTGTTAGATAAGTATCTAGTCAATGATAAAGTACTAGTATCTAGTAAAAAATCAATGGATGTAGATTAATAAATTAATAAATAAATATAACAAAACGTAAAAGTTTTTTTTTTTTAATGGCATGGGATGTAGATTTCGTCGCTCTATTCACAAGTTTTAGCTTGATGTTTTTTCCTCGATCTCTGTATGTTTATGTTGGATTTGAATGTCTTTTATAATTTTAACATATGCACAGCTGGTAATGATTGGAATATATATATTCACAAGTTTAGTATTTATGCCAGACTTACAGTGACTAGTCTTTGAGCTGATGAAATAGTAGAATATGTCCCGTCTTTATAGGAGAAGTCGGATCGCAAGATTTGAATTCAAGATCACCGCTAATTTCTCTGCTCTATGATGCATTCGACTTCTTTGCCGGTATTGGACAAGGAGATTAATTGTGCCTCCCACATGAAACTGTTTCTCCTCACTCCACTTGAAATAGAAACCACGGTCGTAAAACGCCCATCCTTTAATCTGAGCCACCAAAAAATGAAATATTTTGCTAGCTTGGTAGTGCATGGTGGAGGAATGGGACGATTCCCAAATCAATAGGCTTCCATCTTTTTCTTTCCGGTGATGAGACCCTAAACCCGAAAATGTAAATTTTTCTTTCATTTTGTCAAGAAAATAATGTAAACGTAAAAAACGATACAAAGCTAACAAGCCTCAAAGATTTATTTATTTCTAAATAATGTAATCCCTATAAGTCCATTTCCTCTGCTTTGGTTTTTTATCTATTTTTGTTTTACTTTTTAAAAGTTTTATGAAATAGCTAAGCAAGCACTCATTCACACTCTCCGAGTTAGTCATATATATCCAATACCGATCAGACTCGGAAACGAGAGGTCTCCGGGCATTTAGAAAGTTTTATATTCGTAATAGAAGGGTTACGTAATAAACACGAAACCTGTAGGTCTTTGATTAGGGCTATCAAAATGGAAATGAACATGAATAAAAACGAGTTTTGATTGTAAACCACAGACAGAGGTGGATTTGGATGTAGAGAGTTTATTGGCTACATATTTCTTTCTGTTTTCTACTTAGAGAAAACTCTCTTCATTTCTGACACCATTTTCTGAAAATGTAGAGTACGACTTAAACTATCGCATACAAGCTGAGATGCGTTGCCTTTCTTTTATTTACAATGACTAATATCCTTCAATAGTGTCGTTGGGTTACCTTTACTTTTTGTCGCGGATTCATTGGAATTGTGACAAAAGGGTGTTGCTTGAGTCAAAACAGCATGTCATAATAAAAAATGTTTTGATTTGGTCGGTAATGAAAAAACATATAAACTTGCTGTCCCAAAAAGATGCTAACCTATGTAGCATGTACCAGCCATCTTACGTTTATAATTTTCTTTCATTTTTTACATATTTTCCTTTTAATTGTGTTCAGTTTTTCAAACCTAATAAATAAATCAACTGCTGTTTTTGAATATTATGTACCATTTTTAGTTTATAAAACTTAAGGTGGCTACGATATAAAGTGGTTTATGTATTAACAACATAAATATGACATCATCGAGGATGAGCTTACATAACGCATACTGTGTATAAACAAAAAAGATTAATGAAATCCAAGGTGGACCGTGGATCAAATCTTTAAATAAATTTCATATGTTGTTATTAGTTGAGAAGATGGAATGTAAGCTTTAAATGTTCGATTGTTATATTCATAGTCGGTTATGAGGCAAACCGTATACAGAAGAAATAGTTTATATTTTGTAGGAAAAAAAAGTAAATATTAGTCTTATTCGAAAGTAATAAGGGAGAAGTATTTTAGCACAAAAAAGAATAAGTGAGAAACACACCAGGTTATCTTTTCAACTCTAAAATGACTACGAAATCTCATTTTGCCTTTAACGGTTAGGTTTTATGTATGTCAATTTGTGTATACCAGAATCGTGTAAGGCTGTAAGCTCTCTCACATATAAAAGCCTAAAAGGCAAGAAGGATCTTTTGTGTTTTTTTGGGTATTTTTCTACAAGGAAAAAAAAAGTTAATTCGTTTAATGGAAAGGGGCCTTAATCTATAAGAGGAAACAAAAAAAAAGATTATACAACCATTTATGCTACGGAAAACAAAATAGAAATGTTGTGTATACTAGAATACATTATTGTATTTCTTTTGTCAATTCCCCCTAACCTACTTGACTTATAAAAGTCGTCTATATATCGCTTCTCTATTTATTTTGATATGTCCCTGAAAGCACAACTTGTGGAATTTAATTTTGTCTGTACCTTGGCCGGACAATTTTAATATTGAGATATTTATTTCAACTTTTATCTTAAGAACGTTTGATATACAATTCTTGTAGTACATAATAACAATTTTTTTATTGTTAAACTATTATCTACTTTAAACATCTAACTCTATATGGTAATCATAGTTGTAATCTCATCATACACTTTCAAAGAGTTTTCGGACTCTAATAACAGTGATAGAATTTTTATTCAATTTAAGTGTTCAACTGTATATAGGTTTTGGTTCAGTTTGGTTTATTCAGTTTTTTTATGTCTGTTTTAGTGTTACCTAGGAATAGCAAACGAATCACCGTTTTTTATTTTCCTATGTATAGCAAAGAGTAACTAGTCGTAAGTGGTAACCGTAGTAACTAGTATATATTCAGTCATCCTTTCGATTTCACCCAAAACTTTATATTAAAGTTGATTTATTTCAATTCTCATAATCTTGGTTTTAATCAAGCCAGATCTCTTGTTGTCAGTCTTTACTCTTTAATTAATATAATAAAATGATTTACGTTAAAATCAGAAAATTGAACCGGTAGCAGCATGCAGTTGAAGAGAAAAAAAAAACTATAAATAGAGGAATCCTTGTGGCATTAACTTTCAATTCATCATTACACATTCCATACTTGAGATTAAAAATGGCGACTTTCTCAGGATTACACCTTCTCTTCTTCTCCTTCTTCATATCTACAGGTATGCATACATACATTTTGCTCTTCCATGCAAACATTTTTCAAATAAATCATTTTTCCTCATAATTTAGAATTGCACCAAGTTTTTCTTGTTAATTACAAGCAAAGAAAATGATATAACAATGTAGTAATTAGTTAATTTCGAAATTGTATATTTGCAAGGCACAATTTCCGTCGTCTCCGGCACCGTCTTCACCATAGTGAACAGCTGCAGCTTCACCGTCTGGCCCGGAATCCTCACCGGAAACGGCGCACAACTCATGGACGGCGGATTCGCATTAAACCCAGGAGCTTCCGTCGACGTAACCGCACCCGCGGGATGGTCCGGTCGATTCTGGGGCCGAACCGGCTGCAATTTCGACTCCTCCGGCGCCGGAAGCTGCATCACCGGAGACTGCGGCAACAAACTAAAATGCGGCGGCGCCGGAGGAGCTCCACCAGCCACACTCGCCGAATTCACAATCGGCACAAACGGCGGGAACGATTTCTACGACGTAAGCCTCGTCGACGGTTACAACGTCCAGATGGAAATCACGACGGGAGGCGGATCAGGGGATTGCCAAAACGTTGGGTGCGTTTCGGACTTGAACGCCAACTGTCCGAACGATCTACGCGTTTCGGACGCGGGTAATGTTGTTGCGTGTAAGAGCGCTTGCGAGGCTTTTAACAAACCGGAGTTTTGTTGCACCGGTTCGTTCGGTAAACCGGAGACTTGTCCTCCTACGGATTACTCGAGGATATTTAAAGGAGCTTGTCCCAAAGCGTATAGCTACGCATACGACGACGCTTCGAGCACTTTTACTTGTGCCAATGCTAATTACTCCATCATTTTCTGTCCTAGATAGATATATAGATATGGGATATCCTTTTATCATTTATATCAACGACGATTTGTATGTAATACTGCAGAATCGCGGAAATTAAACAAGTTTTTGCAGAATGAGATAAATTCTGCTGACTGATATTATAATGAATAAATTACTGAACGAAATTTATTAAAAAAAAATTGTATGATTATATAACTTTTATTATTGCACAAAGAAGAAGAAGATAAGTGCATGGAGAGAAGTGAAGAGGAAGTTAGGTTGTACAAATACTTCAAACAAAAAACTTCCATTCGATTTAGGTTTATAGGGTTGAGCTAAATAGTGTTGTGATCTATCATAGTCCTGATTCCAGTAAAAAGATGAAACTCAGAAGTTTGGAGATGCATAGTTGAATTAGGAATCACTTTTACTTGAGAACTAAGCTCTTAATAATTACAAATTGTGTTTCAACTTTTTCTTTTGTATCGAAACATCCCATTATGGTTTTCAAAGTACTGCTATTACATTCACACTTATCTTACTCTGATATCATGTGCACTGTTTTTCAGTTTAAACATTGAATTTGATTTTGACTTTTAAGTATGAAAAAGAAATAAGAGCTGAGAGAAGTCATATCAAAACATATTTACATTCTAACATACCAATATCTATCCAGATCGGATCAGAACAGAGAGTTTCAATAGGGAGCTTTAGAGAGTCATGTTTCATGGTTTCATGGTCATTTGGTGTCTTGATGGGGTACTTACATAGCTAAACAACAGAAGCAAGAGGAAACAGCATCTACTCTTTAGCCAAACATCTCCAGAAATAACTAAAAACTAGCAGCAAGCCACAAATGGTTAAACAAGTCGGCGGCAAACCGTACTTACATGATCTGTTAAAAAGTCAGGGCTTTTCTTTTAGCTGATGCAGTTAAGATCAGTGTTTCTGGCTTCCTTTGATTGCAACTTGCAGGCCTTCTTCATTCTCTTTGCAGCTTGGACAAACCCAACAATAACTTGAAGCTCATCCATTTGCTGTGTTTTACAACATTTTAATGCATCATCAGAACAAAGCTAGAACTCATGAGACAATCTGGTGAAGGCTCAGAAGGATTGATGTACCTGAGACATGAAGTGCCTCTGAACGATGTCAATTAGTTGTTCCTTTGATGGATTAGGAATTGCATCCACCTACAAAGAGTTTAGTAAGAAGCAAGCACATAGACAGTAGAGTTGTAAACTGAGTAAAGAGAAGTTTTCTTCTTCGTCTTAAAATCAACTTACGAGGTTGAAATGTCGCCAATACTTCAGTAAAGCAGGCATTTCCAGTTTGCTAAGATCAACCTTCTGCTTGAAAGCATACAACATCGCATCAGTAAACCTATGATTAGTTCAGGATTATGTTCAATATCAAGTGGAATAAATCTCAAAAATAACGCATACCAAGTTTTCAGGAGGAGTAAAACCCGAGCTTTTTGATTGTGAGTCAGATGATAGAGACCTGCTCATAGTCTTGTGAGATGACCGCGATGATCTCTGCGCTCTTGGTTTCGACTTATGAGGCTTCAGTGTGTCCTCAGATGCTGGAAAAGAAACAACTTATCATAGAAACAAGACTGAGAAAATCAGTTATATAGGTTACTACTTTTGTCTCCAGAGAACAATATGCCACTTAGTTAACTCATTGGAGACAAAAACAATTAAGTTATCAAAGTTTTTGAGGCTTTGAGCAACTGACAGAACCCTTAAAAAATCATTATCCTGAGGAAAACAAGGAACCAAACTTACTCATATCGGAGCAATTCCTCTGCGTGTTTTCGAAATCTAGATCATCGTCTTCTTCGTTTCCAGTAGGAGCTTCAATGACACTAAGCGCATTCCTCTGCAACTTTACTTCTATTCCATTTGTCAAAACCTAAAAAGAAAAAGAAAAACCAAAAAAGCACAACAATGATTCGGATTAATTATTTTACTGACATAAAACAACTAAACAAGTACTGACATATTTTCATTTAAATAAGCTCTATAAGACGAATATGATATGTTTCCTAATAAATTAAACTTTTTCTTATTTTCCATAGGAATTCTGGGAGACACGAACTGGTGGAATGTGATATCACTATTAGTATAATATATTCGAAGTAGTGAGAAAATCGTATATTAGTTCGATTGTTCATTAAAGTAAAAAGCCAGAATATGCTGAATTTACTCCTTTTGGTCCACATACACAGAGACACTCTCAAAAAGATCTTGCAGAACAATTTATAATATAAACTTAAACCAACCAAAGGAAAAAGAGTTGATAACACTGCTTGGGGACGAAAATGACTCAACTAAAAAAGAAAGAACAAAATTAAAAAAAGGCCGTAAAAGAAATGATTACCATTAATCAAAGCTATTTAATTTTTCTAAAGCCAGCTTGAATCTATAAGGTGGCGAAAAAAGGATAAAATTGTCAAGAAACATGATGGAGAATTAAATAACAAGTGCATATTTGTTATTATGTTTTTTCTGAACAGGCGCGAAAATAAAGTAGCCTTTTTTTTTGCCTAACTTAGTTTTACAAACTCAAAATTCCCTATTCCCCTATAGATGATTCCTGAAATTGAGCCTGAATCTTAGCAAGAAACATCAAAATGGATACTAAAGATGTTTCAGAAACTTTATTAGATGAAAAACAAAGTTAAAGCAGAAAGCACGGCGAACCAGCACAACCGGCGCAAACTCTAGCTCAAAGCATTGACAAACAGGTCAGAAACAGACTGTCTTCCATACGAGCAACTGATGATATTCAGCTTGCTGATGGCATGGAAGCATGGTTTGCTTCGAGATGATCACAGCTCTATTTTTTAAATATCTGCTGTAAAATGCTATTAAGACTCTCAAGAAAGATGCACTTGTTGTAAAAACGATTTTTTTTTTTGGTTGAATAAATTTAACATTCGATTCAAAAAAAAAAAAAAAAAAAAACAAATTTAACAAGGGGAAAAAAATCAATGAAGGCTTCATGAATAACCTAACTACCTAAGAACCCAAATGCAAGTTTGAACAGTGTAAGATCCAGCAACAAGAAATCAAAACAATAATGGTAACTGAAATGCGAACATGCATGCAAGAAGCTCAATCGCCAGAATTCGAAAATTACAGATTTAACATTGGCAAAGACAAAAAAAAAGATGATTTTTTTCACTAATAGACTCTTAACTCTTGGTTTAATGATTAGACGCGAGGAGATGCAAATCTATGATAAACATTCGATTGTGATTAATGAAATCTGTAACTAGTAAATCGAGCTGCATTGATGTTATATCATTAAAGGAAGACATTACCCAGAACTAACTCATTTTTGGAAATCTAAGAAAAAAAAAATCAAAATTTGAAGTTCAAAATTCGAAAACCCCCAAATTCTCATCATCGATTCAATAGATTGAATTCAAACTTGGTGGTAAATCCAGAGATTGCAGAGAAACCCCTAAATTAGATCGAAAATTATATATTTTACCAAAAAGGAAAAAAATCAAACAAATCAGCTAATTTTTTTATTTTGACTTACCAGCCAATGCCAACCACCGAGACCGACAGCTTTTTTGACAACACCTTGAAGACCAACGAGGACCGATTTGGTACGGTTGTTTCCGGTGACGACCACTTTAGTATGACGTGGCAAAACTGATAACTCTTCTTCGCTACTGCTCTCGCCACATAAGCTCTGAATCTGAGGGAATCCTCCATTGACGATCCCGGAGCTATCCACAGTTTCCAGCATTTTTCTTCTTCTTCTCTAATTTGTTTTTTTTTTCTCGATTGTAAAAAAATCCCTCGAATTTCAGCTCACAACACTGCTACAAAATCGAAGATCATGCATTGCGAGAGAGGGAAACATCAGATGATTGAGCGGGAAAGTGGAGAGGATTCGATGCAAATTATTAGGGTTTGTCCCACAAGAAGAAGCAGAGAGAGTAAGAGAAAAAAAGGGAAAAAAGCAGAGAGAGAGAGAGAGGAGAGAGAGAAGCAGAGTAATAGTAAAGAGGAGGAAGCGAGGGAAAGATGAGAGAGAGTGATAATAGCGACCGGTTCCCACCACGTTAACCAATAAAAACTCACCACGTAAGCATTGTACTGAAACTGTATATGCGTTATGCAAAAACAGAACCAGTTTTTTTTGGATTTAACCGGAGGGGTACTTTTCGTAATTTTAGACACGCGATTGACCTGAATGGTTGACTGGTGTTTAATAAAGACAGGGATGCATGGGACCCATTCGGTCACTGGATGACGATTGTACCCTTCCTCACGTCACTTTTTCAATTGGTTTTGAAATTTGGATTTCCTTTGTCCTTATCTTATAATTTTCTTTCCTTGAATAATTTGCTACCGAAATTGTCTTTTAACATTTTTTAAACCACGTTGGGTAAACATGAGTGAAAGGAATGGAACAGATACAGCAAAAATTCATAAAAGTAGATATGATTTTGATTTTTTTTTTCATTTTTTTTTACTTATTTTACTATATGAAATTACAGCATGATGGTTGGCGTATGGTGTGGTTTCGTCACAATACCCCAAAGTTTGCGTTTCATGTGTGGATCACAATCTTCAATCGATTACCAACTGGGAATCGCATGTTACATTGGAGCACACAACTACATACCTCTTGTGTCTTCTGTCTTCATCCATTGGAAAGCAGAGAGCACTTGTTCTTTGATTGTCCATACACATCGCAAGTATAGAATACCCTAGCGAAGGATCTTCTTGGAGACGACTTTACAAGTAGTTGGGAAAACATTCTAGCTTACTTAACTCATCAAAATCAGAATCTTATTCGAGATTTTACAGTCAAATACTTGTTCCACATTACTCTTTACCACGTTTAGGGTGAGCGGAATGGTAGACGTCATGGTGAGCACCCGACAACACCACAGAAGCTGACAAAGAGAATAGACAAAGGCATGAAGAACAGATTCAACTCCCATTCGACTACTGGGGGACAACAAATATGAAGACGGCTGCCAGCTTTGGATAGCCTCAAGATCACCAAATTGAAGAATAGCTAGTAATACTTTATGCGATTTTAATTTCTTCCAAATCATGCAAACATCATTGATGTAAAAACGTTTTTTTTTTTGAAACATTCTTTAAAAAACAAAAAAAAGAAATTACAGCGATGGTTCAATTATTTGTCCATAACTCTTTTATGGGGTCATTGTCATAGTCACAGTTTACAATGCCCACCCACAAATAAAACCGTCCCCATATTTGGGGAAACTATCAAAGCGACCCCTCACCAGACCCCTGCTTCAATTATTTATAACTTTTAATGCTTACCATTTCCCTCCCATCAAAATCTATGTTTTTTTTTTATATACTTTTTAAGCCTAAGCAAGTAAGCATTAACGAATAAATCTAGACACCAGAATCGGTTTTTTCTTATTTGGATTAATGAATCAAATCCGTTGGTTACCGGCGAATTTTCCAGGGTTTTGCCTGTAACATTCAAAATTATATGGTTAATTGTTGTCAGTTGTAAAACTTGGAGGGGTTAACGAGAAATTGGAGGGATTTGTTGTTTATGTTTGAGCCAGAGCTAGAGAGTGTTCAGCCGTCAATGGCGAAAACTGATAAGCTAGCTCGGTTCCTTGAATCTGGTATCTTCGAATCCGAAGACTCCAAATGGTTCTTCTTAGACCCAGTTCGTATAATCAATCGATCATATACCCGATTAAGAGTTTCATCTTCTGCTTACTACTCTCGTTTCTTCAATTCGAAGCATCTCAATCTACAATCCAGCGACCCTAATCCGAAAAAACGAAAACGGAAGCAGAAAAAACCTAGCCCTCATCTTCCCAGTGCAGGAGAGCAAGCTTCTAATCTTCGTCATGAGGTCATAACTCCCCGTGTTAGTTTTTTCTCTCTGTGTTGAGGACTAGAGAGATTGACAGTAAATGGTTTCGAATTCCAGGGAGCGAGGCTGTCTTTATCGGAAGCGCATGAATCGCTTCTACGGGAAGTCGAGCTGTTGAGTTTAACGAAAGGTCTAAGTGATGATGATGATCCTAGTTTGTTGACCGAGTGTTGTGGCGATGAACTCTCTTTTGTTGAGCTTGGAGGAGTGTGGCAAGCTCCTTTGTATGAGATCACACTGAATTCGAATCCACATTGCGGTAATCCAGGTTTTTGTTCTCATCTAATTTACTTGCTAAAATCCTATGTGAAAATTATGAACTTGATGGTGTATCTCATGGGATTTTGTGGTCTTGATAGGTTGCTCAACTGAGAAATGCAGTGAACAGAGAGTGTTTAAAGTGTTCAATAACCTAGTAGTGAACGAGGCAGAAGAAGAAGTTGAAGCCGAGTTTTCCAACCGGAGATATATAGTGCCCAGAAAGAGTTGCTTCTACATGGTTTGTGAATTGTTCTTTGCCTATTGCTGTCTAAAGATTGTATTTTTAGCTGATCAAGTTGATGTGTGATATGTTCTTCTGGTTTTACTTTCATTTTCCGGTCTCGCGTTTCTTTTTTCCAATGAAGTCTGATTTGCTGCACATCCGAAACCTTGTTCCTGGTAACTATTGTGCTGTATAGTCCATATAGACGTTTTACTACTTCAGAGCTTTGTTGATTGGTCCTAAGTCCTTTGTTAAAAAGATCAGTCATGACCTTATCGGTAGGCGATGTATTTATCATCTTAACGTCATATATGCAGCTAAACCTGAAGAAGGCTTCAATCTTATAGTTATTGATCCGCCCTGGGAAAATGCAAGCGCTCATCAGAAGTCAAAGTTCGTTCCTGCCTCTGTTATATGTTAATATCGACACCAAATGTGCTTGTGAGATAAGCTGTTCATGAGCCATGTTTGTTTTGCTTCTTGTTCTAGGTATCCAACATTACCAAACAGATACTTCTTATCCCTCCCAATCAATCAGCTTACTCATGCTGAAGGAGCTCTTGTGGCTTTATGGGTGACCAATAGAGAGAAATTACTTAACTTTGTTGAGAAAGAGCTGTTCCCTGCGTGGGGAATTAAGTACGTAGCGACAATGTATTGGTTAAAGGTGAGTCCAACTTGCACTTCTCGATCCCCATCTTGATTTCTGAGTTTGCGTACATGAACTTGAAATTTAAAATGTTTCAGGTGAGACCCGATGGTACACTGATTTGCGATATGGACCTGGTCCATCATAAGCCTTATGAATATGTGCTACTAGGCTACCGCTTCACCGAAGTAAGCCAATTCTTGTATTTGTTTACTTGAATAATCATCTGCAAATAGAGCTTCTGTTTCACAGCCGTATGTATGTCATAGCTTGCAGAATCAATACATAGGTCAGATTTCAATCTCTTGGATAAGAACAAAATAATCATAAGCATCCCTGGAGATTTTTCGAGGAAACCTCCAATTGGAGGTATTTCAACTGCTTTGTTTTATCAAAATCAAGAGCGTAATGCAGTTTGTTCAAATTTTGCTGTCTAGTTCCCTGATTCTTTTTTTTTTTTTCACTTGGAAATTTGTGTAGAGATACTAATGAAACATGTTCCCGGGCCTCAACCAGCTCGGTGCATTGAGCTATTTGCTAGGGAAATGGCTGCTGGATGGACCTCTTGGGGAAACGAACCGCTTCACTTCCAGGACTCGAGATTCTTCTTGAAAGATTAGTGGGTGCATCAACTAATCTTTAGCACTGAAGATTACTGGCTTGGGCCAAAACTCTATGATTGTTTTTCTATGGCTCGTTTTCATGATGAGGACAGTGAAGAGACCTTTGAGTAGCATCAGAAGTTATGGTTCGGTGAAACGACATCGTTTGAAGTCAATGTGAGAATCAGGCGAGAAGCTTACTGATAGATTTCAGAACTGTACTGTACCATCAATTTTTTTTTGATATCACTGTACCATCAATTTAATAAGCTTTTTCTTTCTTGTCATCACAGATGTTTCAGGAAAAAAAAAATATAAGTACAAATGAGATCACATACTATCATTTATTTTCTTTTAACAAAATATATGAAAGAAACTGAAGGCAAAAGCGTGTAAAAATGAATTCAATAAGTGACTACTCGTTGGGAGATCATATCTGCTTTGAGAGGGGTCAGAATGTGGGGCAAATCCACTATCCCATTTTCCTATTATGTTCAATGAACTATACAATTTTTTAAAAAACATGAAAATTAAAGAAAATCATGATCAATGAAGGGAAGGGGCCCAACAATAATAATTCCAAGATAGTTGATTGTCATAGCAATCAAATAATAATATGCTTACAAACCACAAAACAATTCGACTATATTCCAAACATAGTAGAGGTTTCCAGTTTGACTGAATAATGTTTTGTGAATAAAATGTTGATTCTTTTTTACAGTTTCCAGTTACTGACTGTTTAGTAATCTGTAATTAGTAGGACGATAGAATAATTACATGTTTTTCTATCATTCACACAATTTTAAGAAATCACGATTTTATTCAGCTATTTTACAAAACTTTTTTCAGCATATTATTTTAAGCAATAAAAGATATTAAGCGGAATTGATAAACTAATCCGATGCAAAAGTGCCTTCAAAAAGATATATATATGCATTATGCATATCGCGCGTTGTACAAATTAAATGAATTAGATTACGAAGTTGAAAATTACTTAGTCTAGAAATTAATTATAAAGAGAAAGAGGATATATATAACAAGTTTCATTTTCGCTTGAACTCAGACAACTCAGTTGAGAAACTTGGTCACACGTCAGGAGTTTCCATCGTGTTGATTAGATCCATACAATCCGCCACAAAGACATAAAGCAATCCATTGCTCATATCAAAAAGTTTTAGCTCTTAATATTAACTACATATATATTATGGGCTCTAACTTTTAAACGTAGTTGAAATATCTTAATTTGTTTTCGTTTTAAAGCTCACTGTTCGTTATTCTACTTGCACGTGTTAAAAGAAGGCCGTGGATGGTATTCTGGAAAATGGACTCTGGAGGGATCTTCTTTGAATGTTTTAGCTACTGAATATGTTGCCATGTATAGTAATGAGTTTGTTAAAACCAAATATTAAATTATGATAAAAACTGTAGTTCAATATATATAGAGGCAAGCTTTCCAAATTTTATAAAATTACTAACAGAAATATAACTTATGCTGTTCCATAAGAGTTTAGTTAATTTTATACCCTAATCATCTACCAGATCGATTTACATATATTTGTTGTCACAATGCTCTCAATTAAAACCATTACTGGTCTCGCTAAAATGCCAATGAAGTAAAGAAAATAGCAATCATTGGATAGACACATGATATCAGGACAAAAGTGAGCACTTCTTTTGTTTTTGTTCATACTATAGTGACAGTTAAATTTTAATTAAGAAAAAAGCATTAATGTTTATGAGGCTTAAATTAATTTGTTTTCTATTAACATGGCCGAAAAACCAATCAGATGGGCTGTTTTGCGGTCATACATGAAAGGGACCCACCTCAAATAAGCGGAGCCCACATGTCTCACATCTTTTCTCTTTATAATCTGGTCATTTTACACAGATTGAGAGAAACATACATACATAACAACGTACAGCTTCCACTGATTCGTTACGCAAAACCATACAGTAAGTTACGTACGCCACAGCTTTTCTCACCATTCGTCAACTTTCGATTGACACGTGGCTGATTTACGTCAAATCACCAGTAAATTCTCTATTGTGAACCTGCGCGTACTCGAACATTCACCTAAATTCACCCATTTTATTTTTATTGTTGCTTTTTTTTTTTTAATAATGAAGAAAGATTCTTCTATAATTCCATCGAAGAGAGAAAAGCGTATTCCTCGTGAGCACTAACTTCTCACTCTTCTTCTTCATCTTCTTCAGCTGAATCACAATCCGTGCGTATAATCTGCAGCGACCTGTATTTATACCCGATTCGGATCGGTTTCGAAGGTGGTTTGGGTGTTTTGAGTGTTGGGGAAGAAGATGACGTCTGACGGTGCGACGTCGACGTCAGCAGCAGCGATGGCGACGAGGCGGAAGCCGTCGTGGAGAGAGAGGGAGAACAATCGGAGGAGGGAGAGGCGGAGAAGAGCTGTGGCGGCGAAGATATATACCGGTCTCAGAGCTCAAGGTAACTACAATCTGCCTAAACACTGCGACAACAATGAAGTGCTCAAGGCTCTTTGTTCTGAAGCTGGCTGGGTCGTTGAAGAAGACGGCACCACTTATCGCAAGGTGAGTATCATTCGCATTTGCTTTAGATCTGAGCTTATCTGTCGATGTTTCTCATGTTTTAGCTGTTGAATCTGTAGTTTTGGGATCCCTGGATTCAAAAATTCGTTTTCTCGGTTTTCTTTTCTGAAAATAGAATTCGAGCTTTTCAACGACATTTAGATGAATTTCATTAGTGAAATGGGAATTTTTAAAAGTGGATCTAGTTTCCTTCTGATTTTACTTGGAGAAAGTGAATTTAGGGCGATTCTTACTAAATCCAGAGTCAGTGGAGAAGATAATGGACTTCCTTTTAACATTTGCTTTCCTTTGAGTTACTATATTTAGATCTCTCCCTTGGCTTTTTAGTGCATCTAAAAATCTCAGTCATTGCTTCTTTTTCTTGTTTTTGCAGTTTTTATCACATAATCTTAGTGGAAAAGGGGTCTTTTGATCCAAAGTCTTTATAATTCTCCCTTTTCTGGAAATTGATTGTGACATTGTTGTGTACTTGTCTATTGTTCTTTGAACATCAGGGACACAAGCCTCTCCCTGGTGACATGGCTGGATCATCCTCGCGGGTCACTCCTTACTCTTCCCATAACCAAAGCCCTTTTGAAAGTCCCATCCTTTCTTACCAAGTCAGTCCGTCTTCTTCTTCATTCCCAAGTCCTTCTCGTGGCGGCGACACACACAACATCTCCAACATCTTCCCTTTCCTCAGGAACGGTGGGATTCCTTCATCGCTTCCTCCGCTTAGAATCTCAAACAGTGCTCCAGTCACTCCACCAGTCTCATCCCCAACTTCTAAAAACCACCCCAAGCCATTGCCCACTTGGGAATCTTTTACAAAACAATCCATGGCCATTGCTGCTAAACAATCAATCTCATCTTTCAACTACCCGTTTTACGCCGTATCTGCACCTGCGAGTCCCACTCATCATCGCCAGTTCAATGCCCCTGCTACTATACCTGAATGTGATGAGTCTGACTCTTCGACTGTTGATTCGGGTCATTGGATAAGCTTTCAAAAGTTCCCACAACAGCCATTTCATGCCGGCCCTGGAGTGCCAGCCTCTCCTACGTTCAATCTAGTGAAGCCCCCCGCACCTCAGCAATTATCTCCAAACACTGCAGCAAACCGGGAGATTGGTCAAAGCTCGGAATTCAAATTTGAGAACAGCCAAGTTAAGCCATGGGAAGGGGAGAGGATCCATGATGTGGCTATGGAGGATCTAGAGCTCACCCTTGGAAACGCTAAAGGTCGTAGTTGAGATAAAGAACAAAAGAACCTGTTGTGGCATGTCGAACTGGAAGGATTGTAGTCTTCGTGTGTTGTTCAGTTCATGGTTTTGGTTGTTGTACTAGAATCGATATTCATTGTACCGGTGAGTTTGTTTTCACAACCGCATTATTTGTAGATAGAATGTTTAAGATGTATGTTTCTATCATCATCCCTTCTAGATCTTGGAAAACATTACAAATATATTACATTATTAAGTGGCTTGAACTAGAACATATATCATTCAAACTTGAGATATACCGAAAGAGTAAAGAGGAAATTCTGAAACAGAGAGAAATGTGGAAGGAAAAGGCTTCATTATGCAAATATGAACCTAGAAAAGAAAAAAATGGTAACAAGAACAGACAAGTAAAAAAAGACTTGAGCTTTTAGCCATAAGTCACACAAAATTCATGATACAAAAGAAAAAAAAAAACAGAAGGCATCCATGAAGCATTAAACATGGAAACAATAAAGAAAAACGTAAAATTAGAATCACAAGTGTCAAGAAACTGAAAAACTTTTGAGTCTACTCTGCTTTTCAGGTGAATCATTCGGAGCCATCTGGGAAGCTATCAAGCGCGTCTTGCTTGCCATTTACGTAGAACTCAACCACTGCTCGCATTCTATTGAGCTTATCTGGATGGTAATTCACATGAACAATCACCGGTTTCACCTTCTTCTTCAGTTCCTGATTCTTTCTTACAGTCTTGAAAAGGACCTTACTGTTCATAAACTCATACATATCCATGACTCTCTTGGAGGCATGCAGGCCAATGTAGTCAGGATGCGAAGGATAAAACAGTTCCTCGTTGAAAACCGCTTGGTCCCACAGTTTGGCCTTGGAGAGCCTATCTGCTACACGATCGAGCAGCTCGATTGATGGAATCGTAGGCCTTAGGTAGAAAAACCCTGAATTGAAAACCCATATCCTCATCGTGTGAGCATACCGAGCCCATCCCATGGCTGGTTCATCAGATACATCGTTGAATCCATAAGCCGTCATATTGCTATGGCCATCACTCATTGACTCCACATCAGAGTCTCTGTACAGATGTCTGAATGGGTTTTGCAAGAAGACAATGTCCACATCCGAGAGAAGAACACCATAACCGAGTTGCAAGAACTCTCTTAGTACACGGAATTTCAATCCAGAGACGGCGTGGTTACCTCCGGTTTTCCCGACCGTGTCCACGTCCTTGTCTGGATCCCTCTTGTAATACGCAACATCTTTAGATTTACAGAAATTCTCTATGTAATCGTCCAATGCGACAACCAGGTAGTTTGTTATACCCAATCTCTTAATGCTAGCAATCTGAACCTCTAACATTGATTTCACATTTGCGTTTGCAAGAGCCACGATTACCTCTTTATCCACAGCGATCTCCTCTAGAATCTTTGCCAATCTTGGGTTTACAGATTCATCTGAGAGGATTGTTGGATTAGTTCTCAGACTCTTGACGGTTCCAAAAGGACCAGCCTTGATCTGTGTTCCCAAGGCTAGGACCTGTTTTCGTGCATTGTCTGGTCCTTGTTCCGCTAAACGTAGCTTTTCTGTTAACTCTCTGACCTGCTTCTTCAAATATGCATTCTTCTCTGAGAGAGATGCAAAGTCTGATTTTAGCATTTTTATTCGTGCGGGCGATTCACAAGACGATGATCCAACCTGAAGAAGAAAAAGAAAAGACAAAGAAGTGATGAAATTTAACCAAGTAAACTCAAATCTTCAAACTTCAAGAATCCTTAAACAGCTCAACTTAGTTCCAACTTGTGATACAATATCCAGTAATCAAGCCAAATACTTTGAAGAATTTCTCGAACTAATCTCCAACAAACACAAACGCCAAGAAGAATTTCTTCCATTTCTAGACACATTCCACTTAATACCTATAATGGCTGAGATTAACGCAGGGAATTATCAAATTCAGGTGAAAGCATTCTAAGTAACTCGATCACAGAACCCAAAATAAGAGCTCCTATAGAAATAAGGCGTAAGATCCAGTACCTGAACGCGTTCTTTAGCTGTAAGCGCCGACGAGCTCGAGTTGAAGAACCCGTTAGGGAACATAACGGCGCATACGCACCCGATAAAGATACCGACGAGGATGGCGATGGCAATTCGAGATCCACGGAGCTGTTGGCTTCTCTCTCTACGACCCGCCATGGTCGTTGACTTTCTCTCCTCCCTTCACTAGCGAAATCAAAGACCCAGAAGCTAAAACGATTAAGACTCTTCTCTGATTTACTTGAACAGACAAAGTTGAACAATGTGCTGGATCAAAGAAAAGTCTTTTCCTTTTCAGAAAACCCTAGAAATGTTCTATTTTCTTCGGTGGTCTCGAGTCAGACCTCCCGGCTTTTGAAGTTGTTGAGAGAGAGAGAGCTTGTTTGGCCTCTTCTGCGAAGACGACGATGAATCAAAGCTCATAAAAATACTGTTACTATGATTCACGGTGTAGATTCGTGTTTCGTATTCAACAGTTTAAGATGAAGTTTCAACCGTTCGATGGGGATGATTATTAAGCAGACTTATCTGACGGTCAACAGAACAAATTCTAAATCGAGATTTGACAGAAATATGATATATCAAAATTTTAAATTAACAAGCTCACATCTATAATCCACTTGCTAGCACGATCACACATGATAGACCAAACTAAACTATTATGATTGAGATTAGTTAAGCTGTCAAACCTTTCATCGCATCTTTACCAAATGTTTTATATATTTTAGATTCAGCGATCAAGTACGCGATTTCAGCGGTTAGACCGCCGCGATTTTGATTTGTGCGGCGGCGGGAAATAAGAAGAAGATTATCCACTTTGCAAAGAACATTTATTCTTTCACCGGGATTATTCAAAGAGTACTGCCTTGACCAAAAAAAAAGAAGAGCCTGAAAAAAAAAACGAACGAGGAACAAAAAAACTTTTGCGTTACAAAGATTATATAACTTGTTCAAGTAACAGTTGGTTCCATGTCAAAACTTAAACAAAGCTTGGGAATATGCAAGAAATCCAAAAAGACTCAACTTTCGTCGTCCAATACTTTGCTGTTACCAAACAAACTATCTCTTCTATTACCAAACCCGCTTGAATCAAGACCCGACCCGCCACGGTAGTTGTTATGATCCTGTGCGGTTGTTCTGTAGCCTCCATCCACCGGAGCTCTCGAGCTTTGGTCGTTAGCTCCAACTGACCGGTACGAAGACCCACCAGCGTATCTTCTCCGTAGATCCATGAGGTCATCGTTTCTTCTAGAAGGTTCAGTAAAAGACGGTTCTTTCGCGGAACTGTTTTGTCCTGCGGTTTGTGTAAAAGGATCATCTGGCCCCCACGCGGTGAGCGACTCTTTCTTCTTGGCGAAGAAATGCCAAGCTCCGAACAGAAACAGTATGAAGAAGAACACTGGACTGCTCCAAAGCATCGTGTTGAAATCACCTTTGAGACTCGTAAGCTTCGACTTATAAACCGCGAAATACCCGTCTCCTAAACCGATCACGACAAGATTTTCTCTGTCGCTAGCGATCAAAGGTCTCGCCTTTACTGCTGCTACGTTTCTTGAATAAGATTGACGATGGCTCAAGAACGCTGATCTGATCTCTTCTAATCCCGCGGAAAACAAAAGCCGAGGACCTGCTGTTCGGACGTAATGCTGAGTCGATACGTTGAAAGCGAAAACCTTTTCTTCGTTGATTACGAGAAGGTAGCCTTTGATTGACTGTAAAGCTACTGGCTCTTCCATTTGAAACTTTTTCTTGGATCTTACTCTACATTTGAAGTTCATTATATCTCCGTGAAGCAACACGTGAATGATTTCTCCCTCGGATGTGAATCCGTAAGCTTTAGACCTTTCCGTGGCATCGAAAACATAAGGTTCTCGCGATTGAATGGTTTAGTCCTTCACACTCTGTTTCTCTTATCTTCATACTCCTCAAAGTCCAACGAACCCAGCACCAGACTCGGTGAGAAACAACAGTCTCTGCTTCAAGAACACGAGCGGTCTACTCGATGGCATAACCGACCCATAAACCGTTCTGTTCTCGGTTAAAACCGTGAGCTTTCCGCTTAAATCCGTCGCCAATATATACCTAACACGACCAACATGATGCACTTCTAATAGAGTCACAGGATCAGCCGAATCATCCACATCAAATTTGCCAACAACTTCCATCGAAACCGAGTTCGAGTTCCAATCTTCGCCGTTGGATCCCTCGTGGATCCGATGCAGCAAAACCGCACCGTTCTGATGGCCCGTGACCACGAAACTCGAGTTCTTGAACACAGACAAATACGAAACCATAGCAGTTATCGGTGAATCAACCGTGGTGAAAAACTCAATCAAAACATCACCATTTCTCAAGAACACATAAACCCTGCCTCGAGAATCACCAATCGCAAAGTATTTGCTCGAACCTTCGAAGTCCTTAAACGGCAGCACATTGATACAAGTCGCATCGGAATCGAGTTTCACAGCTGATGTGAACAAAAACCTCTCCGACCAAAAAGGGCTGTATTTAGTAACCGAAAACGCCTTTGCTCTTCCTCCTCTCTCTTTCTCATCTTCCATTTCATCACCTGATCTAGTGATCTCGTTCTTCTCCATTAATGGCGATTCCTGAGTTTCAGATAACCTAGCATCTAGATTAGCGACTAATTCCGTCAGATTCTTGACGAGTGCCTCCAGTTTATGCAATAGAACAGCTTCTCGATTGGATTCACTAACCGAAACAGCTACATCGGTGGAAACATCTACGGTTTCGTATGGAGTCGGATCAACTATAACCGGCGACTCGTTGGCATACGACGGCGAAACAAAAAGTAAAGTGAGGGAGATTAAAAAGGAGAAGCGGAAGAAGAAGGACTTGCCGTTTTGAGGAACCGCCATTAAAAGTAATGCAAAAGTTAAGCAGAAAGCTTTTTCCTTTTTCCGTGTCTGAATCAGTGAGTAACCGCCATTTATGCAGATCCGTAGGAGATGGAGTGGAGATTAAGGATCTGAGTGGAAAGAGAAGAAGATCTTGTCCTGTTAGATCTTTGTTGGGTGTAATAAAAAAATTTTAGAAGAAGGTCAAAAATTGAGACCTTTGTGTCTGGAATTCGATCCGGTCGTCTTCAGTCACGGTGAAGCTTGGCGCTAAGAAGAGATCAGAAAGTGTCTTACGATATTTTGGGACTATTTATCATGTAATAATATTTTTATCTAATTTTGTGCTGTTTTTAATACTAATTTTGTGCTATTTGGGACTATTTATCATGTATTTTTTCCAGAAATTTTAATCTTTGTAGTCCGTTTTTCAAATTGCCCATGGATGTCAAGATTTGTATAGTATAGATGAAACTTTAAATTGTGTTTTTTTTTTCCTTTCATTCAGCAAAAAAAAAAACAAGTTCAGTAGGTTGGTCATATTTGTGATTGGATTAAAACTAACTTTAACTTACACACGAAAATCTAACACATTACTAATCAACAAATGCTCTGGCTTGTGATAAATAACCGCATTTAAAAGCATTTTAAGACGTTAATTTCTTCTTATTATGTATGGGGTTTGTTGAAAAATAAAAAACACGTTAACCTCTTACAGAAATAAAAGTTACAGCGTAACTTAAATATATAAAAACTCATATTGAAACCCAAAAAGACGCATAAATTGGTTGGATTAAAAACCTTTTCTTTACGAAGAAACAGTAACATCATAGTAAATAAATTTTTCGGCGCCGACCATTCTAGATGGCCACACATAGAATTAGAAAAGCACACATGCTGATCAGCGACAAGATCCATAGACTCTCCACGTGAAGCTTCTTGGTCACAGTGAAGCAAAAGCCCTCGATTTTTCAAAACACACTGTCCCAATGCGCTTATACATGGACAAAGTCCACCCCAATCTCATATATACGAGATCCCGAAATCTTTGTTTTTTTTGTTTGTTTGTTGATATAACATCAATTTAGAGACCAACCAAAAAAGGAAAAATGTTTAATGGCCAACAAAATTGATTACGTCACCTCTTTTTCGAGTTCGGTCTTGAAAAAAAAGAGAAATGTGAAATGAGTAGAAAAAGAATTGTTTGAATAGCCAAGGGAGACTGCCTAACGACTAACCAACTCAGAGACTATCGATATAGTCTTCGATAAATATGGTTTTAAGACGCAGGCAAGTCATCTTTGGTGATACGATCCTAAGTGATTAACTCTGAAGCAAAGGGAAATAGATGCAGCGATATGATGGATAGAAGGAATCGATGATGCGTTATGGTGGTGGAGGTGACACGATGGTGACTCGAAGCGATGAGAGACGATGGTGGCTGGTGGATCGATGGTGATGATGGTGGAGGGATGAGTTCGATGGATATGGTGGTGGATGAGAAGAGAAGATGATGAAATCGATTAGATGATAGGTAGCAGATTTTCTTGTAAGAATCACTTGTAAGAAAATCGAATTCAATGAACTTTTTGAGTCAAGGAGTCAAAGCAAACTTTGCTATCTCTTTTACGTTAAAATTCCAAGCTGCCTAATGACTTAGGCGATTTCTCTATTATATAGACTTAGAGAAATCGCAGCCCTAAAGAAACAAAACTACATGAAATTTAAATAAAAACAACATGAAGTTTGATTTAAAATAAAAACAGCGAGGCGTCCCTTCTAATCCTAAGTGGTGCGCCTAAAACAACTAGTGCACAAGTCATTTTGACTTTGCACATTATTACCCATTAGTAACAACTTCTAAGTAACTCGACGTAGCAATGATTTCTGCCTCGTTAAAAACCTTGGAGAAGAACCTCCTTGCCTTCCAAAATCTTCACCAAGGAAAAGAGTACAAAATCATCACCTAAGTTACATAGTCATTGTTACTGGATTCTTCATTCTTCAAGATAGAGATGTTGAAGATGTGAGCTCCAGCCTCCTGGTGATCGCTGTCCTCTGTGGCAATGAGTGCGTGAGCCTCCTTAACCATCTCTCTAGCTCTGGAACGAGTAATCCTGCCAGCTATCTCTGGTTCCTCCTCCTCTGAGGATCATATCACTTGGCTACCACACAACTTCTCATTCTTCATGTCACCGTTTCTCTTTATATAATTTTCTCTTTCTTTTGATGTTGTTGACAAGTATAGCCTCTAGCTAATACTATGTGTATATATAGGCATGACGGCATGAGCATGGAGTGGACACAATATGTTTGACCAAACATGTGTGCATGGCCTTGTTTTGGAATATCTTCTTAAAGTTTTGGTACTGGGATGGTCTGAGTATAACAAGTTGGTGAACCATATATATATTAATATTCGTATTAATTAGTTCTAGCTACGTGTATTATTGTTACTTAGAACTTCGAAGAACGTTTGTTTAAGTGTTGTAGATCTATATTTAACTGTGATATATAGTGTTTAGATTAACAAAAAACAATCCAAATTGATATTGTGACTATGATAACTAGCGTAACTACAAATATAATGGCGTTATTACAGACGATCATTCATTATAGACGGACGCACACAAGATATTTTTCAGACAATATCGTCCCTATAACGAAGTGTTCAACCATCTAGATACAGATGGACAACATGTGAACGATATGTTATCTTTGTCTAAGTTCATCCCTCTTTTATTCGCTTGTGGACCACCTTTGACTTATTCGCCCAAATCGGTATCCTGATTTTTTTGGTTATTGGATGTTTAACCACCATTTGATTGTTTTTTTTACCAGTGCAAGATAATGATGCAAAGGAAGGAATAATATAATCATCATCAGTCTATCTCTATATATGTTTTTTCTACTCTTCTTACATAAGGTTTTCTAAGTACTCAAATGGCAAGAAATATGCTCTGAAACCTAATCATCTCTATCAGAGTATCAGGTCAATATATACCCATTTCTTACTGTAGTTGACTACTAGTGTAATTGGGACCATAAAGGACAGAACATTTAATTATAAAAGTCATGATGCCATATGAATTTGTGTAGTAAACAGGGAATATTTTGAGCTTTCTGTGAATAGTTATATGAAAATATAACATCTAGAGTTATTCTTATATCTATTCCGAGTTAGCTAGAAAGAATGTATACCATTATGAGAGAGGTTGGAAACGAAAGCTGTCGCCCATATATATAGGATATATTGCTTCTTCTTTTTTTCCTTTTCGAATTTTTGCATGTAGGACTTATATGAATGATATGAGAAGAGCCACACAATCAATAATATATAGCTCTTCTCACATCAATCATCCTTTAGAGTCATTGATACCACACAAATAAAAGGAAAAAAAGAAAAACGAAAGAAGGAAAGAGATAAAGATTATATGTATGTAGACTGAGTTTGATTAGAAAATGTGACTTGCTAGTTGCTAGTAAAGGATGACTTGCCAAACTTTTTTCTGGTGTTTCTGTTTATATAAACGAGATAAACTGCTTTTGTTTTGGAACTGTTTAAGAGTGTGGATTTTAGTTAACAAAAACATCAAACGAAAAACTATGTGAGCCCATTGGACCAATATATTCAAAGTAAGCCCATTGTAAAGCTAAACCCTAGCTTGGTTTGTCACCTCTTCGTTATATAAACCATATTTAACAAACCACACCTGCGGAAATCTCTTTGATCGCTCATAGTTCTTTCTTCTGTTTCCGCGAAAGTATTTGCTTTCTGTTTTTCTTGGTTTGTTCTTCATGGTTTTAAAATTATCTGTTTTTTTTTTTAATTGGCAAATGATGAGTAGAATCTTATCCTACACACAGATGAATCAGTGTTGACTACCAATCTCTGCTTATTATCTGATGCCAATTGGTCCGAAGCTCTTTCATTGACAAAATCCAATTTTAATTTGTTTTAGCTCTGTTTGGTTTCGTTAAAGTTTGATTATTTAAAATTCGATGGTGGCAGATGAGTTCTGATGCCCTTCTTAAAAGTATTACTTTAAAAATCTAAATTAAGAATAACAATTGTGAGGAAGATACAATGATGAGAAATAGCAGACGGGCGGTCTGAAATTGATGTCGTGTTGATTGTCTGCCTCTAATTGCTACACTTAGCATCTCTGAGTTTCTGATCCATTCGCCAACACATGCGTGACGTTTTAAAATCATTAACTGAATTGAGTGTTACCCAAATTTTCAGATCGAAAATCTTGACTTTAATATCTGAAAATAATGAAATCGGCAATATACTTGTCGAAGTAATCTAAGGCAAAATCAAATTATCAACTGTATAAGACTTTAGATTCTTAATTAAATTTAACGATGATAAAAAATACCATAGTGCGTGAAGTAATCAAAAATCTAAATAATTTTAAGACAGATCAAAAGTTCATGCTATGGTCTCGTCAAGACTGTTGTAAAACCAAAAAAATCAGACTTGCTATTGTTTGGACACGAAGACTACTATATCCACCGGCTTGATTCTTTTAAACAGTTAAAATATCGCAGTCGCAGCCGTAATAAGAGAGAACGCGTTACTAAAGTCAACACGAAGTCAACTTCATCGTGGCTTTTAGCCCATCCCACTTCGTCGTATTCAGCTAAAAAAACTCAGTACTGACTTTTTAAAATTTGTTAGTTTTATCCAAACTTTTCAAAAAGTCTCTCTTTCACATTTGATCTTTAGTTCCTTTATCAAGGCAGGTCCATAACACAACACTTGATTCGGAGATCAGTTAGAAATGAAGTTTGAAGAATCTCAAACGCTCTTACCCGTGAGAAAACCTGTAAATGGCTGTTGTCTCAGCAGCAACCGCAAACGCGCTGGTTACAAGCTTTGGGTTTTAGTCGCGGTTCTCCTCTTGGCCTTAGGGTCTATGTTAACCGGTTCCGTCTCTCTCAAAGGACTCGGTCTGTTCCACTCTGTTGACGGCGAATTCGGATTTCCCGTCGGCGACGATCTCGACGTTCTGGTACCAGTTTGATCGCGGTTTTGTATTTGAAATTTTTTAAAATCGGAATTGGATTTTTGAGTTTTGGAGTTTTTGTGGAATTGACAGGAAATTGAGGAGAGAGAGAAAGTGGTGAGGCAGATGTGGGATGTTTACGGACGCTCCGGCGGCGTAAGGATTCCTCGGTTCTGGCGAGAGGCGTTCGAGGCGGCTTATGAGTTTCTGGTCAGTGACTCCGCCGCCGTTCGAAACGGTGCCGTTTCCGATATTGCGAAGCTGTCTCTTGTTCGCTCTCTTAAGCCCGACTCTACTTCGGCCCAGCCCAATCATCATTGAGTTTTGAAGACGGAAACCCACGAGAATAACATAAGATTTTTATTGTATATAAGAGTATTTCTCGAATAATACCGAAACTGTAATATTTCTCAATAATAATAATTGGTCATTCGAGGAGAGAAAATTAAATGCATAATGCATAAATCGAGTTTTCTATAAACAGTATTAAAGGAATCTAGAATGGGGCGACGTGGCTCTCCAAAAATTAATTACTCTTGCTAAAGTTAATCACGCACGAACAAAAATTAATTACTCTTGAAGGGACATCCGATAAAAAAAAAATCACGCGCGAACTTATTAACCACCTTTTCTCGTTCTATTTCATCTGTACCGTCGATTGCTTTACACATTAATAATTGACAACCGTAGGATCTCTCAATAATCTCCGAAATTTAAAACCGACTCGGATTTGGGGTTTTGCTCCGTCTATATAAAAAGTGGCTCGACTTGTTTCTCAGTTTTTTACCCAAAATCTCCCGCTGATCGCTTCTGCATCTTTCTTCTCATGTGAGTTTGGTTTCGAAATCCGATTTAACTCTTTTTTTTTTCTCCTGGGACATTCGGTCGTTTTATTGATTATCTTTCGAATTTCCTTGTTAGGGTTTGGCACGACGCATCTCGATTCGGGTGACCTTAATCCTGAGCCGACCGATTGAGTTTTTTCCGGCCGGTCATCGAGGTATGTTATTTTCTATACCTAGGGTTTCTCGATTCTGTTGCTACTGTTTCTGAATCGTTCGGGTCTTGTGTTGGATTGCTTTGATACAGTTGACTTACTTTTGGGATTCGTAATTCTCTAGGGATTAACAAGAGCGGGCGGGAATAAACAGCATCTGATCAATTCTCGTTGATCTGATCAATTCTCGTTGATCAACAACAAGAACTCAATGTGTAATTCGGGTATTTTCTTATTGCACAGATACTGAGATACTGTTTGGGATATTTTTTTTTTTGGTAAAAGATACTGTTTGGGATTTCAAAGTATCGAGGGAAAAAAGAAAAAGATGTAGAAAAAAGGGATGTATGTGACCTTTGCCATGACAGGTGCGCTTGCTTGGCAGGTCAAAAACCCTTAAATAAAAAGATACAGTTTTTGGTTCTGTGGAGGGATGGGAGATGGCACGGGGATTGGTTATTATTCTTTATTTGCCCGGCTCTCCCTCCCTCAGGGCTGTGTGCCTGTGTCTCTCTCGTTTTTTTTTTTTTTTTTATTGCTCTTTCATATGCTTCTTGCATACCACAAAGAGGATCACAAACCCAATTCTGAGGCATCACTTGTGCCCCTCTAATATGCATCTTGCATATGAACCCATCAGTGCAAATCAGGAAGAGAACCACTGACCGAATATTGAGCTATCACTTGTGCTTTTCATTATGCTTCTTGCATGTGCTACCATCTAAGGGAATCACAAACCTGACAATGAGCTTCTAATGACCAAAACAAAGGTAATTGCCTGTTAATTATTTTAATTACACACGACCGAATAAAATTTGCTAATCTTAGTTCATTGATTCTGAATTAAATGGGCTTTACTTTGCGTTCTCCAGCTACTTAATTGCATATGTACTCGTAACTCTCGTAGTTAATAAGTATGCAGTATACTACTTTGATTTCCTATTTATTTATTGAAATATGGAATGTGTATTTTCATACCATCTTCTGGAGTTTGGATTGGCTTTTCTTTTGGTATGAGCCTATGTTAATAAAAGCCTGTATGTATAGACATTAATGATCCCTAGTGTTTGCTCAAGTAATTTTTTTTTTTCTTCTGATGCGTCTGTGGTGTGTGGTAATACTTATTGCAAGCTTTGCTGGTTGTCGGTTTTTATCCTCGAGATATTTAATGGATGTGTTCCAAGAATGGTGCTTCAAACGTTGTGTTACTAAAGAAAACTTCAAAGAATCTTCTCCTATCTATCAATGTGTCGAGGAAATAGCCTCCTTCCAAGTAGTAATGGAATCTGAATGTAATAAGGCTGAAGAGTTGTAAAGAGGTTGGTCTCTGTATCGCAAGATTCTTCTTAAACACTATTATCCAACCATAAGGGTTTTGGTAGTTGAATTATCCGAATTCAATGCATGGTTTATCTAATTTTGCTCTAAATTTCATAACTTCGTATGATATGATGACTTTTGCCTGAATGTTACTTGTCCTAATTACATGCACGTTTAAGATCTATCTTTTTTCGTGTCAGGTACTTAGTGACCATCTAAACTAAGCAAGCCCTCATCTGTATATATTCTTTTGAATACACACGAGAAAGTAGGAAAGTGGATCCATCAGGCTCAAATGGAGAACAACAATCTGCAAGAAAGTTGGACTGCTTAAGGTGATTCTCTTAACAACAGAGATCTAAGTAAAGATTGTAGACTTGATTGTCTAGATCTTGGAAAATAAGGTGTTTTGTGTAGTACTTGTGGAGTATAATGATGGCTCCTCAAAGTGGAAAAGCCTTAAAAGCTGTAAAATTATAGAGATGAAAAGCCTTGTACGGTTGTGTTCAACATGTAGAAAGATCGCGTTAACTCTCTTAAAGAATTTGAGTAATTATTCAAAGGCACAGAAAAGCCAAAAAATCGTAATTGAGCTAAGAATTCATTTATTTACAGGAAAGTTCATTATTCTCTTAAAGGGTAGGGAAAGCCCAGTAGAGGAGCAGGTATTTAAGAGACATACGCAACCACAACAAACATTATACAGTTCAGCAACTACCAAAACTTTGAAAACATAATCAGTTTTGTTCAGAATTACCTTCCCCTTTTCACAGTTCACCATGTGGAGCGAGGAAACAATGGTTCAGCATCTGATGAGGAAGAGGAAGCAGCAGTACTAGGGATTGGAGCAGTAACACCGATAGTCCACGAATCAGCTATGTGTATCGTATTCATTCCTTGGTCCTCTTCATCAGCATCATCGTCATTTTCAACCTTTACCAACGAATCACCTGTAGGAGATGAACATATCTTCTCCAACTCGGTAAACACTTCTCTCATATATGGCCGCTTCTTTCCCTTAGAATTTAAACATCTCCTTGCTAGATTTGCCACTGCCATTACTTGTTCCGGATTGCAGGCATCTCTTATTCGAGCATCCATAATATCATTGAATCTGTTCTCCTTCATGGCAGCTTTGAAATGATCCGCTAAGCCTTTTATTTCTTGAGAATCTGAAAAGGTAATTACAGGCTTCTCTCCTGTGATAAGCTCAACAAGGATGACTCCAAAGCTATAAACATCACTCTTATCGGTATATTGGCTAGATCCATAGTACTCTGGATCCACATATCCGACTGTACCTGAAACAAACGTTGTCCAGTGAGTATGATCTAGAGTTACTGATCTTGAAGTACCGAAATCGGACACTTTGGCTCGATACTTCTCGTCTAGTAATATGTTTGTTGACTTGACATCTCTGTGATAAATTGGAGAAGACGCAGAAGAGTGCAAATACGAAAGAGCTCCTGCAATATCCACGGCAATGCGCAGACGCACCCCCCATATCATTGTGTAAGCATCAGTTTCTTCATGGATGTGCTGGAGAAGGTTACCATTGGGGATAAACTCATAAACCAGAACGGGAACTTCCGTCTCAAGACAGCATCCTAGGAGCTTGACGACATGTCTGTGGTTGACCTGGGAGAGGATCACAACTTCGTTGATGAACTCTTCTATTTTGTCTTCATCCACAGCTTTGGATTTCTTGACAGCAACCGTTCTACCATCGACTAGCATTCCTTTGTACACAGTGCCTTGACCACCCTGTCCAAGTATCCTGTTTTCGCTGAAGTTTTCAGTGGCTTTTTCAAGCTCTTTCGAGCTGAATATCCTTGTCGTCTCTATGCTGCCTTCTCTTGTGTTTAGTTGTTGTTGCAACAATAACCCACCGTTACGTTTGAAGAACTTCTTTTTCCTCTGAGTTTTCCTTCTCTTCTTAAGAAACTTTCTCAAGAACCAAATTACACCTACTAGGACTAACACTCCAAAACCTGCACCTACTCCTGAAAACCAAAAACCGCACAAGATTGTTGATAAACAGCTGTTTAACTTTGCAACATTTCATGCCTTCGTGATGCTAACCGAAGCAGAAGATACATTGGCTAACTTACCTATCATTATTGCTCCAGTTTTATCGCGCACACACTCAACATCTCCAGGCAAATTCACGCAAGTATCGCCACTTCCTGTACAGTATCGGCGACTTCCATCAGGATCGCGTTCTTGGCACTCATCAATGTCTAGACAGTCGATATGAAAGATGGTGAAATTGTAATCAGCTGACGATGATTTATACTGAAGTCTCTAGCCAAGGAAAGATTTGTATTTCCCTCACGAGATGTGATATATGTACAAAAAGAGACACGTTTAGAAACAAACCTTTGCATCCGTTAAAGAGGTATGGGTTGCCTGTATAACCTTGTGTGCATCCACAGCTTGCATAATTGGTCGCAGAAATGGTGATATTGCTGCAGGTGCAACTTGTTCCGAATTTAATATCATTAAACCCTAAACTATTGTACTCTTTTGTGTTTCTGCAGCTCAAGGAGTCTACAAAGGAAAGGTTACTGGTCTGAATGACCCATCCTATCCTAACTGTGGCATACCCTTTAGCAAAAAGTCTTTCTGGCTCTGTTAAATTCGATGACGTGTAGACTTCATCTGTAAGGAAAGCGACTCTACATTGTCGGCTTGTCGTCGAGTTTCCATTCTCAAGGCTCTCTATGTCGACGCCGATCACCTGGTGAGCCTCAGTATCATCCGGTAGACTTGCACGGCAACATCCGTTGCCATTGCAGCTTCTTTCTTCTTGATCCCCATGATCATTCTTTGTACAGTCTTCTTGAGTGTTTTCGTAAGGCAAGGCGTTGCTAGAACATCCAGATTTGTCGAAAAAGGGCGCGTTTTTGCTACGTAATGAATCTTTGCTTGCAGCAGTGCAGCTCAGCTCGCATCCCACAATGCTCGGCTCGATGTTAGTCAACGACGCCTTGCTGTTGCAGCCAACCGCTACGAGGCTGTTTCCACTCCCAATGAAGAAAGGGCTGTCCTTTAAATTCAAGACCGATGCAGACTGATCTTTTTCATCTCTTGAACATCCATCGGATTTTATAGGGCTTTTTACACGGATCGATCCCAAAGATCGGCGGGTATTGTATTCAACAGTCCCATCAGCTGGAAGATAGATATTCACAACTTCCATGTTTAGCTTGAAGAGGAATGGGGAAGTAGCGTTTCTGCATTCGATTCTGTACCATTCGTTGAGGTAGCAACCTTGTTGGATTCCAAAAGGGTACGGGATCTTCTTCATATCTCCACATGATTCCGATTGACACGAGCTCGAAATTGACTCATGGATGAACAGAAATAGTAAAGGAGAGAGAAAAATCGAGGAGTAACTCTTATAGCAACTCATGATGTTGCTCAACTGAAATTAGCAAGCCGATGTTCAGGTTACTTGCAATACAAGTTATGAAACAACATCAGATGTTTCGAATTTCATAAGTACTTGGGAGATATATAATAACAAGAACTCAAGTTTTTTGATGTTGTGTTGAAAACAGCTTTCGTTCAGAATAAATCAACCAGTGGCGAATTTCTGATAGTTCAAGGTCAATAGTCTAAGCCGTCTTGTTTTACTAAAAACATGCCCTACAAAAATATCACTATCAACTCATTTTAATAAACGTTTGTGAGAGACGAAAATGTGAAATAGTAGTCTTTGTGTTCTCGAAGTAGAAGAAGTTTCTTCTCAAATGACCTAGTCCGAGAACCAATCCACATCAACAATAGAACATCATGTTTATGTGATAAACAATTCAAAGCCCAACTTTAAGCCCATCAAGTGAGTAAATTGGCAACTGACGCCAACAGAACCTGAGTTTGGTGGTTAGTGAGAGCTCTGTTTCGCAATCAGAGGAAGTTTAACTGAGCCAAAATTTTGACCACTCTCTTGAGGTGGTTGTAGTGTGTACTTGTGTAATGAGGTTGTTTTTAGGTAGTCGGTTCTAACTTCTATAAGAAAAAAGTGATTCTAGGTGATTCCGGGTATCATATCCAGACAAAACTAGAGCACCAAGTCAAGAGCTTGAAAGCATTAAACCTGCAATTGTTTTTCTTTGCTTGCTCTGTTTTCACTTTTCTTCTTACCCAAGTCGTTTCTTATCTCAAAATAACGAGTGAGTGAAAGTGAGAGAAGATATAGTAGTACCAAAGACTCGAGCTTGATCATCTCAAAGCCCTACATAAAATATAATACAACCGAGAAGGCTACCAAAGTTCAGTGAATTAGAATTTCTAGACCCGTCTATTTACAGAGCTAGTTTGCAACTTATATCCGTCCCTGCTAATTTGTGTTGTCACTGTAAGTTTGGCTGAAATATATATTTCTTTTTTCTCTAAAAATCTAATACTTGCATCATTTCTTGTATTTGTTCTTAGTGAACTAGACACGTCTATCTACAGAGTTACTTTGCAAGTTCTCTTTTTTTTGGTCTGATTACTTTGCAAGTTCCTATCAATCAAATTCTGAATACCAGAAAAAGGGCTACACTCTCTGACTCATTTATTTACAGTAAAACAGATACGAACAAACCCAAACCCACAGCCAATTGTTAGATTCACATCACACCCAACATACAAATGGTCAAAAAAAAAGAGGATTCTCTCAAAATTTCAAGGTGAGAAGAAGTGAAAATGTATATGTTAAACTAGAGAAGCCTCCTCCTGAAATTTCTGGTCGTTGATTGATAAATACGAACGAGAAGACCGACACCAATCCCAAGACCAACACAGACACCAAGTCCTATCCCAACACCAACCCTTACACCTGCATTGAACCATGACATCTCTCCATCTATGCATTCACCTCTCCAATACATGTCTCCTTCGTATTCCTCTTTGTAATTTGCGTATTCGTTTACAGAAAGTAAATATCAACAATCACTCACACCAAGTGTGTGCTTTTGCAACTCTGGTTAACGTAAAATCAGGGGAAAAAAAAGAGAATTCTTTCAAAATTTGAAGGCAAAAAAGGAAACGGAAAAACCCACTAGAGGATGTGAAAAAGAGGAAATGAGAGAGAAAGGTCTATGGCGAGAAATGAATTGTTTTCAAACATTACAGGAGTACTATATCCCTTAGCAAATAATTTTTCTGGCTTGGTTGCATTCGACACGGTGTACATCTCATCTGTTAAGAAAGCGACTCTGCATTTTCGGCTTGTCGAGTTTCCATGATCAAAGTTGTCTATTCTGACACCGATCATCTGTTGAGCGTCAATACTCTGTGCGCTTGCTTGACAGCATCCGTTACCATCGCAGCTTCTTTCTCCGTTCCCTCTGTTCTTTGTACAAACCGTAGAGTAAGTATAAGGCAACGCATTGTAAGAACACCCGGTTTTGTCGAAAAAAGGGACGCTACTGCTAGGTAAAGACTCTTTGCTTGCTGTGCAATTCAACTCGCATCCCACTTTGTTCGGTTCGATGTTAGTCAACGAGGCTTTGCTGTTGCAACCAACCGCTACGAGGTTGTTTCCAGTCCCAAAGAAAAAAGGGCTACCCGTCAAATTCAAGACCGATCTAGATTCTTTTCCATCTCTGGAACATCCAACGGATGTTATCGGGTTTCTGACACGAATTGACCCGAATGAATTGGAATTATAGGAACCCTCTCTGTCGCCAGGAAGAGAGATATTCACAACTTCCATGTTTAGCTTGAAAAGAAAAGGGGAAGTAGCGTTTTTGCATTCGATTCTGTACCATTCGTTGAGATAGCAACCTTCTTTGATTCCAAAGGGGTACAGGATCCTTACACTTCCACATGATTCGGTTTCACATGAGCTCGAAAGAGCGGTGACTTTTGAATCAATGATGAGCATGATTAGTAGAAGAGAGAGAATAATCGACAAGGAGTAATTGTTATAGCACCTCATGATGTTGCTTTTGGCGGCCGGCTGATTTGTTCCTTGCTAAACAAGTAAACCGACTCTCAGGAATGTTCCGTCACAGGTTACAAAATTAACTTAAATATGTCTTGAGTTTCTTTAGAACTTGGAAGATTTCTAGGACAAGTTTGAGTGCTGTGTTGGAAACAGATTTTGTCCGAGAATGAATAAAACCAGTTTTTTTTTTTGTTGTCTTCCAGGTTCTTGTAGCTCAAGGTCAATAGTCCAACTCTAATTATTTTTATAAACCATTTCATTTTCAAATTTCCTTTTCGTCCCTCCCAAAATTACATCATCTCTTAGTCCCAACAATTTTTTTTTTTTTTTCAAGTCTTAGTAGCATTTAACTAAGCACGAGGGTCACTTCTTTTATTTTAAATTTCATTCCCCTCTTCCTTTGATTTTGTCCAAGCATATTTTTGATGATAAATTAAGCCGTGAGAATGACTGCTAAAAAAAAAGTTCAATGGGCGAAATTTCCTCTTTAGATGAATAATGAATTGAACTTTTCTTTGTTTTCTGTGGAAATAAGCCTAAGAACATTTTATAATAGTCAATACAAAAACTCATTGATGTATAGTTACCATCGACTTTTCACTAATCAACTACTTCGTTGAATTCTGATTTACTGACATCTACAGACTACAGTGCAACAAATACCAAACCTTTGAAAGTACCAGCAACTTCTTTTTTTTTTTTTTGAATTGAATGTAAAATTGTATTCAATCAAATAGGCTTTACATCAAGTGCATCAGAGCTTTATCATCTCAAAACCCAACATAAAAGCTAATACAACCGAGAAGGCTGCAAAAGTTAAGTGAATTAGAATTTATAGACCCGTCTATTTACAGAGCTAATTTGCAACTTAGATCCGTCCCTGCTGATTGTGTTGTCACTGTAAGTTTAGCTGAAATATAGTTTTTTTTTTTTTTCTATAAAAATCGAATACCTGCATCATTTCATGTATTAGATCTTCGTGAATTACACCCGTCTATCTACAGAGTTGCTTTGCAAGTTCTCTCTTTTTTTTTCTTCATCTGGTCAGATTACTTCGCAAGTTTCTATCAATCAAATTCTGAATACCAAAAAAAGGACTACACTCTCTCACTCGTTTATTTACAGTAAAACAGATACCAACAAACCCACACCAAATTGTTTGATTCACATCACACCCAAAATACAAATGGTCAAAAAAGAGGATTCTCTCAAAATTTCAAGGTAAAGAACTAAAGAAAAGTGAAAATGTATATATTAAACTAGAGAAGCCTCCTCCTGAAGTTTCTGGTCGTTGATTGATAAGTACGAACGAGAAGACCGACACCAATCCCAAGACCAACGCAGACACCAAGTCCTATCCCAACACCAACCCTTACACCTGCATTGAACCATGACATCTCTCCATCTATGCATTCACTTCTCCAATACATGTCTCCTTCGTATTCCTCTTTGTAATTTGCGTATTCTTCTGCCTGCGCAGACAAAAGCAAAAATCATACTTAAAGGAAACAAACTATACGAAGAAGATACTTTCAAGGATCAGCTTTGCCAGGTTGTTCTCATAGTGGCTTTTATGCAATAGCTTAGATTTCCTATTTACTAAATGAATCTACTTCCTAACAGTAATAGTGAAAGCTGAAGGGGAAACACCTTTAGCCTATATTGATCCAAAATATTTGACAGACTTCACAGCACAACATTACAACAAAGCATATACTGAAGAAATCGTAGGTAGCAACCCCTTGTGGGTCATAGAAGCAGCAGACAAAAGGATAAGAGCTCACAGACAAAGGAGGCAGATGGGAGATTTATATCTATCTCTTCAATCCTAAATTGGGTCTAGCCACATGCCACATTCATCAGAAGGAGACGGGTCCACTTCAATTCTTTTAAAGGATTTTTAATCTTCCTACCAACAAACATGATTTCAATAGGGAAAAGAGATCCGAAAACAATCACAACATGTTATAATTTATTAGTTTTCCATCTGAGATAGTAACCAATGGCTTGAACACAATACAAAAATGCTCAAGAAAACTGTGAAGCAATGAGAAGAAATAAGATTGTATCAGGCATATGCAATATCTTGAAACAGTGGAGAACGAACTCAGATAATATCAAATTGAATACTTTAAATTTACCTGAAAATCAAGCTCCGAGGGGTTGTTTTTCCGAGGCTCTGCCGTTTCATACTCAGGAATTGAGTCCAATGCCATTCTTCTACCGTGTTTCTTTCTCAAACCAAGCTGCAGAGTCTTGGTTAAGATGATAGGTGTTCCTGAGAAGCAACCAGTGACATAAACCTCGATAGTTGGCAATGGTGACGACAACTCTTGACCGTTAATGCTCTTCTCCTTAAAGAAACCAGACCCTGCAGTGTTTACAGCCTCACAATCCATGTTCCATCGATTATTCGATTCCCCAGTGAAACCTTTACTGTCAGACATCTCAAGAGTTCCAGACAGAACAAGCTCGTTTCTGTCATAAACCTCAAACTTTATGCTACCGGTTAACCTGATATTGTCTGTGCTGACATAAGTAGCTTCTTCGGATTTCTTATCAACCCGGTCCCTCCTGAGCTGTGAAGAACACCCTTCCGAGTACATGCTCATCCTAACACCGTTTATCTCCAAAAGCGTATCTGGATCCAGAGGAATGTGATTGATGGTGAGGACTTCAGGGGTCGAATCATCCACAGTGAAATTGCTTATCCTGACGTAAAAAACTCTCAAATCCAACCAGGGAGATGAGATTCTGGAGCTGTGATGGTTATAGTTATGATATCTAGATATTTGAAAGGCTTCACCATTGTCAAGTGTCACACCAGTGTCCTCCATGATTCGAGAGGAAGAGGACCAACGAGTGCTTAAAACCCAAAGTTAATTCTCACTCCAAAATCTAGTCGGAACACACTTGTGTAAGCCTTAATTCCGATGAAAAATCCCAAAAAGAGAGAGAGAGACCTGGTTTTGAGGAACAGAAAGCCTTATTATATGGACATGAAACGAGGAATACTTTAAACGGGAAAAGAGAATCATTCTGTCCCAAAAGGGAAGATTCCCATCACAGAAGCAATAACGCAAATAGTAATCGACCAACAATAAGTTGAATCGCAAACGCTAAGACAGTTAAAGATTCAAAGTTTCAAACTTTTGCAGATGCAGAGAAACGACACACTAAGATTAGAATCTCAAACTTTCGAGATTGACCCAGATAAGAAATAAAGTTTCAAGAGGCTCTGAAATCGAAATTGTGTATCTTCAACAACAACAAAAAAACTACCATTGAGAACACACTCGAAGCGTCTCAAACTATGAAGATCCGAATAGAATGTAAAAAAAAAAAACAATAAAAATAAGAGGAGAAAAACTCACCAAAGAAGAAATTGCATCCACAAAATCCTCTAAAATCCGGTAAATTGACTCGTCGAGACTCGTAGTGTACAATATTAATCTTCCTGTCAACGTCTAAAAAGAAACAAAATCAAAAGAATTTGAGGGAAAATGTTGTTTATGGCAAAGATTAGACTTGTCGAAACCCACCACGAAAGATCACAGCTTTTTCTTTCGATCTAATGGGAACGCAGCGCGTGTCCGAGGATTGCGATGGACCCAGTTGAGCAGATGTGTAGTTTTATCTGTTTATGTATGTCATTGTTTGAGGAAAAAAATATCAGGTTATCTACTTAATTACAATTATTAAATGTCCGTAATATCGCGAAAAGTCTAAGGTGATGAAAGGAGAAAAACAAAAATATCAGAAACAGTGATGCGAAGAAAGTGAGGTGGAAGATGAAGATGATGTGTTCTTTCTTCTCACCTACCTAACGATCACGTCGAGTCGTTAACCTTATCCTTCAATGTTATTTACCTTTTCGTCTTTAAGAAGCAAAACCATTCGCTGTTTTATACCAACCAAAAACGACATGTATTTTCCCATCAGCTACGATAAACGCTCTTTAATAAACATTATAAATAGTGTTAATTAATGTTTGTGATTCGTTATTCCGTAAACGTCATATTTACGGGAAGGTTATAACCGTTAATCTCGCAAAGCATTTAAAACACTTTCTTCACATCTATGAAATTTCACAAACACCGTGTCGTTTCCTCTGTTTTCCTTCCCAAGGCACATCCCATTGCATTCGAAACTAGTGGGAATTAACGAACACCGTGTCGTTTTCTCTTACTCGTCAAGAGACCGTTTAACCAATCACACACAAGACAAGTTCTATAAAAACTAAAAAAATGACGTATAAAAGGTTCAACTGAAATCTCTGATAGATATACAGACAGTAACCAAAAGTAAGAATCAGATCATGGACGCCACAAGGTCTTCTGGGCACATAACATTCCTTCCTTGTCTTGAGCATAGGTCATGCGGATCTCCCAATGCAAGCTTCTTAATATCTCTTCCAATGGCTCTAATATCTCCACTTTGTCACGCACCACCACCCAGCCTCCAGGCCTTGTCAACCTATCCATCTCCACCACGATCGAAACCGGTTGCTTACACCTGCAACAAGAAACAAATTTGGAGATTCCATGGCCAGTTTTCTCATTTCACAGGCAAATTTTTTTGATTTAAAGGTCACTGCTTTATTACCTGTTCTTGAGCCGTGAAAAGAGATGATCAGCATGGAGAAGGTCATAAGATCTTGGATATGTTCCAAATGCTTCACACCAATCGTGGTAAATACCAAAAAGTCCTCTTTCGTATATGAAAGGAAGCGTATCTGGCGAATGAACAGGCACTACATTCATTACCCACACGTTCTGCTTCACGAGTGACGCTGCAAATCTGTTGAATTTTTTTGTTTGTAAGAGCTCAAAACCAGTATAAATCACCATATGAATACGATTTTTTGCTACGAGCAGCAAATAAAGATGTCTCCTTTTTCCATACCCGCCATAGATAGCTGTCATGTCCATCACATTCCGGATATGTGACCAGTCAATGCCTAATCCAGTGAGGTAAGATTTGTTTACCATAGCTTTCCAATGATTTGTATCTTCAATGGCTTTCTCTTTGTTTGTTAACCACTCTGGATATGTTTCAATTCTCTTTGGCCATTCTTCAGGCCATTCTGCTCCATGCTGTTCTATAGCTGACGGTATTTCATGTAAACAGGTTTTCATCGGCACATACCTATCCAAAGAGCGCATGAAAGTTCACAAGAATGGACATAACGGAATGAGAAAGTTACGCATTTAGATTTATCACCATTCCTTTACTTACCAGGCTGCGTCTGGGTTTTCGTTCTCCTTGCAAAGTGGTGGATTTTTCTTCCTTCTCAATTCATAAATATCATTTGATTCCGGTTTCTGATATATTCTTACTCCCATTTCACTTGCTTCGTCGGTTTTGTGTGCAAGAATATTCCAACAAATAGAAGCTGTCAATGCGGTCATCGCTGAAAAACTCACACCAGATAATGCTATGTCACAAGAAATTCTAAAGACAATGAAAAACTCGATGAATACTAAAACCACAACAGTGAAAATTAATATACCTTCATCATCCTCAATCTTTTCATTATTACTTGACAAAATGAAGTATCCATTAGGCCTTAAAATCCTGTTCATCTCCAGAAGAAGCCTACCACCTGAGATTGCAAACATATGAAATAATCACGACTCAAAAAAAGCATATCGACACTAATGACGTTGTCAGAGAAACACTTACCATGAGAATGCCAGTGGATTCCGCAAGCAGCACAATGAATGGCATCAAAGACTCCACTAGGAAAAGGAAGCCTTCTACTTGCCAAAGCACTGACTAAAGTAGGAAACCCGCGCTCAAGAGCGACCTGTGCTAAGTCAACTAGATCATCCTTTAAGCCTAGAGAAACTGTCAAAACATCTTTATCCAGCAATGCAGCTACAAAGCTTGACTCTAAGCATCCAATGTCCAACACTATACGAACATTCTTTCCCCATTCAATATCTGGTACCATCTATCAAACACCCACCATGTTTCAAACACTTCTCTTACAAAGAGCTTGCCTTCAATGAAAAGTTAAAGTTCAGAGAGTTACAAATGATACTCACCTCTTGAATGAATTCAAGGTACTGAAGAACATTTCCGTTGAACGCAGTCTGGTTCTGTGGAAAAGTTAGGTATTCACCGCTCTCATTCACCCACTTATGCTTCTTAACATATGCAGCCAACTTTGGATGCGCCACGTTCTTATATAATATCTGATGTTAATAGAAAAGACATTAGATCAAACCTAACTTTTATCAAATAAAATCAACTTATAGAAGCTCAACAATCTTAACCTTTGATCTGCTATCAGGCCAGGAAACAGGAGGATCATAGCCATCATGTGGTAAAGGAACAAGACACATTACAGGCTTCTTAGGACAACTCCTCTCTCTATGTCTATAACTCTGAAGCCTCCCTATCAACCCATCGTTATCAATACATGGCATGTAATTATGCTTGCTCCTAGTGTTACACAATCTCCAGCTATACTCAGCTTTAGGATCAAACACAGGACCTTTCCTCTTCCTCCTTTTAACTATCTCTTTTTCGGTTACTTCCTCGATCTTTTCTTCCACTTCTTCATCCACCGACGCATTTGAATCATCCCCATTTCCATTTCCATCAGATTCTCCTTCACTGCCATCAGACTCGAGTCCTTCCTCTCCATCTTCTTTATTAGACTCAGAATCATCAGATTCTGCATCTACTTGCTCTTGATCCTCCTTAACCACAGCTTCTTCTTCTTTTTCTACCACAGGCTTTGGCACATCCTTCTTCTTATGTGGATGAGACACAACATGCTCTTTCTTTTTCTTGGTTTCATGCTTATGAACGAAGCCACCAAATTTTTTCCCATCTTTCGATTTCGAACCAGATTCAACTTTACCTTTCTCACGTGATTTGCTAGATTCCGATACCTCGTTATGAGCTGACTTAGTGCGAGATGACACTGGTTCAGCTATGTCGTCGAAGCTTTCTCTCTGAACATTGAATGAAGAGGCAGAGGAAGACAAGAAGGACCAGAAGAAGACGAAGCAGAGACCCAAAACAACTATGAACGTCATCTTCACCCAAATCCCTCGTGGCTGTTTAATCCTGCGCGCGAAATGAGCAATCCCCATTTCTCTCTTTCTCTCTGTCATTTGAAATCTCACAGAAGACCACTTCAACGCATCTGAACAACAGAGATCTCCAAATTCCACTTTGATCAAATTTTGTATTAGCTCGAGATCCAAGGAATTGCTAAAGCTAAGCAAACCCTGGAGCTACAATCACAGATTAACAAGGATCTACGCGAGTTTCAAAGATTCTTGAGCTCGAATAAGTGGGAATTCGCAGTACCAAGATTGGAAAAAGCTGCTAAAAGAAGAAAATTTACAGATGTGGTCGAAATGAGACAGATAAAATTTGAAGAAAAAATCTCAGATTTCTCACTGGAAACCGTGGAGAGAAATAACAAAACAAAGTAAAAATTTGTAGTACCCAGATCGAATCGTAAAATTTAAGCTTGAGAGTAAACTGAAAAATTACGACTCTTTTATTAAGCTAACACTAATATATCCTCAATGTTTTTCCTCCATGTGTAGTTGAAGTTGAAAATGATAAGAAAAGAAAAGAAATTTTAGACTTTCACTTTTGGTAATAACTGAGCAGTAGTCAGAGCTTTGTCTAGTTTCGGAAAAGTGCCAAAAGCGGCGAGACAGCCGGAGGCGAAGGTGACGGAGATTTGCAATAATAATAAAAATCTCTACTGACAGATCAAATTATTAAGCCCATTTTCTCAAATGGCCTCTAATAAAAAATGCCCAATGGGCTATGTGTTATAGTATATATGTATTTACTGTCTGTATACAAGAACTACACTGTAATGTAAGAACTACACTTTATCATATATATATTAAAGTAGAAAAGTTTTTTTTTTTCTGAGATTTTCCCTACTAAAAATGTAGATGTAAAATTTGAAAAGCGTGATCGCTAGAGATCTTAACCTCCAATCAGTTTTGGATAACACTTCCACAAGAAATGCCACATTTTTTAGTTACTCACAAAGTCAACATTGCTGTTAACTTTAGATCTCTTTCTTCAATCACAACAGTTTTTAGATCCTTAAAAATCATTTTTTTTAAGTATTAAGAAATTCTTTTGGTATGTGATTTTAGTTCATTGATGGAGTTTTCCATTTGTACTTCCAACTTGATGATAAAAGAAAAAATAAACTCTTTACTTATCATGAAATAAAATTCTGTCAATATAAGATGTACGAATGGAGAGAGTGATCTCTTAACCAATTTTATAAAATTGGAACAACCGTATGAAAGGAATATGAGAGGCCATTTTAGGAAACGTTCAAACATTTTCTAATGAGAAAAATAATAAGTAAATCTTTGACAGGCACAGAATCTAGCTAATTCCACAATGTACAGTACAAAAATTAATTTTACCGCTAGAAAATGCAGATTTCTTAAAAAAAGAAAAAGGAAAAAAGGGAGAAAAAAAAAACACAGCTCATGATGCTTCACGTTTCTCGGTTTTGTACTCTGTTTTGCTGTGCTTCGTCATGATTCCATTCAAAAACGTGGACCCTCCACTACCACCTTTGGTTTCCGTTTCTCTAATTTCTCGAAAACCATAAAAAAAAAAATCTCAATCTCTGTGTTTTCCCTCTCCGTTTCTCAAAGACAAACCCTAGTTTCTCTACCTCGTGCTTCTGACATTTCTGTTTTCTCAAAATCCAGCTCGGTTTATTCCAATTTCAAAACTCTGGGTTTTAGTAGGTCATCGTCAAAGTTGTCTCCTTTACGGTCCTTTTCACCAGCTTAAGAATAATTTTTTTTTTAAAAGGACGCCTGAATTTAAATAATCAGGCTTCCGTATAAAAATCACACTCTTGTTTGTGTCAGTTAAAAATCAGAGCTTGACCACCCCTCTCACCATGGACGTTCCCGGAGAATCACGGCTCGGCGGCGGCGGAGGCGGAAATGACGGCGGTGACGGTTCGGTTGGTGTACAGATCCGACAAACCCGGAGGCTACCGGATTTTCTCCAAAGCGTGAATCTCAAGTACGTGAAATTAGGTTACCATTACTTAATCTCAAATCTCTTGACTCTCTGTTTATTCCCTCTCGCCGTCGCCATCTCCGTCGAAGCGTCTCAGATGAACCCAGACGATCTCCGGCAGCTCTGGATCCATCTCCAATACAATCTGGTCAGTATAATCATCTGCTCGGCGATTCTAGTCTTCGGTTTAACCGTCTATGTCATGACCCGACCCAGACCCGTTTACTTGGTCGATTTCTCCTGTTACCTCCCGCCTGATCACCTCAAAGCTCCTTTCACTCGATTCATGGATCACTCCAGACTCACCGGAGATTTCGACGACTCTGCTCTCGAGTTTCAGCGCAAGATCCTCGAACGCTCTGGTTTAGGAGAAGACACTTATGTCCCTGAAGCTATGCATTACGTTCCTCCAAGAATCTCGATGGCTGCAGCTAGAGAAGAAGCTGAACAAGTCATGTTCGGTGCTTTAGATAACCTATTTGCGAACACGAACGTGAATCCAAAGGATATTGGGATCCTCGTTGTGAACTGTAGTCTCTTTAACCCAACACCATCGCTTTCCGCAATGATTGTGAACAAGTATAAGCTTAGAGGTAACATAAGAAGCTACAACCTTGGAGGAATGGGTTGCAGCGCCGGAGTTATAGCGGTGGATTTGGCTAAAGACATGTTGCTTGTACACAGGAAGACTTACGCGGTTGTTGTCTCGACGGAGAACATAACTCAGAACTGGTATTTCGGTAACAAGAAATCGATGTTGATACCGAACTGCTTGTTTCGAGTTGGTGGCTCGGCGGTTTTGCTATCGAACAAGTCTCGCGACAAGAGACGTGCTAAGTACAGGCTTGTGCATGTGGTCAGGACTCATCGTGGAGCAGACGATAAAGCTTTTCGTTGTGTTTATCAAGAACAGGACGATACAGGAAGAACAGGGGTTTCTTTGTCGAAAGATCTAATGGCGATTGCAGGGGAAACTCTCAAAACAAATATTACCACGTTAGGTCCTCTTGTTCTTCCGATAAGCGAGCAGATTCTCTTCTTTATGACTTTAGTTGCGAAGAAGCTTTTTAACGGGAAAGTTAAACCGTATATACCGGATTTCAAACTTGCTTTCGAGCATTTCTGTATCCATGCTGGTGGGAGAGCTGTGATTGATGAGCTGGAGAAGAATCTGCAGCTCTCACCTGTTCATGTGGAGGCTTCGAGGATGACTCTTCATAGATTTGGGAACACATCTTCGAGCTCGATTTGGTATGAACTGGCTTATATCGAAGCGAAAGGAAGGATGCGAAGAGGTAATCGCGTTTGGCAAATAGCGTTTGGGAGTGGGTTTAAATGCAATAGCGCGATTTGGGAAGCGTTAAGGAATGTGAAGCCTTCTAAAAAGAGTCCTTGGGAAGATTGTATTGACAAGTATCCGGTGAAATTAAGTTATTAGCTATGGTTGTTTCTTTAAAGAAATTAGATTTGATCTTTGACAATGTCAATGTACTTGTTGTTTTTGTTTATGTGTTTGGGAGATTTTGTGATGTTTTGAGTTTCATTTCTTAAGCTCGTCATGTGTGCATATCTTAGTTGTGTAATGACGAAATCACAAAAGAAATGAGAAAATAATTTCCTTTGCTATTGATGTATTTAACCCTTAACTAAATAGTTTTTTTTTTTTATTGAATTTGCAAAATAATAGGTGAAACATGTTGAATTGTGTGAATAATGTGATTCCGTGAATTTCCAATTCTTAACGGTCTTGTAACGTATCTCCTCGTTACTTCGGTAAATTGTCTTGATATTTTTACAGTTTTTCACTTTTGGAAGAAAGTGACCTTACTATTGTTTACTTCTTTTTTTCTTTTAAGAACCGTCGAACATGCCAAGATTTTTTGTTTAAACAATGATTAATTTTTTGTTTTTTGTTTTTGTCATAGTCCTAGTTTGCATTGGAAAGGAGTCTCTTCAGACACTGAATAGCCAAAAGTCCCAAAGCCACATCACATGCTTTCTTTCCCATTTGGATCTATTGTATTAATAATTGTTATCTAATTCTTAAAAAAAAAATTGTTTTTTTGGTCAAGAAAAAAAGATTGTTTTCTAATTTATCTTTCTTTTAGCCTAATCTAAGAAATAAATGATTAAATTGGTGAATACAGATATAATTGCCATTAGTCTTAAGAATCCGAAATATTACACGCAAAAAAAAAAAAATCAAATCAAATTTAAAACTAAAATGATATGCTTTTACAACATAAACAAATTGTAATCAAGGTGGGAAGAAAGACAATGAACAGAGAAGGACAAAAGAATGATCTGTAAATGGCGAAAACAAAAGTGAAAAATGTATATTGTCTTCTTCTCCTTGTCCTTGAATCATCTGAACAAAGCTTGAATCTCTTCAAGCGTTTTGCCTTTAGTCTCAGGAACCCAAAGACTCACAAAGACCACAGTGAATCCACAAACCAAAGCGTAAAGAGTAAAAGTTCCTCCGCTGCTCCAAGCTAGTAGCATATTTGCAGTCATTGTGACTAACCACGACACGAACCAATTAGCCAAAGTTGCTATACTTCCGGCCAAACCTTTTATATTGACTGGAAGAATCTGTTTTGACAAACATAACAATTAGTAAGAGACTAAAATTTAGCTCTGATTTTAACATGAAGTAACATTTTTTTTTTTAGTATTCATATACCTCAGACATAATCAGCCATGGAATTGGTCCCATTCCTAAAGAGCAAGCAATAACCATAGCCTGTAAAGAAAAAGACCCCAAGAAAGATTTAGCACGAACAAGAAAGCTCTTTTTGCATTATAACAATGTGTGAATGTATATACAATAAAACTTACCACAACTCCAACTACAGAGACCATGCTTAGAATGTTGTACATATTGGAATCAGGCGATACAAATTCCTAACAAGAGATTACAAACTCAGAGTTATAGTGAAACTCTACATTGCAGATATATTTGTACAAAGGTTTTCAATGTACCTTAAGGAAAAACGCGATTGCTACAATCACGAGGCTAATCGTCATTCCGATAGAAGAGATCTGCAAATTAAGAGGAAAGAACGTAAATATTTTGTTTGCATACATAAATTCTTCAGAGTTTGAAAGATATATATGTCTCAAATATAACTCCTCACCATGAGCAGAAGTCGACGACCTGATTTATCCACCAACCATGTCGCAACTGCAGTCGCCACTACCTAGTTTAGAATGAACAAACGGTTAAAAACCAAATCTAACAATGTCTCCACATTGTGTTGAAGTTATATCGATTGAAGTTTATATACCTGAACAGCACCAACTCCAAATGTCGCCACATTACTCGAGGAGACCCCTAAAGTGAATGAAATGGAACAAAGAAGCATAATAAGAGATCTGTTTATTCTCTCTAAAGAACATTCCAAGAATCAAGACAAACATTCAACTCTACCTGCAGATTGGAAAATAGTACTCGAATAGAACAAGACACCGTTAATTCCTCCAAGTTGTTGAAGTACAAGCAGTCCTATACCAACCTGTTTACACATAGATTACAAGAAACATGTAATTTTCTCTCACAGTGAGACAAAATTGGCTTCAGAGGTAAGAGTAATTGTACCATCAACGGGAAATAGTATCTCCTACGCTTGAGGTCTACAAACCGAATTGCAGAACGTTTGCTAGATGATGCCACAGATCTCTGTGTATTGAGAAAAAATATAAACCATTAAGCAATCCTGAACTCGTTACATATTGAAACTATCATCATGTTATAGCATTTTTACAGTTTAGTCAATACCTTGATTTCATTAACCTCAACGGCAATATCAGTATCAAATCCACGAAGAACTTGCAATGAAGTTTCAAAATCATCTGTCAAACCCATCTTTGCCTATATTTATGAAACTAACTTAAATAAAGAGAGCAACAAACTCAAAAATATAAGCAATACTGTTCTAAAGGCTTACCAGCCACCGAGGGGATTCAGGAATGAAAAAAAGTCCCGGTATCAATAATGTACACGGCAATACTCCTAAAGAAAAAGAGGACAATCAAGAAAGTAAGTAGACCGTATCTATACTTAAAAAAAGGAAGAAAAAAAGATCTAGTGGTATTGTTTCTCTCCAGCCAAACCAAAATGTTATGAGAGTTACCCAAAACTGCAAGAATTCTCCATGGAACAAAGAGACCGAGTAGATACGCCAACATTATCCCAATTGTTACAGAGAGCTTTAAAACAGAAAAACATCAAATGTTTAATGTTAATCAGCTGATAACATGCAAGAAAAGAAAAGTGAAGCTATTCATAGAACCCAAACCTGGTTTACTGAACCTAAGGCTCCTCTCATGGTCTGTGGAGCGATCTCAGCTATATATACAGGCACCTAAACCATGATCAAAGTTGTGTAATGTATTTTTGATTACATTATTCCAAACATTACTGAAATCAAAGAACTAGTTGATTTCAGTAATACCGTATAAGAGATGATCCCAACGCCGAAACCTTCTAACAATCTTCCCATGTAAAGAAAAGAAGTATCCTAAACCAATAAAAAAAAAAAAAAAGCAAAGAAGAAGAATGAGTTAAGAGTTAGAGATATTGGCCAACAATATCAGAAACTTGAGAAAATAGAATACTCACTTTTGCGAATGATATCGAAAGCCAGCCAATAATATTGGGAATGGCAGCAATCATCAGAGACTGCCAATAGGAAATACACATAGTAATTAAGATAGAGCAAGCAAGAAGATATTATATGACAATATTGTCAAAAAAGGAGAACAATTTTAGAATCAAGAAACAAAAACTCTTTTACCCCTTTTCGCCCGACGTATTCTGCAATCTGACCACTTGCAATTGCCCCAACCATAGCACCCACATTGGACAGAGACCCAAACACAGAGTACTAAACATCGAACATGAAACATAAAAAAAGTCAGAAAATAATTGAACAAGAGTCTTAAAAAAAGAACAGCTTTAGATAAAGTTAGGACCGCAAACACAGAGTACTAAACATCAAACATCAAATATAATAGTCAGAATTTTTTTGAAGAAGAGTCTGGAAAAGAAAAATAATAAAACAGAGTTCTTAGAAAAAGATAAGACCTTTTTACCTCTGATACAGTTAAGCCAAGATCCTTAGTAATGGCAGCTTGAGTTGGTGAGGAATAACCACACTGCACACAAAAGAAAGAAAAAAAACCTGCATTCCCAGTTCCATTGATAAAATTAAAGAAAGTTGAGATTTTTTTGTTATGTCTTACAGTGAATCCGAATTGAATTGGACCGAGGGCAACAATCAGAACACAAGCTAGGACAGAAATTGAGCTGTCCCGAATAACTTGAGACGATTCCAACATGCTAGATTGTCTGGAACCCATCCGATACCAACTTCCGGTGTGTAAGAACGGTCGCCGAAGATCATTCCTTCCCTCTTCCGTATCATCCCTGAAACTCATCTCTTCTTTTTTTCCCTAAAATCTATACACAATCGTAATCTACGGAGAAAGAAGAAAAACTTTGAAGGGGAAAATGTCGATCCTAAAAATGAAAAATGCATAAAAAGTACAAAAACTGAGCTTTCTTCTGGCTTCGTATGATCTAGGAAATCTGATTGGGAGGAATTTATAAAGGAAATAAAATCGGATAAAATTTGAAGGATGTCTTCTCTTTTGTTGTTTAGTTTATCAAATCATCATGGTTGAGCCATTGCGTGGAGAGACGCAGACACTTTCAGAGTTTTCCACCTCACAGACGCGTCTCCTCAAATCATTTATAGAGAGATCGAGAATAGAAAGAAATCGTAAGGGGGTCTATTTTTTTTTCCTTTTTCTGTCGACAGAAAATAATGTGAATTTAAAAACGTTTCATTTTAATAAATTCGTCAAAAAAAAAATGTTATTACATATACAATCCACAACTTTTTATTCTTTTACATCTGATTATAGTAGAGTAGATAGTTAAATGAGAAGTACAAATAGTTTACAAGCCATTTTGGCGCAAAATCAAAAACCGAAATAATACATCAGATTCATGAACTTTATTTGATAAAACTATCTTCAGCTTGATTTCTTTCACGATTCGCGATCCACAATAACTTATTATCTGATAATTGCTTTGAGTTATTGTTGTTTACACAGATTTACTAAATTGCCGTCAACAAAAAAAAAGGAAGATTATTAGTTATCATTGACCTATGTTCACAAATACAACCATTAGTTATCGCTTTAATTCATACTCCATAGTATAATGTGCTTTTAGAGTAACTAATTACGCAAAAACAACAACAACAAAAAAAAAACAGTTTTTTGGCATTATAAAGTTCTTCTGCAATGCATACTTCGTAGTTCGTTTTCTTAAAATCTCGTCTCACATATATTGAAGTTAGCTACAAAGGGGTATGATGAGCCGCAAACTCGCAATGCCACTAACTGTGTGTTTTAAAACAAACTATTTCTTCCTTCCCTTCAGGTAAACCGTCTACTTCAAAGATATTTTTTGTAAGTTGTAATTAAATAATTACGTACAAGCCCACTAGGCAACCGCGCGGTCATATCATGGTTTTAAAAAATCAGTATAATGATTGTAGTGGAAAATTCAGCTAAAAGTTTGAATATAACGGAACGTAATAATAAGATTGCAAATTATTTGTGAGATAAACTGTTGTTATTTGTTTTCATTTTATTAGTCATTTGTTTTCATTTTCGTTTTAAGGTAATAAAAGAAACTATATAAAAAACACAATATATAACATACACCAAGATATCCAAGTGATTTCATCATATAACTTATATCATAGTCTCATTTGTGTTAGTCGATATGCCACCATGCAAAATTAAACTCGCTATAGTACATGTTGTTAAAAGAAAAAATAAATTATAATTGACTTTATTTTTTAGATAAGTTCGAATAATGATATTTGTTTTCTAGTATATATGGAAAAATACATAGTTGTCAATATTTTGCTATAGATCAATAAACATTTATTCACACACATGCACGACATTACTTATATTTTTCAGTATTCAAAACCTTCGAGAAAACGACATGTTATTTCAGAGTTTCCAATTTGTTTTGGGTGGCAAACTGCTTTTAAAACCGGAGTATAAGTATTTAAATGCTACGAAAAAAATACTTACATATTTTTTGAAAAGGCTAAATGCTTCGATTTTTCAAGTGCATTTATAAATACTTACATGCCTTGAAGACATCATAATTTAGGTCACAGGATCTGACAAAGTAAGAGACACGAAGTTTTATAATCGATATTATGAATATTTAAATTAGCTCTAAATCGAGAGAAATCTAATTTAGGTCGATGAGGCCACGACAAAAAAAGACAGTAGATATCACACCAAACACGTCTTATTGGGGTTATGATTCATAGGCTCTGATTCATCGGTTGACATATAATAATATTTTGCTGACCCCGAAACTACATATTCGTATATATTCGTTGGTTGTCTCGTTCTCGTCTCTCACGTGTAAGTGCTTATGTTCTCTGTTAACGTTTCCGGATCCCGACACGAGCTTTCTGTTTCATTGTCCCCACTGTGCTTAGTTGGAATTTTCCAGTCGACAATGCTTTTCATCTTTTTTCTTGGATATCAGTTTCAATACTTTAATTTGGAAACCGTTTCAATATTTCTGTGTATATACTTATGTATCTTCATTATTTTTAAATCAAAATACAGTATACCTAAATGAAAACTAAAGAAATTATATATTCTTTTTTGGGCTTAGTGTTTTTTTTTTCAGTCTTAATAGCTGATTCATGCATGAAAATTTATTAATAACATCATTATCATATAACCAGTGTTAAAAAAATAGTTTAAACGGCACTAATCAGTTTTATCCCGTATGGGTTGAAAGTAGTTTAAAATGCATTTATTGTATTGTTTAATTTTTTTCGTAATTATTTTTAAAAATAAAATTTAAATATATTATTTTGTTAATTTTTAGAAATAAATAACAAGTAAATTAAATTAAAATATGTTTGACAACAGTAGATCCAAAAATAGAATAGTAGAAAACTAAATAAATTTTGTTTGGATATTTTTCCTTTTAATAGTATAGATTAAATAAAATAGATTAATGCAATGTATGAATTTACCAAGATAATTGATTTATAGTTGGACTCATGGGCCTACTTTGAACTATTAAACAATTTAGAGAATCGTATTTGGGTTTTAAAAGGGCCCAGAATTATTGGCCTAAAAGCACGTATACTGGTCATCGGAGCGTGAAAACCACTCTAATCAAATTCGCGTTTGAAAAGAGACAGCGTCGGACCCGACTCATTTTCTTCCTCTCCCGAGACGTAGCGACTTCACTCGGAGAACAAGTAGTGGAGAAGTAGCAGCCGTAGTTATTCTCCGATTAGGCGTTCGATTCTCTGTTTCTGGAGTGACCCCAAACCCAAAATTGATCCTTTTGATTTTGATTTCCACATGGGCGAACAATCTCCTTCTCAACCGTCGTCGGCTCATACCCAAAGCCAACCACAATCGCCTCAATCCGAAACCCATAACCTAATTCCGCCGGAATCTAGCGACGTAGGTATCCACTCAGCCGGATTTTCCGGCGATATCGTTTCATCTACCACCATCGACGCCCAACGGATCACAGAATTAGGCAATGTGTCGTCTCCTCCTTCCAAAATCCCTCTTCGTCCTCGAAAAATCCGAAAGCTTACAATCGACGGAGACGCCGGCGAGGAATCGACTCCTCATGGTGAAGACTGTAAGGCGGAGGATATCCCCTCAGAGACAACGCCTGGAAAACCCGCCGCTAAGGGTAGATTGTCGCAATCACGCGCTATAACCGTGCCGAGGATCCAGGCTCGGCCTCTCACAAGCGAAGGCGAGCTCGAGGTAGCGATTCACCATCTCCGGAATGCGGATCCGTTGCTCGCCGCGTTAATCGACGTTTATCCTCCGCCGACGTTCGAGTCCTTTCCGACTCCGTTCTTAGCTCTGATACGCAGCATTCTCTACCAGCAGCTTGCCGCAAAGGCCGGAAATTCCATCTACACACGATTCGTTGCTCTCTGCGGCGGCGAGAACTTCGTCGTTCCAGAGACCGTCCTAGCCTTAAACCCTCAACAGCTTCGTCAAATCGGCGTCTCGGGACGGAAGGCGAGCTACCTCCACGATCTCGCTAGAAAGTATCAAAACGGGATCTTGTCGGATTCTGCGATTTTGAACATGGATGATAAGTCTTTGTTCACGATGCTAACGATGGTTAACGGGATTGGGTCATGGTCTGTTCATATGTTCATGATAAATTCTCTTCATCGACCAGATGTTTTGCCGATCAACGACCTCGGTGTCAGGAAAGGCGTGCAGATGCTGTATAACTTAGAGGAACTGCCTCGGCCATCGCAGATGGAGCAGCTTTGTGTCAAGTGGCGACCTTACAGGTCAGTGGCTTCGTGGTACATGTGGCGGCTCATTGAAGCTAAAGGCACACCAACGAATTCTGTTGCTGCCCGAGCTGCGGCCATTCAACAAGTACATCAGCAGCAACAACTGTCGCAACTGGATCCTCTTAGCGTGTTCAGTATCGGGTAAGTATTGCTTGTTTTTTCTTAGTGCTCGGAGGAGTGCAAAACTTGGTCTCTTGCTTTACTTAGCTTTCCGTTTTCCTTAGTGGGACTGGGGAGAGTGGGTGTGCTTAGGTAGATGGATTATTTGATCACTAATCGGTTTTGGTTCGTATCTCTTAAGATTAATACCTGTGCTCTGTCCAAAGATTTGTGGAATGGTTGATATAGTTGCATTGATAATGAGCTTACATGTCATGTGTGACAAAAAGTAGTTCCTTGAAACGACTGCTGTTCTTACACAATGATCTCATAGATAGTGAGACTGTCTTGCATTGCCTGGATCGATGTTAAGTTGATTAGTCTTACAGATTTTTATCATACATTCTCTCAGTTTTCCTCCTTGTATTGGCTATGCATAAATCTCTGAGGCTTGGTTGGGCTTAAACCCTTTTCTTGAATCTTTTGACCCATTTCAAGAAGCATGATATATCAACATGAATTTACATGCTACGTTGTTTTTTTAACGCTATCCTTGTATTACTCTTTTTTAACAGTGCTTGGGGACAATCGTAGCTGGTCTCAAACTTAGCTGTCTTTGTTCGTGGCTGTTTGGATGGCTTATTTGAGTTCTTGTTCCGGTCTTCGGCTTCAGTCTAGTAAAAAAAAGTCTGGGAGAGGAATAAAAAGGAGCTTTTTGAAGTCTGGGTTCTTTGAGACCCAAAGCTGAAGGAGTAGGGAATATGTTTTGTGTTAGTCAAGTCAAGAGTCTGTAACTTTTATTCTTGGATTCTATATATATAAATAAAGATTTAGATGTTAAAAAAGAAAAAGAAACTGTTATTCTTGCACAAGTTTTCATAAAGGCAACATCGACGTTGAACTTAAATCTACTAGGATTCATCTGAACTCTGAAGCCCTTTATTATTGAAGTGGTCTCCTTTATGATCCCCATGTTGAACTTAAATTCTTCTGCTTGGAATATTTGCGTTCGCAGAGTTTGTGAATCGATTGATCAGATGGCTTTTTGGGCGGGAATATCTGGAGGCCCAATAACGGCCCAAGTCTTAAAAAGCTTGTAATTGTAAATACTAAATTTCAGTCGTCACAGGTCGATCTGTGGACGGGAGGAAAAAGTATCCAAAGAGTTGTGCTCGCTTTCGCCGCAACCATCGTTCTATCGCCGGTAAGTTCTGTTCCTCGTCTTCCCACCAAAAAAAAAAAAAAAAAAATTCCCTTTCTCCTCAGTCCTTCTAGATCTCTTTTCAATATTTCAAAATTCCTGATTCTTTAGATGCAACTTTGCTGTTGCTAAGCTTTTAAACCCTAGCTCTTTTTTTCTGTATCTGCTTTGTCTCCGGCGATCGATATGCTAATTGTGCTTCCCTAATTTTTGGCGAAGGAGTTTGATAAACAAATAAAAACGGATCAATGAATGAAGAAGCGCCATCGGGAACTGGTGAAGAAGGATGTAAAATATCACTGTTTGATTATTCTGCTGAGAATCACTTGAAGGCAGTGGAATCGATAAGTGATCTATGTGGTGAAGCTGCTACTGTTGTTGATAACACTGATATCAATAGACTATCATCATCTGTTACATTCTTGAGGTATGTAAAGAGTAAATTATCTATTCATATAAAAGGTTTTTGTTTCAAGAATGATACCAATTTGAGAATTACAAAAGGTTTCTCAGTGTGGCAGTTACAATACTCTGTAATCGCTGATTCCAATTACTCATAAATCTAATCTCATCTATCTAGGCAATGGAGGCATTTTACTTATGAACCAAAAAATGTTGGATTCTATAACGAGGCTGGAAAAAGCTGTGAACCAAAGGATATAAAAACTCAGACTTTGCCTCAGTTTTCTTCAGCTCGAGCTCCTAAGGTGTGTCATATCTTTACACAAATATATTATTTTTTCGACCTTAATCCTTACCTTTACTTCTTAAATTGCTTCGACGATATTGTTTTTTTCTTATATCAGTATTCTTATTGGTGCAGGTGAATATACATGAAGATGAATCATCAGAACCCAGGTAAAAATGGAAATTTATATGAGCTGTATTTAATATTAATTGTTCAACGGGTTCCGCTAGCTAGTAATAATGATGCATCGCTTGGAATTAGAGAATGCATACGATTAATCTTGACGGTAGAAGATGATCACAGGTTTTTCCCCGTTCGAAAAATGAATATTCACAGGTCATGCTAATTCTTTGGTTCAAAATTATGAAGCCGCTTATTGAGTTTAGTGGTTGAAATAAGCGGGTGTGAACCAGGACTAAGTTGATAATTGGCTAGTTAGCATATTGACAGTGCTTGCTTGTGTATATATGTATATCTGCCCTTGTATTTTGAATTATCAACGTGGTTTTTTCTAGTCATGATCGTTTATACGATGATTATTTATTCACCTCTGCAGCAAGGATTTTGTTATGCATGTTGGAGGCTCTGTTTGGGGATTGGAGTGGTGTCCCAGAGTTCATGGAAATCCAGATGCTCAAGCAAAATGTGAGGTGATTAGGTCATATTTTCTGTTTTTTGATACTTTATAGAATTGGGAAATCTTAGGTTTTTTCATTGTTATGAGTTTTTACTGTTGCAGTTTATGGCGGTTGCTACTCATCCGCCTGAATCATACAGTCACAAGATAGGCGTTGTACTTTCAGGCAGAGGAATTATTCAGATATGGTGCATTCTAAATACTACATGTGAGAAGGATAGCGCCCAGATATCAGCGAAGACTCAGAAGTTGACACCAAAGTCTCAAAAGAAACCATCCGATGAAACAACTAATAAAACAGAACCTAAAAAACCGAGAGGCAGGCCTAGAAAGCATCCAATAGAGACAACAGAGCCTAAGAAACCAAGAGGAAGACCTAGAAAGAAGATTACTTCTGAGCTTCCTATTGAGCAGCTTGATGGTGACGTTCTATACGTTGAAGCTTTGTCTGTTCGGTATCCGGAAGAGTCAGTTGCTCCCGAAACTCCTCTTCGGAGTCTACGAGAAACCTCAGTGACAGAAACTAAAAGCAACAATGAAAGCTCAGAACAAGTGTTGTCTTCAGAAAATGCCAATATCAAACTTCCCGTACGGAGAAAGAGACAGAAAACCCAACATACTGAAGAAACTTGTAAACCCGTGCTATCAGAAGGTAGTGAAGCTCTTGGAAACGTACCAGGCGAACTATCCTCAGATGTCTCTGAAGACATTTCTCTTCCAAGGGTTGTCTTATGCCTAGCCCACAATGGAAAGGTTGCCTGGGATATGAAATGGCGTCCCTCATCTGCAGATGATTCTCTTAATAAGCATAGAATGGGATATTTAGCTGTCTTGCTGGGGAATGGATCTCTGGAAGTGTAAGTTAGCTACTTCTCTTTCTTCTTTTTCCTCCTAATGCATTGTCTTTGTTTTCAACGGCACTGAGATATCGTGTATCTAGTTTCTTTAATCATATTTTGCAATATGCAATAATGATGAACAACTGTATGCAGGTGGGATGTTCCAATGCCTCAGGCAATTTCAGCTGTATATTTATCTTCAAAGAAAGATGCGACTGATCCTCGTTTTGTGAAACTGGCTCCCATTTTCAAATGTTCGAACTTGAAGTGCGGTGATACACAGAGGTTAGTAGATATCTTACATTTTGCTTGCCCGGATGAATGGAAAAAAAGAGCAGTTTTTTTGTGTTTTCAGAGTAGCGCACATAAAGCATATAATTAATTTCCCTTTTCTTATTTTCTCAATATCCGTCTCCATTGGCTTTCTCCTCCTGATATGGTCATTTGTTATCGTACAGTATTCCTTTGACAGTTGAATGGTCGGCTTTTGGGAACCCTGATTTCTTACTCGCTGGTTGCCACGATGGCACGGTAATTATTCAATTATTTTCACTTTCTTCACCATCTCCGTTATAATTTTATGTTTTTTTTTCTTTGATATGTGTAAATGTATTCAGGAAGAAGAATTTCAATGCTTAATTGCTTTGACTCTCTTTGTTTTGTTATCTTGCATCAGGTTGCTCTTTGGAAGTTTTCAACAACTAAATCTTCAGAAGGTATTGCAACCTGACATGTTTTTCCCTATTCCAGATAGTTTGTTTCCACATTGTGCTTAGAGACTGATCTCTTGATTTCACATTTTGCTTTTCAATTCTGTGCAGATACAAGACCTTTACTTGTCTTCAGCGCAGATACAGCTCCTATTAGGGCAGTTGCATGGGCTCCTGTAGATAGGTCAGTTAAATGAATGAAATCACACCCATAAGATCAGTAATTCTCGTTTTCTGTGTGAGGATTCACTTATTAATCAAAGTAATTTCTGACAAAACTCCAGTGATCCGGAAAGTGCAAACGTAGTAGCTACTGCTGGACATGCAGGACTGAAGTTCTGGGACCTACGGTACACTTCATTAATCTCAGCTTCGCATCGCTTTTCTTTAAACTTCGATGGTTATGTAATCAAAACTCAAGACAGTCCTCTTTAAAGTTTCTATTGCGTTACTTCAAGCCATATCGTATAGCTTCCTTCTTATGGTTTTTCTGCAGTGATCCATTCCGTCCATTATGGGAATTGCACCCAGTACCAAGATTTATTTACAGCATCGATTGGTTACAAGACCCAAAGTACTAATTGTTTCTCTATGCTCAGTTGATTGCAGTCTCTAGATCCATCATTTGAAGTCCTGATTAAACCAACTTTGGGATTTCAAATTTTCTGCAGATGCGTCTTATTGTCCTTTGAAGATGGAACAATAAGAATCCTAAGCCTGGTGAAGGTTGCGTATGATGTTCCGGCAACAGGAAAGCCTTATCGTAACTCAAAACAGCAAGGCTTCAGTGTTTATAACTGTTCATCTTTTCCCATCTGGAGTATTCGAGTATCACGTCTAACAGGTCAATTTTCTTCAAAACAACAAAGTCACCGACACCTATTATCTCAAAGCTTCACCTTATCGCACCATTCGCTGAATCTCTAATATGGAACTTCATCAGGCATGGCAGCTTATTGCACTGCAGATGGGTCCGTTTTCCATTTCGAGGTCTGTTTATTAAGTCATTGATTTTTCACTACATTTATTACTTCATCTCTACTGTTTTGTTATATTTTAAGATGTTTTTTTCTGTCTTGTCGGGCTTACACAGCTAACGACCAAAGCAGTGGAAAAAGACTCGAGAAATCGGACTCCGCACTTCCTCTGTGGACGATTCACAATGAATGATTCCACATTTACAGTGCATAGTCCATTGCCCAACATACCGATATTCTTGAAGAAGCCGGTCAGTGAGACCGGTGGTGAAAAACAAAGATGTCTTCGATCCCTTGTGAATGAAACTCCCAAGCGATACGCATCTCCCGTTTCAGATGTTCAGCCTCTAGGTCAGTTTAAAACTCTATGATAGATGTTTAATAATCCTTATCTCAGACTGGTTTCGATTAAATCGATGAATTAATTACTTTACGTTATCGCAGCTTTTGCACACGATGAGGACCCGGGGTTAGAGTGTGAAACTGAGGGAACAAAAAACAAAAAAAGATCAAAAATAAAGGCGAAGATAGGAGAGAACACAATAGAAGAGGACGAGAACAGAGGAGCATTGGTCTGTGTTCAAGAAGATGGCGATGAAGAAGAAGAAGGAAGAAGAAGAAAGGAAGCAAGCAACAGTAGTAGCAGCGGAGTGAAAGCGGAAGTGTTCCCGCCTAAAATGGTGGCGATGCACCGAGTGCGGTGGAACATGAATAAAGGAAGTGAGAGATTGTTGTGTTATGGCGGAGCTGCTGGGATCGTTCGTTGTCAAGAGATTGCTTCACTTGGTTTGGTTGCTAAACAAAACCGGAGACCTCAGAGATAAATGTAGTCCCAAGATGTTCCATACTTTTAATATCTTAATCATTTGATCAGGATAAATAAATTAAGGTTGAATTCAATCCAAAACCTTTTTTATATTCTGGCGTAGAAAAAAAAGGGAACAAACCCCGACAACATTTATAGAACTGATCGAAACCGGAACCGTAACTTCCAGTGAGAAGCAAGCAAATTCCATTCTGGATGATCTTACAAAAATGGCATTCTTAACTTATGCCAATTTCTTATAATGGTACAACATGCTCTTTCCTTGCGAGAAAAAAAAAACCCAAAACTCTCGAACACTAATCTTGGATGAGTATAATAATAATCCAACTTTGTTTGTTGGATGAGTATTGAGTACTCTTTGACTTTGGTGTTTAATAAAGAAAGCCGAAACAATGTGGAATATGCCCCGGACAAAAAACAAAGGGATCATGAAGTACCTTAAGTGTTTGCAACTTGTAAGCTGATAAATCTATGGGTAATGTTGTTATACTTGCATCCGACATTGACGGCCATGGAGGTTCTTGAGCCTCGTGAGCTCTTTCCGTCTCCTTCTGGCTTCAGCTGCAGCCAGAGAGCCATGCTTCTTCCCCGGTAGAGAAATCAAAACATGATGACCAGGTTGCATCGCCGTGACTCCATTAGGTGAGTCAGAAACATCTTCATGCTTGAAACTATAAGCTTGTTGCGTTACAGGAAAACCATCTCCTCCTTCTGAGAGGACTTCAGTTGCCGATTCATTGAGATCATACAAAGGTCTGGCTTCGGGTGAACCAGAGTCCTCTTCTTTGATTCTAGTTTGTAAATGGGACGGCAGACTTTTCTTGACCTCAACGGAGTTTGCAGAAGAATCATCAATATGGTGACCGTTTGAAGGAATGACTCTTTGTGGATCTTGGAACGCGAAGGGAACACCATTACTCTGATCAGGAGCAGGGAGAAACCAAGGGCATGGCACGACGTAAAAATGAGTTTTTTGCCCATTGTCATCTGCAGGATTTCCATGCTCCTGCGAGGTCATAGTTTTAGCAGAAGCTCCTCCAACGGTGGTGAATGGTGCTGCGAAACCGTTTTGGGTTTCAAGTGGTGAGATAACTGGATTTGATGATTGAGTAACATGAGGCCAGCAGAAAAGCTGATATGGATTCTGGTTGTAGAAGTAAAAGGGAGTAGATGATGTAGACATTTCAACTTGTGATGGCTTGGGCGATTCTTCAGGTTCTTTTGTATCGAGTTTTGCTGACTTCGATACCTGTAAAAGCAGATGGCACATGAGATATGGCACTGCGAAACAATAGTGCTCCCTGCTAATGATATGGTGTTTGACAGATTGTGTCACCTGTTCTTTTAGATGCTTGTTAATCGTCTCCAAAGACTGAAACTCTTTCAAAGCCCAATCTTTTTCCTGCCAGTAGAAATGTCATTAGCTACAACCGTCTCAAAGGTTCAGTATTGCTAGCTGGAAATGTAAATTGAATGGTTTTAATTTACATACCCTTCTCAGATTCTCATTCTCATATGTTAGATCAGCTGCTTTTTTACTCAACTCCTCGCACATTGCCTGGATATATACTGAATTAGATTATTATACTAGTTTATTATGCAGCTAACTTGCCGAATATGGACCTTGCAGGTTCAAAAGGACTAAGCATAACCGGCATCAGTAAAACCAAACTCAGTCTACAGGGTATGTTTAACTATACCTGTCTTCGCCGAATTGTCTGCCTCGCAGATTCTCTGTTAGCTAGTATTCTTCGGATTCTACGTTCTTCTCTTTCAGCCTGGAGAGTAGTAGTAGCATCATAAGCTCTTAAAAAAAGGAGCCACAAATGGAACTAAGAAGATAAAACTTTTGGACTAATTATAATAGTAATACCTCACTTAAATTCTGCCTTGATCGGCCACAGCCACTTGATCTACACCTTAGGGTCGAAGCAATGTTTGGCTTAGGTATTTCATCAGTTACTTCAGTTTTAACCGGGACTTTAGTTACTTCCCTGGTAATTGGTTGAACTTCGTCTTCCTCGTCTTTCACTGCCCGTCCCTGTTACAGAAACATCTTTACTAACAATTTTCCAGCAAAAAATCTGTTCATCAGGTTGTTTTACCAATAGCTTAACTTGGTAAAATGACCAAAAGAGCTCCTTCAAACAGAGAAATCTTCTAAATCATGTAAAAGTTTATGACATCAGTAATTGTACCTAATCAGCGTATCATGTTATCCACCTAACCAGTGTAATCATGCGATATATAATGACAAAACTAATTGTATCATGTTCTTCACCTAATCAGTGTAATCACAAATACTTTTCTTCTGGCTATTCGGAAAACGATTATTTGGATCTAAACATACGAAATATATATATATATATAGTAGTTTCGCACTTGTAAATACAGAAGCAGAGAGAGAGTGAGAAATCCAAATATTTGAAAACAGTAAAGCGAAGAGACGGGACCTCAGCGAGATCCAGAGTAGGTAATGTTTCCGAGTCAGCCGGTTTCAAACGCGAGTCACACGGAGGAGACTCGGTCTTGACTCGCTTCCTCACTCGTTTACCTTTGCTCCCCCAACTCGCCGCGGATTCGAAAACCTGCTCTCGCATTATCGCAAGCTGCGCCAAATCCGCCAATGCCTCCGCCGCCTCCAGCTCCGTCATGTCCGCCGCTTCTTCCCCCGACGACGAAGACGACGGAACCGATGGGGACGACGACGAACAGCAGCTCGAAATAGGCTCCAACTCCATCAAAGTAGAAAAAAAATTCAAAACAACAAGATTTTGAAAAAAAAATACCAAAAGAAGAAGAGAAAAAAAATAGAAGAGAGAGAGAGCAAGAGAGAGAAACTGTAACTCCTCGAAGGACTAGTTGTGTAGAGCGAGAAAGGGAGAGAGGAAATGCCAAAAGGAGCCCACCGATTGTGAGAATTCGACACGTGTCATGCCAACTCATCGCCTACAATTGGTGCTTAACTATAGCCCATGTATCTGTGCCCGCCACGTCGCGCTTTACACCAAGTCAGCAAAGGCGGCACGTGCCGAGTGAGGCGTGCGTGTGAAGCCGAGAGTTGGGACCGCTATATCTCTCACAACTCTGGGGAAGAGGCGCAGAGTTTAAGGTGAAGGTCGGTTTTGCGGAGCTCAGATCATGCCACGTGTAATCTTTTTATTGGATCTTTACGTGGGCAACCTCTGAGCCATGGGATTAAGTGGTCGATAACTGGTCTGCATCTTACGGTTGAGCTTTTGGGTGCATCCACCAACACACAATCATCACTTCGGTCCTCCTATACCTTGTTCATTAATGGGCTTGGTATTGGGTTGTTATAAATGGGACGATTAATTATAACAATTGGGCCATCATCCATGTGAAACACACACACAAATGCTTAAAAACGCATCAGAGATGAATTGAGAAAAATATATTTACGATACGTTTAAACTTTATAGGGATATATATTGCGTTATGATATTTAAACACTGAAGATTAAATAAATAAAATCAGTTACAGAAAGGTCAAGGTTTTTTCTTTGTAAATTGGTCTGATCCCAGCTCTTTTGCACACTCTCAGAAAACCCTTAGTCGTTTCTTCTCTTTTTCCTAAAAAAAGACATTTACTTGTTCCTTCCTCTTTTCAGAAGTGGATTCCCAATTCCCTACAACAGAGAAGAAAGTATATAGTAAATATCTTTAACCAAAAATATATATATATAGTAATTATGGAGTTTAATAAATATATCGGAACAAAATCATATTAATGTTTGTGATTTCTTCCCTTTAGAATACAAGAATTAAGGATATTATAAAATGTTTAGATTCAGACCGTTTAACATTTACATACAGAGATTATTTATTATTGATGGGATTGAAAGTTGCCAATTTTGCGCACTTTTTAAATATAGAAAGTATACTATCTGGCGGATTTTCGTTATTAGTAGCATTTTCATGTTAATATATAATATAAATTCAGTTTTTTTGGATAGAATACAAATTCAGCTTTTGGAGAAACAAGAACTACGGAATATCGAAATCGCTATAATAATCTCAACTATTCTAACGTATTAATTATACCCAAAAGTAAGAAAAAATTATAGAGAATCGAAGACATACTTGGCTTTATCACCAAACCAACCGTAAACGGACTTTGCGGAGGAGGAAATAGTTTTGACGGCATCGGAGCCGCCGTGTTCATTGAATGCATTGGTGACTCCTGTCACGGCTGAGTCTATCCGTTGCCCAACCGTCGGCTGCTCCTCTGCCAAAATCTCCACCGAGTTTATCGAGACAAGTAGCATCACCGACAACACCATAGCCACCAATATTTTCGCCATCGGATCTCAGACAAACCTTTTCTTCTTTCTTTTTACAAAATAAAATTAAATAGTGATTTTAAAGCTAGAATGTAATCAAGTTATTTAAGCTGTCTATATATAACTTAACGATGTTTACGTGTTTTGTCGTGCTTTGTATGCGAAGGAGAAAAACAAAAAAAAAGTTAATTTGGGTTTTATTTAACGGTTTAACGATCCACCGTTATCGGCGGTTCCGCCCAAAATAGTACGACGTGAGGGAGCTTTAATTTTTTGCGAGTTCCAAATTAAGCAACAGTTTTATGGTTTCTTATTCGTTTTTTTGGGGTCTGTTCCATTCCATACACTACAAAAAAAAGTGTTGATAGCATCAAATAAATTATATCAGAAAAATAATTGATAGTAATTAGAGTCGTTTATTTACAAGTGACATAAATTATACAGTATTAACTGATGTTAATATAAATGATATTATTATTAGTTTATATGGCATCGATTGCATAAAACTGATACTAATTTATTTTAAATCACATCACTTGAACAATATTGATACAAAACCAAATTTTACATCATTAGATAATTGATGTATATATTAGCATCACTTGAATAAAATAATGCAAATTTTGTAGCAATTAAAAAGTGATGCCAACAAAGAACTGAATTAAACAATTAATATATTTAATTTAATTTGGTCAAAACTTATCTGTCCCACATCGGTTAGGAGAATTTGAGAAGAGAGAATTGCTCCTCTATAAAATAAACTCATCATTGTTAATAATCGTATGATTTTATTAACTTCATGATTTTATTAACTTCAACCAAAATCTTCGACATAAAAAAAATATTTTTAATAATAATTCTAGTTAATTATTGTATGAGAGTTCACAAAATATATTTATATTAATAAAAAAACAAAAGGGATTTTATATAAATTTTTAAAATAAATTAAAATTTATACCAAAATAGCATTTTTAACATCAATTATTTATAATTGATACAAATATTAATATCATTTATAATAACTGATCTAAAATTTAATATCACTTAAAACAATTGACATATATTAATATCAATTATTCTAATTGATGTAAATATTTAAAATATTTACATCAGTTATTAAAGAACTGATATAAAGTATTTGCATCACCACTTTCAGAATCATTTTTTTAAATGATGTAAAATTCTTCTGCATCAGTTATAAATAATACAAATAAATAAAATAAATGATGTATTATGATGTTTTTTTTGTAGTGATATATGATGTATTCATATTCTTTTAAATTTTATGATTTTATTTATTTACATGTAGTATTTATTGTATATCATGCCAAAGCCATATGATGTCTCTCGATGTAAACTAGTTTATATTGTAACAAAGACACCATCCAAAAAAAAAAGAATACATAATTGACGAAAAATAATTTATATCTATAATCGAACACAATTTTTTTTAAAAAAAAAATAACCGCAATCGCTACATGATTTGATATGACATATATAAGATTAAACTGATGAATAAATAAGTAGCGCAATAAAAAAGGTAACGGCACTATCATCGATTGGTAAGCATTAAGCAAGATTGCAAGAAGAAACATTTATCCTTTGAATCTTTACATAGCATGGTCATCACATCAATGTAACAGGCCTCATTGGATTCTCATATTCTTCATTAACCTGTCCAAAAGATAATAGAGTAAGAAAAGGGAAGACAAAAGAAATCAAGGATCTGATTTTTTGCTTAATAAACAACTTGACACTAAAATAACACTTTTGTTGATCACAAATCAGAGCAAAATTAGAATCAATTTTGCATATTTAAATACCCCTTACCTAACATATACGAATAATCTAAAAATATATATATACGTAAAATCTCATCATACATGTATAAGATTCAAAATGGAGGACAATGTGCATGTGATGATGTACAAGAAAGATTAGATTTCATGTGACTCCTTTCCCTTTAATGAGAATACCGGAAATAGAAGGGATGGTGCGTGTGGTTGCATGTTTCTTATTATTATAACCATTATTTTAGTATTAGTATTATGTGATCCAACGTTTAATATTAATATAATTTAACCAAAAATAATAATTCACACTAGTCCAATATTTATCAAACTTTTAAACGATTTTCACTAAACATATTTTTTATTTAACTATAATAAAGAGTCACTAAACGAATGTAAAATTATAAAGATTCACAATAAAGTTCACAAAAAAAAAACGACCACAAATTCTAAAAGTTTCAGTGTAAAAGGACAAAAATATGTTTTTACCTCAAATCAAAACCATTGATGCCTCTTGATTTACTTCCAGCATCGACGGTTTTGTATTTAGGCAACGGGACTAAGTCTTGTTCGATGTTCATGAGATCTTCAAGGAGGATGTCGTAGTGGCTTTTGACTTCCTCGGCCGATTTACTTCCGACGGCTTTGGCCACGTTTTGCCAACGGTCGGGAGTGTCTTTATCGTAAACGGCTAAAGCCCTCTCGAACATCTTGTTCTGCTTAGACGTCCAAGATGAGCTCGAGCTCATAGAGCTTGAGGCCATTTTTGAATGTTTTAAATTCTTTTCGAAAAAAATGTGATATATATGTTTAGGGAAACAATATAAGAGAAAGAAAAGGGATCGATGCTAAGTTACGAATACAAACGAATGCCAAGATAGGCTCCTTATATGGAGGAAACGAGAGTTGATAGATTCCGCAAGTTGTAGTATTTATCCAATATTTTGTTTTGTTTTCAGGTTACATATATATCAAAATAAAGAGTATAATGTTCTTATGGGTCTACGTTTTTTTTGGGTCCATATGGTTTTTTGGGAGAATAGTATCGTGAAGTCAACTGTTTATATAAAACAGGCAACTCTTTTTTTGACGTATTTATTTATAAAATAACGACGTTAAATCAATCAATAGACAGAAAATTGGTATGCTTAATGGTAGATATACTACGGTTAAAATTTTCAAAATATATTCATGTTATTTATATCATTCCCCATATTTTCATCGAAAAGAAATTTTATGACTGCACATTAGTTTTAGATAAGAACTTCATTAATCTATTATACTATTTGATTTAGCGTTTCATGATTATCTGTTAAATTCTATAAAAAAAAAATAGTACTTGATTCAAAATATTCATGTATTTTTAATAATCAAATATAATCCTAAAATAAAATTCAGATAAATGTGTTGTTTTTTACTATTCATTTAGTCCTCCGACTGAATTAGTGTATAATTATAAAAAAAAAAGCTATATTATATATGGACATATAGTGATGGTGAGTCTAGTTCGTTTCATTTATAGTTCATAACCATCTTTCTTGGTCTGTCTGTCAGGGTACAAACTTACAGCTCCATCGCGTGTTGAAATACAACATGTTGATGAATTGACTGTCCAGATACTACATCACCTTGACCGCTTACGATCCAGCTAGCGGTTCCCACCTGCCTTTGCAGGTTCATGTAGATGAAGATGTGCCTAACTATTTGGCTTTGACTGTCTCTGTTGCTCGACCTAAAGGTGACTCGGGACGCACCAGGGAGCTCATCTCCACCATGGAGCCTCTCTCCACGCTTTTGGTTGATGAGCCTCCTGTTGACAAATTGCCTGAGTGGCCTTCTGAGGATGCTTTCAGTGTTATCAAACGATTTTATTTGGTAAGATTAAGATACTAGATCATTTTTTTTCCCCATGATCAATTAATTTAGTGACTTGATACGTTGCTATTGATTTTGCAGGTGGAAGAATCAGAGTTGCAACATAATGATTGGATTCTTCTATACTTGCAACTACAATTTTTTTATTTGTTCATGTACACTGTCCCGTAAGTCTTAGAATGCTCAGACTTTTCCACGTATTTATGATCTTTTTATCCTCTATAAATGAATGACAGGCCCATGATTGATATTAATAACAGTACACTCTGTCCAAGTTGAAGATTGTGAAAGTGGCCATAGAAGCAACTGATGAAGAAGATGCCACTGAGAGATGATTCAATGCCAAAAGTGCAATTGTGTACATAACTTTTAAGGGTTTGGCCATTCGCGGGATGAGTGATCATTTTGAATGGAAAGCCATCGTTAGAAGGCTCATCAATGAGCGCACATGATCTTTGAGCCTCCTTGGTGACTTTTCAGGTGAAGAAAACAATTACAAGTTTAGCACTACCATGAATGCTCCTGAAAGCCATGAATTTGTTGAAAGCTTTCTAAGTGGAACCAACTCTTATGGCGATCCGACGAACCATTTTATCTAGTCGAGCAGATCATAAATTATTAATCGTTTACCAAACTTGTTTCAAAGTTGATTTGTGTTTTTTTTTTTCTTTTGCCGTCTGCGTGTGTTATTTGACTAGCTACAATAAGCTACATTGTTAAGATCTCATCCCGTTTTTTATACTCCAATTCGTCAGATTCACTTTAGCTACAATGTAATAAAAAATTTGTTGGTATGATGAATTATCATATTTTTTTCTGCATTATAAATAGTAAATATAATCATGGTTTGATGTGAAAAGAAAAAAGATAAACGATTTGATGCACAAAATCTAAACATCAAATTACGGATTCGATATGTCATCTCATGTACCAAACTTCATGGAGATTTCTGATACTTTTCTTCATCGATTATATATATATATACAAGAATAATAATTTGAAGTAGATGGTTTGATACTCTTGTGCACTTTGAATATAATATCTTATCTCAGGTGATGGAAGAAACCAAATTGGGACGAAAACCATTTTAGTAAGAGCCACTTATAATTGCTGAAAAAAGAATAATTACCATAAGGGATATTATCATCTCCTTTGGGGATAAAATTCCAATATCCTTATCTCTGCATTGATTCTTATCATAGTTGTATTTTTATCACATATTTTGTTTCATGAAATTGAATTTATCTGATCAGTTATACCAAGATACTATAAGTTTCTTTATTTAACTTCTATTTACAAACGATAAGTTAATAAGCAACTGATTCAAATAATCATCTAAGATTTGGGAACTATTACATTTTAAAATTAGTTGAAACGGTTGAAGATAAAAACAAGTCTCATTTTGCCGAAAGAAAAAAAAAAAACAAGTCTCATTTAATGGTTACAGTAATTCATCTTGCGGTCTTAAATTCTGAGACTACCGTGTTAAATGGTTTGTCTATGAGACATCAAATATCTATAATCATATCACATAACAAGATAACATGCTTATAATGAAAAGGTTTAAGAAAATCTATAAATTGTTATTTAAATACTACTATGGTCAGCCTAACTATGGTGCCTTTGAGTGAAAAAAATCACACAGCTAGTCGAAAATACAAAGAAATCGAAAAATGGGGATTAGTGATATATAATTTTCGTTATCATGAATAATAGAACTCTGAACATGAATGAACTATGATACTTTTTTGGTCGAGAGTTATACAAACATATATGTACATATTAGTCATGGCATATAAAAATTTAGTTATAATTTAATACGGTAGTAAAAAATTCTTCAGCAAATACCTTGTTTTTCTGTCATTTTTGTTGTATTGAAATTTTGAAAAACTGGGGGAAATTGATATGGGATCTGAGCATAGGGTAAAAATATCGAAATTTAAAAATACGGATGTTTTGAGTATTTTTTTCATAAAATTGAGGGTTCTTTCTGACAAATACCAATTAACGAAGCGAGAACGGCAAGAGAACCCTAATTCGAGTTCCATTTCTGTGATTTTGACCTGAACCTTCCTCACTCAATTTTTTTTTGGTTTCTCAAGCTAGGGCTAGGGTTTTATCGAGATTTTTCGTTCTATCTCCATCTCTGTTTAAACCCTCGAAGAAAATGAAATCTCTTCTTCTCTCTCGACAAGCGATCCATCGTATTTCACTGTTATCTTCAAAAACCCCCACTTTGTGTAGACACTTCTCCGCCATTACATCTTCGATTTCTCACTCTGCTCGGCATCTGAGAAGCTGTGACGAACTTACTCCATCGAAATATATCCATAGACCCATTTCACCATTCAGTCGATATTTCCACTGTACTCGCGAGTCCCGACTCAGTGAGTTGAGTGCCTCCCAGATTGACGACTCAAATGACCAGGAAGAAGACGACGAGGACGAAGATGGGACGACAAACGAATTCCTCTCTAGATTTGTTTGGATAATGCGTGGGAAAGTCTCAGAAGCTTACCCAGATTGTGACAAGAAGATGGTTGACGGTATGCTTTTGCGTATCGTCGAGAAAGTCGTGGAGGAGATCCAAGGAAGCGGATTCAACAAGGTTGGATCAGCTCCACCTTCGCCGTCGTCGGAGTTCAGCGATGATCTATGGAGTACAATCTGGGAAGTTAGTAATACAGTGTTGAAAGATATGGAGAAGGAGAGGAAGAAGGAGAAGATGAAGCAATACGTTCAATCTCCTGAAGTGATGGAGATGTGTAGGTTTGCTGGAGAAATCGGTATCCGTGGGGATTTGCTTAGAGAACTTAGATTCAAATGGGCACGAGAGAAAATGGAAGACGCCGAGTTTTATGAGAGCTTGGAACAGATGCGCGATTTGGATAACTCAATTGGGGAATCCGAAACAGTAGAGGAAGAAGAAGAAGGGTCTGTTGCTTCTGATGAAATCCAACCTAGGAGTATCTCTCTTCCTAAACGAAAGGGGAAGTTCAAGTACAAGATCTACGGGCTTGAATTATCGGATCCGAAATGGGGTGAGATAGCTGATAAGATTCACGAAGCTGAGGAAGAAGCTGATTGGAGAGAGCCGAAACCTGTAACTGGAAAATGCAAACTTGTTATGGAGAAGCTTGAGTCTCTGCAGGAGGGAGATGATCCTTCAAGATTGCTTGCTGAATGGGTTGAGTTATTGGAGCCTCAACGTGTGGACTGGATTGCTTTACTTAATCAGTTAAGAGAAGCAAACACCTACGTATACTTAAAGGTTAGACTTCTACCAAATTCGTCTTTCTGAAATTCACAGTTTTGATTCATAATGGTTTTGGGAAAATGGCTTGACTGATATCAGAATGAATCACTACTTTTTGTCAGTTGTTTGAGTGAAGCTTTTGATTTTTGTCAATTTCTGGTCTGTAAGCCCTGTTACTCGATAAATTTACGTTCTTTGAATAGGATCGGTTTTGTTGTTTAGTTCGATTGTTGAGGTTGTTTGTTCTATCAAGATGGGTGGTACTTGAATATGTATATATCTAGCTAACCGACGTTTGGAAGATGATCATGTTGTGTTTTGATCAATTGGTGCTGGTTTTGATGTTTAAACAGGTGGCAGAACTTGTCCTGGATGAGAAATCGTTCAAGGCAAGTATCTCGGACTACTCAAAACTCATCCATATCCATGCTAAAGAGAACCACACTGACGACGTTGAGAGGGTTTTAAAGAAAATGTCTCAAAATGGGATCTTTCCTGACATTTCAACCGCGACTGCTTTGATTCATATGTACTGTAAATCAGGCAACCTTGAGCGTGCAACCGAGGCATTTGAAAGCTTGAAGAGCTATGGTTTACGGCCAGACAAGAAGATCTACACATCCATGATCATGGGCTACGTAAATGCTGGCAAGCCTAAACTAAGTGATAGGTTGATGAGAGATATGGAAGCAAGAGACATAAAGTGTTCAGAAGAAGTTTACATAGCTCTGCTTCGAGCTTTTGCGCAAGTAGGAGACGCTCCTGGAGCTGCAGGGATTTATACTTCTATGGAACATTTTTTAAAGGAATCACCGAGTTTCGAAGCACAAAGTTTACTTGTGGAAGCCTACGCGAAAGCAGGGAACGCGGATCAAGCGAAGAACAGCATGGATCAAATGAGAACGCGTGGGCATAAACCCGATGATAAGTGCATTTCATTTGTGATCCGAGCATATAAGGGAGGGAACTCATTGGATAAAGCGCTGAGACTTTTGTTGCAGCTTGAGAAAGATGGGATTGAAATCGGTGTGATCACTTACACAGTGCTTGTTAACTGGATGGCTGATCTCGGGCTCATCGAGGAAGCTGAGCAGCTTCTGGTTAAGATATCTCAGCTAGGAGAGGCTCCACCATTTGAGCTCCAGGTGAGCTTGTGCTGTATGTATTCTACTGCCGGGAACGAGAAGAAGACTCTACAAGCTCTTGGGGTTTTGGAAGCTAAGAAAGAACAGATGGGACCCAACGAGTTTGAAAAAGTTATAAAGGCATTGAAAAAGGGTGGGTTTGAGAAAGATGCGAGAAGAATGTTTAAGCATATGGAAGCTCGAAAGTTTTTACCTTCAGAAAGATTGAAGGTCGATATGGGTGCACCACCATCTTTTGGGTCCGGGTATAGTAGTCATAGATTGAGACGATAAAAGACTCTCAAGTGGTAACATCTTTTGAAACTTCATCATTCCGAGTTCAATTTTCTGTGTCAACTCACATTCCAGAGTTCATGTTTCTTCCATTGATTAAACTGTAGCTGTGTTCTGTAATAATCTTGTTCTTTGGAGTTTTGGAAATCGCTTCTTTTTAGCTGTGAGATTTTTCTCTTTCGATTTCCATTCCCAACAAGTTCTCCAAGAAACAGCTCTTTTCTGAAATCAATTTTCTTCTAATTTTTTTTTCTCACTGTCAGGCTTTCTTCCTTTCCTGCGTCTGATTTTTTTTTTTTTTCTTTTTTTTCTTCCCCTTCTCTCCAGTCATTTATTGATTTCGAAGAAAACAATCAGTTTTATTTCGTATCTGTAAGGTTTATCTTTCCTTATTCATAGAGAAACACATACAAAGACAAAGAAGAATCATAAGTTATCATTTGAGTTCCGAACAATTTTTAAAAACTCGCCTTAACCGGCCACAATTTAAACCAATATTGCCTCAACCGCAGTCGTCATCGTATGTAGTCACCTTGTCGATTTTATAAAGATATAAATAACCAAACAATAGAGAAATCTTTTATACAAAGCATAGTGGCATTAACCGGACACTTGAGTTTAATAGCTTTTAGAGCTAACTATGTTTCTTCGTGATCTCAATTTCTCTTTAACGTCTCCTTCAACTTTGTAAAAAGCGAATATATAAACAGTTTTCTTCATCAGTGGATTATAGCTTTGAAGAAGAAATTCAAGGAGATAATGTTTATGTATGATGTGTCTGCCACGTATCTTACACGTGTCAGCTAATTCCCATTCTTCTTCGAGTATTCAATTATTTAATTATGTTTAGCAGAATAGATTCGTATTGATGATTCTTTTTTTTTTGTTTTTTACTATTGGTAGTTGAAGTTAAAATAAGAAATTGTATTTGTTATGTCGATAATCTGTTTTGGATTGGAAAATCCATTTAAAACATTTCTCACAAAAAAAAAATCCATTTAAAATTATATATCAAAGGTTATCTCCTGGTTACGTTTGACATCGATCGTTCCATCTCCCTAAAGACAAAACAAGCTACGACATCATATTTTGTCATGATTTATTTTGTGTCTTTGTTATAGCCGCTTTTGTTCTCTAGAAATTTCGGATTTTTCGGTCTAATCTCAAATTCGTAAGAAATATCTCAATGAGATCTCAAATTCGTAAGAAATATCTCAATTTCTCTAGAAATATACACCTCATGGGATCTTTAATGTAATAATCATGCGAGACAAGATAAGCTTGGAAAAAACACTGTTAAAATATCTCCGTAGATAAAATATCTCCACCTATATCAATTTAATAATTTAATCAAATCCGCTACTGAAATCAGTGGGCTCTTTACTGGAGTTTCTATGAGCCAACAAAAATGATAACGATGGCTTTGATTTTCCTCTTACATTATATACGAACTTGGACCGACGTAAAATGACAACTCAAATAATAAACGAAGTTTAATTTATTTGTGGATAAGAATACCTAGACGAGTTGCCTATTTTGCATGGAGCATTATATATAAAGACGAGCGTTAACACATTATCCCACCGACATCCAAGTCTTCTACATACTTATCAGAAAAAAATTAATTAGACAATTGCAACGACTAAGAGCAATGGGTTCTCTAATGTCAGGATGGGACTCTCCACCAGCGGATCCTAATTCAGGTAATTAATTCACATAGGATTCATGGTCAAAAATTGATGCATATATGAGATTATCAAATTTTCGATTCAACACTATAGCATTAGTCTATATGAAATTTTGCACACACACACACGCGAAAGCAAACCATATGATGTTTTTTATTCCGAAATAATGATGAAGTTGAAAATTTAAAAATCAGTGAAAAGGTGCAAGTCACTAACAAGAGAAGACATCGACGCTTTCTGGAAAGAAAAGAAGAAAAATGAAGAAGAACATGTTCAAGCCATTTCCAAGTTGGTAGTTCAGGTCAATACCAAACTTTTAGATCACCAAAAAAACTAAATGATCTCAAAAATTAATCCTTTGAATATATGTATATATAGTTTTTTGTTAATCAACTAAGGCTTTGAATTTGTTTGCAGGAGGTTGCGGAAAGTCAAGCGCAAGAGGAGAAGATAGAAGACGATCCTTATGAAAACCAAAGCAAGAAAAGTGGATGGTAATATACATAGTTTTGATCATATTGTCTAGCTTCATATCAATCTCATAATCGTTTAAAATTTAAGAAATGCTAAAATAATTGATGGATGTGTTGGTTAGGTGGCAAAGAAGCACCTGGGCGTTCTTGAATGAGCCGAGGGAAGAAGAGGGTCGGCCGAACAAGTACGTGTCGCAGTTCAAAGTGGCTCACATCGCCAAAAGCGTGGGCCAGTAATGATACTATTATGTAATCACTGGCTAATCACATGCATGTCTACCTGTGTGTGTGTGTGAATTGTGATTAGTCGTCCTTTCTGGTGGTTTAATCACCGGCTAATCATATAAGTCATATGTATAATATGGCGGTTTAATTTAATGTGTTAGCAGTATTAGTATTTCTGTATTTGAATGTGAGTATAGAACATGCATGTAACAAATTAAGGAATTTGAGGGTGTGTAATCTAAGATGTGGAAGTGTCAATTTTTTTTATATATATATTTTTGTATAGCCTATGAGGTGTACAAACAAATCGTTCAAGGAAATTAGTAATGAAATGATCGCGCCTATAGTTTTCCGAGGCACTTGGTCAAAACAAAGTTAGCTCAGAGAAGGGTACTTTAGTAACTTCACCTTGACTCGCCGTCGTCGGATTAAAAAAATGAAAACGACAAGTACTGGCTGAGTACGGCCACGCCACTTTCACTCCCTTTCTATTGCAAACTAAAATCCAATCCGGTAAAAAAAAGTAGCAGAGAAGAGATGACGACCAAGATTCTGGTGATCGGAGTGACAGGTTACATCGGAAAAATTATCGTGGAGGGAAGCGCCAAGTACGGCCACGCCACTTTCGCTCTGGTTAGAGAATCCTCTCTCTCCGATCCCGTTAAGGCCAAACTCGTCCAGAGCTTCAAAGATCTCGGCGTCACTATACTCTACGTACGTTGACTATCAATATTTTTCTTTAAATTTAATCCGAAAGGGTTTAACATCCGATTCATGCTCTTCATTTTCTAAGCAAATCTGTAAAGGCGAGATTTTTGCCAACGAAACTTCCTTGCGTATTTACAATTACCCTTGAACTGCTTTCTCTTTCACATTGATCTGCTAAGGCTGCAGAAACTGTTCCACAAATCTGGTGTTTGGGCTGAATCTTTGTTGATTGGAGTCCGATGATTCTTCTGATAGTGACAACAGGGAAGTTTAAACCAAAGAGAGAGCTTAGTGAAAGCGATCAAACACGTTGATGTCGTGATTTCAGCTGTTGGTCGACCCCAAATTCTTGATCAGATCAATATCATCGACGCCATCAAAGAATCTGGAAATGTTAAGGTCCGGCTTTTGCTCTTTGTATATATAATCACTCTCATTCTTGTTTACATACATCCTTCCTTTGTAAAAAGCTCAAGAAGATTCTTGTGAACTTTTTTTCTCATGAAGAGATTCTTACCGTCGGAATTTGCCAACGGACGCGGACCGTACGGTGGCCATCGAGCCGACGCTGTCTGAATTCATCATGAAAGCTCAGATACGGCGTGCCATAGAAGCCGCAGATATTCCTTACACTTATGTTGTCACAGGTTGCTTTGGTTTTTTCGTTCCTAGTTTGGGTCAGTGCCACTTGAGGCTCAAATCTCCTCCTAGAGACAAAGTTTCCATCTATGACAATGGCAATGGCAAAGGTACTCGACGTGCCTTTAACGTTACACTCAGTTACTTGTTCAGGTGTTGGTAGTAAAATTGTGGCCCTTTTTTTCTCTTTGTTGTAGCGATCATCAACAGTGAAGAAGACATTGTTGCATATACAATGAAAGCTGTTGATGACCCGAGAACACTTAACAAGATTCTCTACATCCACCCGCCAAAGAACATTGTGTCGCAGAACGATATGGTTGCCTTGTGGGAAGGAAAAATCGGTAAGACTCTAGAGAAGACTTATGTTTCAGAGGATGAACTCCTCAAAAGCATCCAAGGTGATCAAACTTCAACCATGAAAACAGTTTTTGATATCTAGTAGTAATCAGTCAAAAGTGTTAAAAGTGTTTTCTTTTGATTTTCACTTGCATTTGCAGAGACTCAGCCTCCCATGGATTTTGTGATGGGTTTGATCCATACGGTACTTGTAAAGAGTGATCTTACCTCCTTCACTATAGACCCTTCTTTCGGAGTCGAGGCTTCCGAGCTTTACCCCGAGGTTGAGTACACGAGTGTCGATGAGTTTCTCGATCAGTTTGTATGAGAGAAAAAAAAAACATCCTTTATGTTGCGTGTACTGTTAATCTGAGATCGATTGCTCTGGTATTAGACGCAGATCTTGTCTGAAAACGAGGCTTATTTGATTGATACAATACATAATATAACAGGTTCAAGAACATTATTAAGCTTATAGAAGAGAACCTTGAAAACCACAATACCACACCAATAATCTCATAGCGAAGTGGACACTAATGGTTTCAAGGGTGGACCTTTGGAGCCCATCCCGAAATCACATACTTCTCCTCGGTCTTTGTCTTCTCAAACGAGTCGAGAGAGAACAGAGCTTTCATGTAGTTATGGACATGTGGCAAGCTGCCTGGGACAGACCAGCTTTTGAAATGTCCAAGAGCGACCTCGAGATGGTAAAGCTTTGGTGCTAAGCTTAGATCCACCGCGGTGACTCTCTCCCCGGCGATAAAAGGACCATCATGAGTCTTGAGATGATTCTCCAGAGCTTCTAGCTCATGAAGCAACGCATGTTCGGTTCTGTCATGGGAGTCTTTGCTCTTCAAGAAAGCCACGAAAGTGCTGAAAATCTGGGATCCCACAGAGGCAAATCGAGGAGGAGTCTTGAGAGATGGCTCAGGATACTTGTCCTCGAGAATACCGACGATGACGTCGGAATCAGACACCCACTTGCCGTCGATCTTAAGCACTGGTACTTTCCCTTGAGGACTAATGTCTAAGAACCTGAATCATGTAGAACCAAAGCCAGTTCAGTATGTCCGGTTAGTTAACAAACTCGTACTTGCATGTAACTAACCAAAGCCAATCCAATTCCCGGTTAAAACAAAGCTCAACACATCCGATGAATCAATTAAAGAGAGCAGCAAAATCCAGAGAAAAAACCCATTTTTTTGTTTGAAACAAATTCAAACAAGAAACGAGCAACTGAAACAAGTTAGACGGATCTAAGGTTTTCGGGTGAGAGAAACTGACCACTGAGGTTTGTCGGAGATATTGATCAGATGAATTTTGTAGGGTAGACTCTTCTCCTCGAGGGTGAGAAGAACCCTTTGGCTGAACGGGCCTGAAACGACAAAAAAACTTATATTAGAGATTTTTTACACATATTCGTAGAATCAAAGATCAAAAAGCTCAAATATTTTTGCAAAATCAAAGCTTAATGCAAATATAAACAAAGCGAAAGAGAAAGAGAGAGAGAAGAAGAAGAAGGTACAGTCGCCGAGTTTATCAGGGGCACCAACGGCGGCTTTCACGCAGACTTCGAGAGCCATCTTGATGTTTAATTTTTGTTATTGGCAGCGATATGGAAGAATTATTGAGTTGATCAGTGAAGGCTCTAGACCTCTAGTCTTTATAACTGAATTCTCACTCTCGCCCTTTAGTCCTTCGACCTAACCAGTGGTCCACTTTTGCTCAACGTTTCGAGGACATGTTATCTTTTGCACGTGTTGTGCGTGGCGAGAGACGTTTTGAACCGTGTCGGTAAAGGTTATCACGTCCATTTCAATACTTCTATTATTGTTTTAGCTTTTAGCCACTTTTCTTTTTAAATATTTTCCTTATACTGCTGGATTTGAACGCATTGATAACTTAACGACAACATTAATACACATTATAAACTGTGAAACTCTAATTTATATATGTCATGATTCATGACTCATACTTTTACTAATTGAATAATCCATATTTTGTTAAAGGAATTAATTCATAGCGATTATCATAAAATTCGTTTAAACTGTAACTATCGACTACCATAAAAGTTAAAACATATTATTTTTTATCCGGGAATTTTGTAATCGAATTAAATTTAGTTCAATTTTCGTCTAATTCTTTGGTTCAGTTTTAGGTATAGCGGTTCGCTTGAACCACATTAAACCAACGGAATTGTCATGGACTCAGGTGTTTCGCCGTTCCAGAAGATACTCGCGGCTCGCGTCGAAATTCTATTTCTACCCCTCGCCTTCACCTTCGGCCATCTTCGCCTACTTCACTGTAGAGTGTAGATTCCTCTCCTGTGAACTCGAAGAGAGGTGACGAACAATGGGAACCCTAGGCAGAGCATTTTACTCGGTCGGTTTTTGGATCCGTGAGACCGGTCAGGCTCTCGATCGCCTCGGATGTCGCCTCCAAGGCAAAAACTGCTTCCGAGAACAGCGTAAGCTTCTGCGTAACTCTAGTTTTCACTCCGATTTCGAATTCTTGCTAGAAATGAGTTTCGCTTGGATTGCTCAGCTCTTCTGATTAGGTTAGAGATCTGGAATTGAATAGCTGAAGGGGATTAATTGATCAAATCTTATAGGAATGTGTTTTGCTACTTAGTCTCTATCTTGTTTACTGGTCCCGAAATTTGTTCAATATGTAATTGGGGCTTTCTCTTTAGTATCCAGGCATCGGACATTGATGAACGTATTTGATAAGGCTCCGATTGTGGATAAGGAAGCTTTTGTGGCACCAAGCGCCTCAGTTATTGGGGACGTTCAGATTGGAAGAGGATCCTCCATTTGGTATGGATGTGTATTACGAGGTGAGCAAGCTACTAAGCTTCAGTGTTTGGTGTTTACCTTATACAGTGACCTCAGTTTAGTTTGAGATATCATCTTCATCTGTATCCTTAGCTGGGTGAACTAAGTAGCAAACAAAAACTATTCTTTAGTCTAACTTTTATGGTTTAGCGATGAATAAGACTGCTCGATGTGGAGCCTTTCTAGCATCAACGAATGAGTCTTAACTCGAGTATTACTATATCTTTTATTGATGATTCTTTCTGTTAGTCTAATCGGTATATGATATCTCCTTCTTTCGAATTTGCGTTGATTCCTCCGTGCAAGTATATGTAGGCTAGTCTGGATTGTTACATTTTTCTTTTTTGTACAAAATGCTGTTATGCTTGTTAGAACTTGAAATTCTGGAATGACATAGAGTCTAAAACTTGCTCTTATATTCTTCGTAGGGGATGCGAACACTGTTACTGTTGGATCAGGAACTAATATTCAGGACAACTCACTTGTGCATGTGGCAAAATCAAACTTAAGCGGGAAGGTGCTACCAACTATCATCGGAGACAATGTAACCATTGGTTAGTGGCAATCTCTTGCTGTTTATTTTGCAATTGTCTAATATTCATGCATCTCCAAGAAGCGTTTGGGATATGTTTAAACCCGATGTGTAACAGGTCATAGTGCTGTTTTACATGGATGCACTGTGAGGATACGGCCTTTATCGGGATGGGTGCGACACTTCTTGACGGGGTCGTGGTCGAAACGCATGGCATGGTTGCTGCTGGTGCGCTTGTGCGACAAAACACTAGAATTCCTTCTGGAGAGGTATAGTTTTGTGTATAACATTTGCATCATCTGAAAACCCATAACCTTTTGCATCTCATCATGACCGATTCAACTCCTTCAATAGCCATATTGATTTAACATGTTTTTAACACATTGGTTTATTATGACTCAGATATGGGGTGGAAACCCAGCAAAGTTTCTCAGGAAGCTCACTAAGGAGGAAATTGATTTCTTCCCAAAGTCAGCTGAAACCTACTCAGACCTCGCAAAGGTTCACGCTGCAGAGAATGCAAAGCCACTAAATGCAATCGAGTTCGAGAAGGTTCTACGCAAGAAGAATGCTGGAAAAGACGAGGAGTATGACTCGATGCTTGGAATTGTGAGAGAAGCTCCACCAGAGCTTAAACTCCCTAACAACATACAGCCTGATAAAGAAACCAAGCGTCCTTCAAACGTGAACTGATCTTTATGCGGTATGATTTCTGATCGAGAGCTTATAGTATGAGATGCTCAAGGGGATTATGTTTCCATCTGTGGTTTGAATAATGGCAGGTAGAGTACATTAGAGTAGACTGAATTTACGGCTTTTGGTGAAGCTTTTGCTCAACTTTTTCGTTGGTTTCTTAGGGAATGGTATTGTCAGGAGGAAAAATCTTTGGATGCTATTACTTTGGTTATTGGAAAAGAATCTATTCTATGAAACATGAGTGAATAATAATAATAGACTGATGCATATGCTAATTCATGTGCGCTTATGTTGCTAAGCAAGCATGAAGAATAAATATTCAAACCTGATATATAATTTCTGCAAATTATTAGTGGGGTTGATGGTATTGGTACCGTGAATTACGCTTGCTTGGTCGTCTTTTTTTTTTTTAATTTAGTTTTCTTTTGGGATAAAATCAAATCTTCTATCGTGTATCCTTTTGTGATTCGTCGTCTCTTTCTTTATTGTCAATCGCCGTTTCTTTTCTTGAAATTTCTCTTTTGTTTCTATTTGTCTTTGTTTTGTAGCTATTCGTTGCCATTTCGGTAGGATCCAACCATTCATTTACAATAATACGAACAATTGGATTCTCCCTACCCCCTTGTAGATCTTAATCAAATTTTCTCTGTGTATATATATAAACCACGAAACACTAACACTCTCGTTTTGCCTCCTTACAGAAAACCAGACACCATGAAACTAACACTATAACATGGTTTCACTTTCCATGATTGTATGTACGGTCAAATTATAAGGTATAATGATGAGACTAGCATTTATTTGACATTTCAAAGAGCAATTGAGGCTCCTCGAAATAGTGGTAGATAATTCATAGCTATAATATTTTAAGCAAAAGAAAACCATAGCTTACAGATGATAACATTTCAAGAGCTGTCAAATAAATAAATAAAAATTCCAAGATAAAGTACTTTTGAATTCATAAAATGTAACATAGAGCAAATTCGTATTTTTCTTTTTTTTTTTCTTTTATTATATGCGGCGCCAAATGCAAAGTGTGACTGTTATATCCAAATCCAACACACTCAATGAGACGAGTGAATAAAAACAAAATCATTACAGGGCAGAAAATCAAGAAAAAAGCGGGGAGAGGATTTTCTTTCAGTTACTGTATTTTATTTCATTTTTGTAAGGGCAATATTGTAAGTACTCAACAATCTTTCTTCATCTTCTTTCTGGCCTCGTCTCCACCGAGTATAAAACAGAGACGAACGCCGAGGAGAAAAAACGGGCAAGGCCTTAGAGAGATAGTGCGCAACACAGACACACACTGAGACATAGAGAGATACATAGAGCGATCTCAGAAAATGGTAGCTGAGGCCTTGCCCAAGAGCCCCGAAGCTCCACTCGTACTTGGACTCCAGCCAGCAGCTCTTATCGATAACGTCGCTCCCGTCGATTGGTCCTTACTCGATCAAATTCCCGGAGATCGTGGTGGCTCCGTTCCCGTAAGCCACTTCTGTTCGCCCCTCAATTCTGTCTTATCACTATTGAATCTTCTTTTGGTTATGCTCCGATTATCGGAATCTAGATTCGAAATTTCTTTTCCTTATAGCTATCGGATTTGGAATCAGTGTCAATTCTGCGTTTGGCCAATCTTTGATTTTAGGTGCAAAAGGATGAGTTAGAGCGCATACTGAAAGAGGTTAATACACATGTCAGTGCGACTCCATTTAAGAAGATGGCTGGAGGAAGTGTGACCAATACAGTTCGAGGCTTGAGTGTTGGGTTCGGTGTAGCCACAGGGTTAATCGGGGCTTATGGAGACGACGAACAAGGCCAGTTATTTGTGAGCAATATGGGTTTCAGTGGTGTGAGTATCTCAAGGTTGAGGAAGAAGAAAGGCTCCACTGCTCAGGTCTTTTGCTCAACTGTGGAATTGTGCTTCTTCTTTTGTTTGGAAAGACTTGGTTTTGATCTTCTTTTAATGTTTTTTTTGTCTCCTAGTGTGTTTGCTTGGTTGATGACTCTGGTAATCGAACAATGCGACCATGTCTGTCGAGTGCTGTGAAGATTCAGGTTTGTCTAGTCTCTCTTGAGGAATTTATTGTTGTGGTTAATTTGGTCTTTCGATAAGAAAGGATGGTAAAAATCTAATTTTCTTTCAGGCAGATGAATTAAACAAAGAAGATTTCACAGGCTCTAAGGTTAAAGTCTAGATCCTCTAGTCTCTTTTTTATTTTCATTAGAAACCATTGTAAATTTATGGTGATTTGTTCAGACAATGTTGTTGATGGTCTTTCTTTGCTACAGTGGTTGGTCCTAAGATATGCAGTTCTTAATTTAGAAGTAATTCAAGCAGCCATTCGAATTGCCAAGCAAGAAGGTCTTTCTGTTTCGTTGGATTTAGCTAGTTTTGAGGTATATCTTTGGAGCAAACTTTTTTTAAAAATATCCCTCTTGTTATTATATCTCCACTTGAAATATGATCTATGGCTTTACAAATAATTGATCATTTGAGCTTTTCATTTGAATTTGAAAGATATAAATATTCTTGTGACTAGATGGTCCGGAATTATAGATCAGAGCTTCGACAGCTTCTGGAATCTGGTAACATAGATCTTTGCTTTGCTAACGAGGATGAAGCAGCAGAGCTGCTAAGGTAATTGATGTTTCTTTATCCCCTGCCAAAAAAAAAAAAAAAAAAAATCTCAGGTTTTGTTTAACCCTTTCAAGTCCATGAATCACTCTTAATCTCTAAGATGTGAGTTTCAGGGGTGGGCAAGAAGCAGGCCCGGAGGCTGCTCTTGAGTTCCTAAGCAGACATTGCAGATGGGCTGTGGTAACTTTAGGGTCTAACGGGTGCATTGCAAAACATGATAAGGAGGTTTGTCTTTTCGAAAATGCTCGGTAACTTATAATGTAGCTTTATACCGTTTCACTTAAGACTCAATTCTTTTCGCCTGCTTGTGAGGAAAATTTGCCATACAAAGCCGTAGTTCACATTGTGATTCAAAAGCTAGAACCTTTTGTGTTAAACTCTCTTTGTCTTTTCTCATTTTAAGATCTCGCTATTCTTGTTACGGATCCTAAAGAGCTTATAACGAATTAGTTTTTTAATCTCATAACTTGAGCAGGTAGTACAAGTACCGGCCATAGGAGAGACATTAGCAACTGATGCCACGGGAGCTGGTGACCTATTCGCAAGTGGGTTTCTGTATGGACTAATTAAGGGATTGTCTTTAGAAGAATGTTGCAAAGTGGGATCATGCAGTGGCGGATCGGTCATCCGTGCTCTCGGAGGAGAAGTAACCCCAGAAAACTGGCAATGGATGCACAAACAGTTGCAGTTGAAAGACTTACCTGTTCCTGACATTCGCAACTGATGATCACCAGCAGATTATCAGTTGGCTTCATATTTCAAGCGATTGCATTTAAAGGCCCGTTTCGTATTTGAACTGCTCTTGAGCTTTATGTTGTTCACGGAGAATCTTGCAGCATTTACTTAAAGCAAGATCATTGTGTCTCTGTACTGAAGTCTCACTAAAATTCAGTACACATTTTGTTGTTTCCAAGTTATATGCACCAAAAAAAGAAAGTACAACGCTTTGTTAGGCGCTAGGTCTTTTCTTTGTGGCTCACAAGGATCAATTTTGGGCTACTGTGCTAAAACAATTAATGTGTATTCCCTTCGGGAAGCCTGGAAACAGAGTAATGCTATTTGTCTATTAGCTGAAAAATGGATAAAAAAGCGGTAAGGTTAATGATCTGGTTGTATTTGTGAAGCTGTAGCAATTATTAGTTCAAGTTATTGTTTGTAGCTCTTTCAATCAAGGTGTTGTCCTGCTCAAGTTGATAAGACTGCGAAACAGTCTTATTATAGACAGATTTTGGTTTTGATCACAAGAAACTCTAGACATACATAGTGGTAACTCCCAAACACAAGATCTTTTTATTAGTGCCCAAGCTAAAGGTTTTGGTTTTGTACTTATGAGAAGTCTTTGCTTGCTTCAGCAATTGAAGTAGCAGAAACATGCGAAACCAGGGAACTGAGCGTGACAAGCCCCGTGTGAAGCACGTTCCCATCTCTTACACTGACTGTCACAGCCGCGAGTGTTGCCACAAAACCCTGTCCATGTCTTGCTTCGCCTCTCGCAAACTCTTCCTTCCACCATCATCATCTCTGCAAATCCTCCGAACACAAAGTATCAAGCATGTAATAAAGAGATTGAAACCAGTAGAGTTAGAGAAACTTAAAGAGTGTTGTTGTCTTACCAGTGGAAGCAATGAAAAAGATGGAGAGGCAAACGAAGAGCAAAAGTGTGTAAGAAGAAGCCATGTCTTATGGTAATTTCCAGTAGGTGGACGCTCTTTATATATATATATATATATAGAAAACGCCTAATTATTATATATTTTGATTCTAAAATCAACCATTATCTAGAACTGTCTTTGAATTTTTGTAGAGTGTGAACGGGAAAGAACTGTCCAGCCTACTATTTTATCTAAACTCTATCCATAAAATTATAAAACGGTAGAAGTTTTGACTGTAGACTTTGTGAATCTCAAAGATTTTGACGTCTAATTTGTTCGGACATGTTATTATCGTTTTTTTATCGTTACACATATACGTGTTTATTAAAAGTGTAATTTATATATTTTCTTATCAAATACCTTTTTTATCGTTACACATATACGTGTTTATTAAAAGTGTAATTTATATATTTTCTTTAATCTTTATTGCGTTTATGTTTATAGTTCAGAAAAAAATGTTTGATAAAATATTTTATTTTGCAACATCAGTTTTATAAAAACATTAAAATGTTGTACTTTTTTTATAAATATAATATTACGGTATAGTTGGTAAATGTAAACACAGCTCAGCTATCTACATAAATGCAGACACGAATCACAAAACACAAATAATCGAACATCTTAAGTCAAAACTGTTCGAACGAAAGTGCGCGGTGGTCAAACCAGGCCTGGAATCTGGCTAAGCATTACAAATTTACAATTACAAATGACATCGAACATGCATGTAACCGTATCTAAATAATTACAGTTTTTGCCAACTGCATATTACTAATTATTGTCCAAAAAAGCATCTGATTACTAATTATGGGAATGTGTACAGAGATTGTTTGATCGCGACCGCAGAATCGGACAGTGTTATAAACCATTCTCTGTCTGTAATTTCTTATAAGCCCCTCTATTTTCTGAAATGTTTTTAGATTAAGCCTTTATCTTTAGAAATGTTACATCTCCATCTTAATTATGTGCATAAAGTGTAAACCATAAAACTGCTTTTGAGCACGTGACTCATCTCATCTCACGTGGTTCTCGGATCTCGAACATTTTCGATTCCATGACCCTCGTGATTAATAATGTGTGGTGTGGATAAGTTTGTTCTTAGTTTTTTTTCCCCTCGACGGCGCGTGACTTTCACGTGTCTGCTTTGAGGAGCTAGTATGCTGACCAACCTCCATATCTATAGGTAATTGCTGTTATACAAAAAAAAATTTATACATATCTTGTAAGTATTTTGTTAGAGATCACATTACTACTTCATATAAATCGAAAAGTTAAAACTATAATGACCCATTATTACTTGAAGCAAAAGAACACTTTCCTAAAGGAAAGATTATAAGAAAAAAGATTGATTATATATGTGGCATATCTACACCCGAATCTAGATAAATATGCTTATTGAGATGTTCATTAAATAATGAGGGTTTAAGTTTTTATATCGGAAAACTTGCCATATCGATATAGGAGATCTTTAAATAAGCTATCTCTATGAATGTGCATATACAAAATGGAAAACTTCTATTTTTTATGAATACCAAAATTAAATATCTATCAAGCAATGCCAATAATACAGTTATAGAGATTGGAGTAATATCCTGAAATCTAAAATATAATTTTTACTGAAGTACTGAAAAGAGGTTTTTATATAAAGTTGCGATTTTTCAACCCAATGGACAAAAAACATAAGAAAAGTTACAAGATAGACACAGCAAACGACCATCAATTTATCTAGTAAAATTATTGCACAGAATATATATACATATTTTCATAATCGTATGAGTACTTGAATTCCGCACTGAGACATTATCGCTCGAGTGACTGTCCACAATATAACAACATCAAGAAGGAACATCAAGAAGGCTAAGCAAATATTATTAAAATACCATTAATTATGCAATCAGAGTAGTTTATTTATGGCTCTATAAAAAGACCACTCTAGTCTCTAGTGATCGTATCAGTTTCATTTTCAGTGTATCTCTTTTTTCCAACCGAATATTTTCTTCTCCTATAGAAATCAAAAGCTTTCCTTCTTCACTCCTCCTAATTTCCCCCGACAAAATTTATCACATATCCTCACTTTCCCGTTTCATTTCCCTGAAATTTTTCCCTAGATTTATTTTACACACATAATTACGTATATATACAACCCTAACTAAGCTCACAATTTCTGAATTACTTCTGAAAAAAATGGCGAGTAAAAAACATGACAATCATTTTAGCTTGTGGAATATTATACTTATAGTCCAATTAGTCATTTTCGTAGCTTTCGTGGGTTACTATTCTCTCCCGGCGGTTATCGTTTGGATCGATTGGCTCCGTATGTTTCTAAGAAACATTTTCTTCGTTTTCCTCTTTGCTAACGCCCTCATCCTTTTGATTTATGTTTTATATTTGTACACAACCCCCGAAAAAAAGCAACTAGACTTGTACGATCAATATATCGCCGCCGCTCCCGCCGTCGTCCGTACTTCGCCGGAGGATCATTATAACGAGACCGTTGTTAGAGATTATGATGATAATCATGGATATGATAACAATGATGTCGTAACGGCGTTTCGAAATACGGTTGAGACTGTTACGGAGAGTCTTAGTTACGATCGAGTAGCGATGGAGGTGAGTAGTTCCAAGAGTTACAGGAAGACGAGGTCGGAGAAGAAGGCGAGGATGGTGGAGTATCATCGGAGGACTGAATCGGAGAGAGTGACGAAGAAAACGGCGTCGTGGAGGTCGCAGACGATGGAAGGGATGAGCAGCGATGAGTTTCGAATGACGGTGGAGACTTTTATCATGCAGAACAAGAGGATGCTTCTCCATCAATACGGCGTCGCTCATCAGCCGCAAAACGACGTCGTTGATTATCAGTGGCAAAACGGCGTCGCTGGCCAGTGGCTCCCTGAGCAAGAATACGGCGGCGCCGCCCTTCCGTGGCAAAACGGTGTTCCTCATTGGCAAAACGGTGTCGTTCAGTGGCAAGGGCGGCCTCATGAGTCATGACGATGGAACTGGTCGTCATCGTAGTCGTAGTCGTAGGCTCGTGGGCGGCTCTAACTCTGCTGGTTCTAGTTCGTACTTGGCTATTTCGAATTAGAGTGACGTAATATGTACAAATCATTTTTTTTTTTTGAATTTGCTTCTATTTAATTATTAGATTTAGGTTACTATAGAAATTTGGGTTTGCGAGGAAGAAATCATATTTTTATTTTAGTTTTTAAAGATAAGTTATTAAGTTTGACTTCGGTTGTTTCTTTTTATCGGAGTAGACGAGGCTATTAATTTGTGTCACATGAAAGAATTCAAACTTATAAATTAGTCAGGGCTTTTGGTTAGAGCACCTCCATCCATAATAAGAGAATCTTCAGAGGATACTAAAGTTGTAGTTAATATTGATTTAGTAATGACACAAAGAAGATATATATATATATATATATATAATATATATATATACAAATCCATATTCACAAGCTGACATTAGAACAGAACACTTGCTCCTAGGATCCACAAACTGTTTAATCTTCTTTAATCGAACTTTGTCCATGCCCACATAACTCGACGTGTTAAGCAATTTAATTATAAACTGAACTTATTTATGGTGAACCATATTATTGATCATATAGATACTCTCTTTCTTGTTTTTTTTTTTTTTTTTTTTTGCTTTACGGAAATCTGTCTTTCTTGTTATGGTAATGGGTGATGACAATATGGCATTAATGCAAAATTGTTAATATTACATTTGGATATGAAATTAAACATCGTATCTAGGAACACACTCGTTGAGTTTGTTTATACATATATAAGATCTAGTTAATACTAATATATTACAATCTACGTGACACACGAATTGGATATCCACTCTTCAATCTTGCAAACAATGTCCACTTCTCGATGCTTGGATCTCCATCTACCACCTCCCATCTTCAGTTTTTTTTTTTTTTTTTTGGGGGGGGGGGGGATCAGAAGCATTAAAAAGTTATTAATCATAGCCGGATTACTCAGTTTTGCATAATTGCATTCATAAAATAAATAAGTGTACGAACCTGTAAGTGGTTATGAAACGGTGGAGAAAGACTAACATCATGGCTTTGGCCATACCAAGTCCAAGACATGTTCTTCCTCCCATCCCAAATGCTAAGAAACTGTTTGCTTTTGCTTCCTCCTTCGTATAGATTAATTAAAAGTACAAACAAAAACATTTAAACTATATTATAAAAGTAAGAGATCTCAAATTAAATATGTTTTCTTAAAAGTATCTTTTACTTACGTCAAACCTTGAAGGGTTGAACTTGTGAGGTTCAATATATACGGTAGGATCAAGATGAATGGATCTTGCATCAATGTTTATATTCCACCCTTTTTTAATCTTGTATCCTTTCAAATCAGAGAAAGAATGACTTTAAGTCAGAGATAGTTTATTAAAACAAATAAAATTGAATGGAAGAATTGATCTTCTTCAAGATAAGCAAACCTGAAGCCAAAAAAAATAATAAAAAAAGCAAAAAAAACTTAAAGCAAACCTTCCATTTCACAGTCTTGAAGTACTAATCTTGGGAACCACGGCACGACAGACGCCATTCTCAGAGATTCTTTCACCATCTATTTCCAAAAATTATATACACCTCTACATAATTTTTTAAAATATAGTCAATTGAGAAAACGTTTAAACGTCGGTAAATATTTTACCTTTGATGCATATGGCATTTCACTGAGATCTTCTAGTTCAAGAAACGGCTTTTCCGATGCCTTCTTCGCAATCTGAGATTGTTCTTCCTGTTGGCCGGTATAAATGATATGTTTTGAAAACCAAACTCTTTAAAATTGTCTTATATTAATTGAAATTGAAAAAGCAGAAATTAAAAGCGACAAATGCATGGTTGTTAAGTATAGTATTTTGTACCCACAAGAGAAATTAATATATTAGAACTTACAATAAGAATATCCAAAACCTTCTGATTTTCACCGAGGTATTTAACCATCCATGTTAAAGCACTAGCCGTCGTGTCTTGTCCTGCATTTTTTTTTTTTTGGAATAAAAATTAATAAAATGCAATCTGATTAAAAATATTTATTTTTCCTCTCTATAAGTTGGTCCAAAAATGATGGGTGTTAAAGTAAAATAAATGGGACCTGCAATGATCATGGTCAAAAGATTGTCCTTAATATCAGCATCAGTCAACTTAGTAGAATGATCAGAAGACGAAGAAGAGTTGTCGTTATCTACTGCAAGAAGCTGCTGCAGAAAATCTTCATGATAGTTATTATGGCTATTGGTTTCATTTCTCCTTTCTCTAATTATCTTTTCTAACATCTTCATAACTCTTCCTCTTGCCTGCATTATTTATAACCAAACTCAGTGTACTTACCATTAAATTTTTCTAATACAGTAAATACATATCATATGATATCTCATAGGTCAGTGTGACTGAAAATACCATGATGCCCTTATGAAATCTAGTCCAAGGTAAATTGAGAGGAAAAGCGAGCATGGCTTCACAAACAAAGCCCACATCTTTTTGCAAGGAACCCAATTCTTCTTCGGCTTCTAGACTTATTAACATCTTACACATTGCTTTGAATGTTATCTGCGCCATCACCACATTAGTCATATTCATATACATGCAAATTTTGATCTGATCAGAATTAATTATCATATTCCGTCGACAAATATTGTGTTAATAAGTCCGTCCGAGTCGGTTAAAATTTTCTATTTTAGCACATGAGAAAAATCATATAAGAAATGGACATAGTCAATTAAAATGTGGGCCTAATTTGTTTCATTAGCAAAAAATGTTCTACGTAGACCTCATACTATTCAGCCCATTACGCAGCGCGTGTGAAACCAACCTGGAGCAAATCTGTGAGCAAGACCACTGTACCACGGTGTTGCCATCCACTAAGAGCGTCGACGATGAGTTCATCAAAGTGTCTAACCATCATAGCCGTAGATTTTTTGGAGAACAAGTTGATCAAACGGCTACGAAGAATCTTATGATGGTGATGAGAAGCACACAGAAGGCTCCGATCACCTACAAGCTCAGCGATGGATTTTATGTATCGTTTCGTGAACATCCCTGACTCGTTGTTCAGAACCGCCCGAGCTGACTCGGTCGTCGACAGGAACACGTGCGTCTCTCCGAACAAACTTGTCCTAAAGCAACTTCCGTATCTGTAATAAAATTATATTTTTAAAGATAAAAAAGTATTTTATACGTAGATGGTCCAGACTCCAGATGCTTATTATGTTTACCTGATACGGCGAGTACGGACGAATTCGTAGAAACCTTTGCCGCTGTTAACGGAAAGCATGAACTGAAGTGTTTCTCCGATCACCGGAAAACCATGGCTTCCCGGAGGAATATCAGCCGTTGATTTCTCTCTATCTTGGATCACGATTTTGAGTATTTTTCTGAGTGTTAGTAATGTCACTGCGCAGACCAGGAGAGCTACGAGGGGACAGAGGCAAAGATGCTCCATTTAATTTTGTTTTTTTAAGTTTCGTTTTTCGTCTGAAAGAGAAAAAAGACTTAATTATATATGAATTTTAAGTATAGAAATAGAATCGTAGATCGAGCTTGTTAGTCTATAAATATAGGGAGATATTTTGTAACGAGTGAGGTGGGGGCCGGGCTTATTTTCCCATTCATGATGTTTTTTAAGACTATAGTCTATAATTCTGTTGAGTATATATGAATGCTCGTTTAATTTGTGTAATTATGTGTGTGTATATGCCGTTACATAGAACATAAACCAATTGGGAAGCTACACAAAGAATGCATATTAATTCAATTATGTAAAATTTCGTGTAAAATATTACTGACTTAAAACCCATAAGAAACTAGAAAACTAGTTACTATATGTTTTGCTAATGAATCGATACTTGGCAAGAATAAGAACAAATCTCTCTTACAAAAAAAAAGAATAAATTAGAATCTATATACTTATTTGTATAGAGATTTGCTTACATGTCGCGTTCAGAGTGAGTTTAAAAGTTTTCACTTACATGTCAGCTCTAGAATGAGTTTCGGCTGAAAAAAAATATTTTTACCCTATTTACCGATTATGATCATTTTTTTTATTTATTATTATATGCTGATGTGTAAAAATAACTTAAAACAAATCGGTCTAAATTATTATGGTTAAATGCTTAATTTTGCTGTAAAATTAAACCGTTTTTGAAATTATATATAATTGAAATTTAAAAAATAATTAACCAAAAACGTTTTATATTAAAAAAAAAATCATAAAACGTTTTTTTTAATGTTTACCATTTTTTATGTTAACAAATTTTAGATAAAATCTAACAAAAATGTCAATTTCTTATAATTTAGTATAAATATCAAACACTTTTTTCTAAATCTTTCGTAACTTTCAAAATTATATAATCTCTTCCTTCTTTCACAATCTTTCACTTACAGAATTAATTTCAGCTGTAAAAAAACCGTTTAGCTTTATTTAACAATTACATGTTATTATTTTATTGGTTATTATCTGCTGATGTAAAAAAACTTAAAACAAACCAATTTAAAATATCATAGTTTTACGTTAAATTTTATAGTCAATCAAAACGTTTCTAAAATTATATAAAACTGAAATTTAGAAAAAAATAACAAAAACGTTTTTTTAAATAACATAAACATTTTAATATAAAAAACAAATATGGAAACTATATCTCTTAATAATGACTATTTTTATGTTATCGAAATTTAGAAAAAAAAATCTAACAAAAATGTTAAAAGAAACAAAAAACTTAATGATTATCATTTTTTATGTTACCGAAATTTTTTAAAAAATCTAAACTGGAATCTATTTAATAATTAATGGAATGTCCAATCAAACCGTTTTTAAAATTATATAAAACTGAAATTTAGAAGAAAAAAAACAAAAATATAAAAACAATAAATAAAATATATATGTCTAATAAAATGTCGTAAATTATAATATCTAGATTATGATTTTTGATTTTTTTTTATCTAAATACTACTTCAAACTTCTTTACCCTTTTAATAAAATCAAAAGTTTATTTGTAAATTTTGGATTCGTCTAACTTAGAACAGAGATAAAAAAATATAATACTCTTAAAATCATTTATTTACAAAATTACATATGCTAAATATATATAACCCACTCTAGGCGTGGACAAATTAACTAGTAAATCTTTAATCATGAGCATGTGGAAAATGTTTCAACGGCTATAAAAAAATGTTTTCGGTATTTAAATGGTCATGGAACAATTTTTTTTACATTTGGTCATGGAACTTTCTCGCTCTGGTTTTAACATTCAATTTGAAAACTGGCTTGGTCATCGATCGGGCTGTGACGTGAGGCGCTGAAAGTTGAAATAAAAAGAACAAAAGACATAGAATAAAAGCTTGAAATGGCAGACACGTTGACGGTGGAGAGAGGCTGTTGGGGTATTGCACTACATTCTCTCACGAGTGGCCATCATTAACTTATTTTCCACTTGTTAAGGCACACAGCTCCTAAGTGGCAAGTAAAGTGTTAATCACTTTCAACACTCTCACGTCACATTCCGCTTTAATCTACATTTTCTATCTGCATAATTCGATTTATGCTTTTATATGCATCCCCATGTCTCTCATTTCAAGTTTCAGCTTTTAGATATTAAATTATTGACGACGCAAAAATTTGATTTTAGAAATATTGAACAGATAGATTTTGTTTGCATTCTTTTATTCCGGTAACTAAATCAAAAACGAGAGAAACATAAAAAAAAAGTGTTCATTTATAAATTATTTTTATTCAACAGTTGATTCAACGTATGAATAAACAAAAAAAAGGGCACTTTTTTTAGATTTTACATTGCACACATTTGACCAAATTTGTACATTTTAGTTATTCAAAAACAAATGATTTCACTATAATTTGTTTGACTGTCAAATTAACCAACAAAATTAACTAAATTCTTCTTTATTTTTTTCTAACAAGCATATATGTTATTCTAACTTACTTTAAATCTTCCGTAAAGACCATACATTTTTTTTTTATTATTTTAAGCTCGAATGACATTACATATCCTTCATTAGTTAAAAGGTATGAAATGATCATGTCATTGTAGGTCCAAAGACAAGTAAACAAGCATATAGGTTATGACATGATCAACCCGTTTTAACGAGTGAAACAATAACAATGGCGTATCGAGGCGAACTCACATAGACGTACTCTCCCACAATCTTCGCATACCTTTCAAAAAGTTCGTCCATCACATGTTGACCAAATGTAGGTTCTAGCATCGGCTCTATCACGGCACGTATGGTCTTAGCCACTCTTCGTCCACTAGCTAGGGCTTCGGGCTTGGAGCGCACTATGTCATAACTCTCCTCGCTGATACTCCCACCTTCCCAATCAACCGGACTAATCTCAAGTCGATCGATCGAAAAAGAACCTTCTTTCTCTACCGCCATTTTCAATTCTTCGGAGCTCGCAGCATAGTAAGGAGCGTTGAATGCATCGATATTTTCTTCTTCGATGATACCCTTTGGATGGAAAACAAGAGAAGGCACCTTTTTAGTTATGACTTCGTGAGTATTAAACTTGATTGGTCTATATTATCTATCGAGACAATATTCTTATGGTTGGGCTATTATATATTGATCTTGTTGGACCAAACCTAAGATTATAGCATGGCTTTATCAAATATCTAAAAATCCTAGAATGGTTTTTAGATAAAAATCTAGGCTACAATAATTGAGTTAATTATCTAATTGTTTTGTTATAGTTAATAGTTATAGTTACTCAGCCCTTCTATTTTCCTTTTTATTTGCGTAATTACGGTTATTTTTAGCTATTGTTCGGCACTCCAAAATAATTTTTTGATTTCATATGGTATCAAAATTATGTGTGTATGAAATAATTTATCAATTAGTCCTACACAAATTGACTAAATTATATACTGTAATTTGAAGAAAACTCAGCAAATTTGGAACAGAATAACGGGGCGACATCACTAGGCTTAATTGGTCAAGTATAACGTGCCACGGTCAGATCCCTATAAATTAATATGCATTGGCCATATATATATATATATATATATATATATAGCCCTAAAAGAGTACTTACACGCTGGTTTTAATTAATTAATATGCATTATAATGAAGGGTAAACATACAACAGTATACCTCATTGGCCATGGACATAAGAGCTTGAGCTAGGAGTTCCCATTGATAGCAACTCTCTTCGGTTGTTGGATCCGGTGAGCTTCTACCGAGGAATGATAAAACCATTCGGCCTCCAGCGACCAACTCTTCGGATCGCGATCTTAGAAACACCGAGAAATCGGTTTGGAATTGAAGAGCATAGGCCTTATGTGCACTCTTAGGACTTGTCTTTGATAAGTATATTTTCCCTCTGTTGTCTAAATCAGCTGTTATGGCCACTCCAGCTTCCTTGTCCAACTCACCACATGGAACCTTATGTATGAATCATGATTTAAATTCTTAGCACGTACTGTTTACGAGACGATATGCAATAATTTGATGAACTGAAAACGCTATTTACACCAAGAGAAAAATAAAAAATTAAAACACTATGTGGACCACGTTGGTGTTTCTCGTGTGTGTGTGATGTGTGAACCACTAGGTTTCTGTTTCTGTTTTTTTGTTTTGTTTTGGTTTCTCGAATAAGAAAGATTCCCACGCACTTATTTTCGCTTAATAAAAGGTATATTACTTGCGTAAATATTTTCTTGATACTGTATCGTGAAAGAACACTTTCTTATGAAAAACCTGTCGCGATTATCATAAAGTTGTTAAAAATCAAATTTACTAATTATAAAGAATTTTACTATCTCGAAATATATATTTTAATTAAAATCTGATGAACACTTTCTTATGACGTCATTCTAGTATATTAGATTTGATAATTCATTTCGAGAATTACCACTAACTTTTTAATATTAGCTCGTTAATATTATAAGTTATTTTTAAAGATCGTAAATAAGTTCCGCATAGAGAAAACAGAAAAGCACACCTGAGATAACCAGTGCAAACTAGAAGAAGAATAAACAAAGTGAAGGCTCCGGCGAGGAAACAAACGGCCGTAGAAAGAGCCAGGAACCGCCGACACAAAACACGGTCCTCCTTGGTCGAACCCTAAACCTTCCTTCTTATTATTGTCTCTCTTATTAAGCCGGTCGTAAAACTCCGGCAACGAAGCAAAAATGTAGTTGAAGTCATTGCTAGGGAGGTCGTTGAGAGAGACTCTGAGCTCAGGGACTGGACGGTCCAGGTCATGAGCACACAAGTTTTGAATTGTTTGTACGATGTTAGAGATGGACAAGAGACTGTTGGGACCCGAGGAGCAGCCTAAGTCGGCGATTCCAATGCTCGAAATTTCTGAATTGCTCATCATTAGCTTCTTCAAGGCCTCGTCCATCACTCTTCTGCCTAATGATATTATGTTGCTCTGCGAAATTAAAAAAAAAACATAATTTGTCATTACATTTTTAGGTCTAAAACTAAAATATATATATGGGTTTTGACACTACAATCTAGATTTAATTTACATAAGACTACTATGAATATGTTTTTGATATAGAGTCAACCTGAACGATAGAATTTTTGGCATAACTCGTATCACCGTTTCCTTTGTTCATGTGAAGAATTTTCATTACTTCCATTTTGTTTTTCTCTCCCTCTTTCTCTCTATGCCTCTTTCTGAGACAGAAGGTTGTAATGAAGATAATAAGTGATGTTGGGTCGGTATATATAAGGAAAGAGGCAAAGTATGACAGCCACATGCATGTTATGTACGTTGAGTTTATCTCTTCATATGTATACGGCGGTCTCTTTGACGAGTATCATTTGTAGTTCAACGTCATTAAATTCAGTACGCAAGTCATTCTCGTATAGGAATTAAATATTCCATATTACAGCTTTGAACTGTATAAAAAAAAGATAACTAAAATATAACGGGAAAATCTAAATAATAGTAGCCTAGTTAATTAATAGTCAATCTCTCGTGTAAGTTGAGATAGAAGATAGACCACATCTGATTTATAGTAGATCGTACAAATTTTTAATTCGTAAAAACGGAAGCAAATAACCAGAACCAATGGCTAAGCAAGGCGTATGGAAATTGGTATCTTCAGGTTGGGTCCATAAGTATTTGTTCTTCTGATCTTCTCTTAGTCTTACAGGAATACAGGTACTGATGATCGATGACAATAATCAAGGGACATATTCTGTGTGTTTTGGGATCCTTTATCCTTATAATACATACAGTTGTACGGTAATCTCTCTCTCATACTATTGATATTAATCTGATAACAAAAGTCGAATGTAAAAATCCGATAATCTTGTATCGACCGCTTGGTGGAAAAATTATTAGAAAAGAAGAATATTTCACGGTGGATGGTTAAAAAGAATGAAAATTGTTGATTATAGCTAAGAAAAACCTGAATTAGATGAGACTTTTTTATGTGACAATATTAATGAAATAACGGTGTTCTATTTGGTATCTCTTCGGTACGAAAACGATTTTCTTTTTCGTTAGGTCAATTAAAAAAAAAACTTAATTGTTATGCTAAATTGGGATTAACATCGATGAGCTTTGTGAGCCTTCAATTGAAATAGGGGTTCGGACCAACCTCATATGGAAAATCACACCAAAACACTATTAGACCAAGATTTCTTTGGTGAAAATTCAAAAACTAATTGGTCTAGATATTGAGATTGATCACGATAATATATTATTGATTAAGAATAAGTAGGGCTAATTAAGTAGTTAACAGCAAACTTCCATTTAAGATTATTTTTGAAGGTTGACACTAATTAATACAAGGCTTGTTTAACTCAAGCTCTCACATTTTAGGAAACATGAACTTATTAGGACTATTCAAAACAAATTTTATAATTAAGACTAACCACAAGCAAACAATTATAAACTAAAACTTCTTGGTCGATTATAAATGATGAAGGATTAGTGTTAATCTCGACTGGCAACTCATATTTCTTAGTAACATGATCCTATTAAGAAAAAAAAAAAAAAATCAGAACCAGGTTTGGGATGTCCACTAGCTACTCGTAAACAGACAATTATAAAGTACAACTACTTGATCTAGTCTACGTAGTGTCTAACTGATGTGCCTAAGGATTTCTCTAAATCGACGACTGCATGCTACTGCTTCAGTTATATATTAATTTTTTTTGGTTTTGTCTTTTCGAGTTTTTAAGGTAGGCAAGAAAAAACCAGATTAGGTCACTTGTTTGTTGTATTGTATATTTGTATGAGCAACAATATGGTCCCATATTTTTATTTATACGTTTTAAAAAAAAATGATATGGTCCATATTTATTTTATAAATAATCCTAAAAAAACATGATATGGTCCCATATTTATTTTATAAATAATTATAGGATCTAAAAATGTTAACAAATGTGGAAGTTCTCTTAGCCTACTGGTTAATGAGTTCATTAATGTTTTTACACTAAGAGATTTCATAACTTGTAATAGAATAATAAGTCAGTGTTAAAAAAAAAAAATACCAACAAATACGACGTACCGACCAATTTTTTTAAGAAACCATTTTGATCAACACAAGACAGAAGCCCCAATACTTAGAGATATACGAGATCAATTAGGCATATAAAGCTCTCAAATCTATAGATATTAATATAGACCGAATAAAGCTCCGAACTAAAACTTTAACGAAATAAAAAGATCCGAATTAAAATATATATGATTTGACTTCTTTTCGCTTGGACCACGGCATATAATTCGTGGAACAATGTTGAAATTCGAATTATTCCTGGAAGACAATATGTGTGAGAAAACACATTAGTAATTTTGTCACGTTTTTTTTGTTCTACAATAGGCAGACGGTCTATAGTATTCAAGTATTGGTACAACGGTATCTAAGAACGAATTTGTACGGTATCGAAAGTTCGAAACTATAAGTAATATTTTATCTATTGACTAATTTTATTTATTTCGGTACGATCTTATTTCTTGCAAGCAAAATATCAACCTAGCTACTTTCCTTATCCGCCTCCATAACCATAAGTAATGATATTTCATTAATTTCATGATTACACTATTAAAATGAAAGAAAGAAAAAGAAGAAGAAGGAATTCTTCGTGAACCACGTGGGCTTTGCTGCCAAAGAATTCTCCAACGCGAATAGATTGCCAAAAATGAGGTAGTAATTTCACGTGAACATTCTGCTTCAACGGTCTGACGATGCGCCTTTATACAACGAGATGGGAGTGTTTTTTTTTTTTTTAAATACAATGTTAATACTCGTTGCATTAATATTTAATACTCGTTGCATTAGACTACTACCCTTTTTGATAAATTTTAATACTCGTTGTATTATTATTATTTTATAATCAAGATTTTTTCGGATATGTGACCTATAGTCTACCCGAACTCGACCAGAATTTAATAATATCCTTTTAAAGCATTATTCATCTTTCTTCACTTTCAGTGCTCTAACTTGAGTCTCCCCCACTCCCTGGATTGTTGCCTGGCAAGTTTCACGCTTTTAGTATTTGGTGACACAAATTTCTTTAGAGAAACCTATAAATTCTCGTAAATATGTTAACTAATAAATCTTCAGTCATATGATTCACATTACTAATTATGATCGCCATTTGTTGTTTTCTTTGTAGATATGATAACATGTCTTTTAAAATATGTTATTTAGAACTTTAGCGCGTTCAGACTTCGGGGGGAAAAAAAAAAGAACGTGGGTGATTTTGTCTGGATTGTTTTTAATTTTGGATATTTAATTAATTAAGAATATCTGAATATGACATAACTGATGATAAAGCTAACTCTCGAAGTTAATTATAGATGATTGAGAAAGAAGGGACTCTAGTCTAACTCGTGTTTGCTTTCCTGTTTGGTGAGCTCAGACGAGGAAATAACTAATAAGAAAAAAGCAAAATATGTTTCTGGTGTGATAATTTGGCACACACTTATAGCGCAATGCTCTCATTTACTTTATAGCACAATGCTCTCATTATACCTATTCGTGATTTTTACCGCGACTTTCTACAATTTTCATATATCAAACAATTGTTGGACTACAGACATATAGTTGATATTAAAAAAATATTAAAACCTTTCTATTGAAATTAATAATACCAGAACTGAAATTAAATGTTTGTTTATTTTAAGTTCGTTAAATTCTTATGTTTATTATTGAATTTAAAGTTCATAATTTTCTTTGGTGAAGATTATAGCATAGTGTAAGTTAGTATTTACCTCGTCGACTAGGTTCCAACTCAAAACCTAATTCTATTATCTATATTTCTCCAAAAACATTTATGCATTCAGCCAATTTAGCATTTCAAGAGGATTTTTTCGTTGTAATTTCTCTTTAAATATTTTTTAAAACAAATTTTTATTCTAATAACTTTTGTGCACTCTTAGATGAATGATCATTTTTTTTTTAACTCAACAACTCAAATTTTATTAAGGGACATTTTTACAATGTTAAAATATTAACTTGCAGTATAGCTCTAATCCAACTTGGGACTCTATGTAACAATTAAATAAATCATATTCTGTAATTTTCTTTGTCAATACATCCGCTACAAGATGAATAATTCAAACTACAAAGTTGGTAAAAGTAAAAATTATGACTGGATTTCCATGTTTTTCCATAAATTCAATGTTTTAGTTTTAGCAACGGATATCTTATCGCCAATTTCTAAAAAGCCAAGTTAAGAATCTGCATCGACTACTCAAGGAGTGAGGCAGACCTCTTGGAAGGAATTTTCTGCAAATTTCATTTGCTTTAATAATAGAGTTTTTTTTTGGGGAATTGTCGATTACATAAAAGTTAAAATCTATTAGAAGATCCTAATATCTAGCATTAGAATACATAATAGACATAATATTACGGTTATATGGAGTGAATTCAAACCTTGATAGCTATCGTGATTAAGCCACGTAAAGCATTTCGAAAATTTAAAATCATATACTTTTCAGATCTTGTATAGTTTGGTTATATTCTAAACCCCATAGTACAAAATCTCTAAATCATGAACCAAACTACTTGCATAAAACAAAGCATATATCTTGACTTTTAAAGTTGTGTGGATACAAAGGAGTCGCTCATGAAAAAATCACCTTTTTTATTGATGTTATTGTGGTTGAAAAAAAGCAGTCTTATTCATATTCGCTAAATTTGATAGAGACTAATCATGGCCTAATTAATATATCTTGTTATGTCAATTCATATTGTACTATCTTAAGATTCGATTCACATTTAATTAACGTTTGGCTGGGCCTAACTAAATGTGTTACAACTCATATAGCAAAAAGAAAACGACTATTTGTGTGGCATTGTAATGCATGAATCCTTATTTTTAGGGAAGATTGTCAAATGGCAAGTAAAAGAGGTTAACAAATTGTACCTGAAACTTGTGACCAGTCCTTTGTTTGGTTATATAAACATGTGGATAGTGGATGAGTCCCCTTTCCTCTAACATGCAAGACCATACATTATACAATTCATGTCACAACACAGAGTTGATTTCTTTTATTTTTCCATTTCTTTTTTTATTTTTTAATATTTGGACCTCTAAAAAATCCAATGTCACAACTCACAAACACCAATTAATAGTATCAAGCAGATCCAACAAAGGACGTAACAAGGAAGATTAGAATGAAATCTCACTGCAAGTTACTTCTTATCTTATATACATGAAAATCCACTGAAACATGCCTTCAGACCTATATGTGCCAATCTTCCATGCTCTATAATCAGATCGCTTCACGATCAATTTTTGTTGATTACCTCGCAAACTTGAGTTCTCTTCACCAGCAGAACTTCTTCCTCTGCATTCTCAACCGTTAAAACATAGATATCGAAATAAAAGGAAAGCAAACTTAGCTGTAAAAAAAAAAGACTAACCCGGTACTTAGCTTCCTCTTGCCGGTCTATGTAACCCAAAAGTTCTTCTTGCTTCATTAAAGCCTCATGTAATGCCTGCTCAAGACCGATTAATTACAAGGTTCATATATAATGACTCATTATCAGCATCATCCGTCGTTAATACCTTTTTCGTGGTGATGAGCTCTGCTTCTAGTGCATCCACGCGATAAACAGCAGCATTGAGCAACTCTTCTTTCTCGTGAGGCATCTCGGATTTCCTTAAGTGAAGGGTTTCTACCTGTTTCTCAAGATCACCTAGTCTGCTTAAAACAGAGGAAATAGCAACTCTTTCAGTGATGGAACTTGGACGAGAAGGCGAAGGAGGACGAGACTCTCTCGCATTTAGTTCATCACACAGCTCAGATCTTGCGCTTGAAGAAATCAACTGTGAGTGTCTTTTAGTCTGTGGCAGAGACAGAGAAGCGAAGAGTGCGAAAAGGTTTACAAAGAACGCAGCTAGCCACCTGCAGCTATGACTAACTGTTCCTATTTTTCCAAAACTTGATGAATATTCCGGACCTGCAACACGTTCCATTATATGTCTGATTTTCACCTGCTTTTGAAATCAGAAGTATTTGGTTTCCAGTTTTACCTTGGGAAGCGTTTGACATCTCTTGGGACTGCCAAGAAACATCCACAACTTTGTCCACCATTGGCACACAGTCTTCATACTCAGATAAAACAGTAGGACTCATTTTACCATTGGCCTTGATCTAAAGTAAAGCATTAACAGCACGCCAAGGTCCGGTAATTAAGAACTAAGAACCTCAATGTTTTTTTATGCCACTTTTATAAATTGAGATCGCTTACAGTTTCAGAAAGAGGAGTCAACTTAGGTACATGATTTGTTTTCGGTGAAGCCATCTCTTCCAATTCAGACCCTGACTCTGCTGTTGATGTGTCACTAGTTTTCATCTGAGCAAAGAGAAAATATACTATTACAGTCTGATAAAAGAAAACGTAAAAACTTTACGTTCCAACTAGCAAAAAAAAACCATTACCCCATAATAAGTTGGCTTATCAGATGAAGAAATTTGGGAATCACTGCTTAGGAAAGCACCAGCATGCCTACAGAACGTCCCACCACCGCGACCCATCTGCATGAAGGCCGAGAAAGTCATTAGGTGAACATATATATGCATAACAGAAACATAAGGAAGAATCAAAGACACAAGCACTCCACCTTTAGTATCTCAGGGTCTTTCCAAGGCCCTTTATCAGATCTCATACATCCTCCTTGATCTGCACAAGCGCAAGTACCACCGAGAAAATCTGGCAGCTGGCTGATGAACAAGTTCCCAATATGGTCAGATGTTCAATTATACTCTGGAGATGTATGATAAGAAAACATATACACTTGAGACTCAAGACTCCCTACCTTGCATCAATCATCTCAAGTAATTTGTTCTGGTACTTGTTGCCAAGGACCTATTAAGATCACATTGCTGCAAATTAAGTTTTCTACAATAAAGAAATGTAAAAGTGGATAGCAACGGTTTTTTTTTTTTTTTTTAAAGTTACATCTATCTTAGAGACAGTCTTAGGATCAAGAAACGATTTCACCGTGCCCCAAAGTAGCTTAAAACCAGGGCCGGCATTGATGATGAACATACGGTGAAGTGTCTGCACATACATATGTCATACCACATGTTATATTAGACTATGCTCAATAACAGATTCTGTAATCACAAAAATCAATGGCAGGAGCAGACAATACCTCAGGGTAGTTGTCATTATCAATCTTTTGCAGCTGGGTTATAAGATCCCGCGCAGATTTAGTAAAATTCTTGAGGCCCTGCAAACATGTTTAGACGATGCAGAGAGCCTAAAGGAAACTGCACAAGGAAAGGTCTCAAAACCTGGTAAGAAAAAAGAAGAAGAAGACATGTACCACGCCTTGGACGTCCAGAATCGTTGTACTGGAGTCGATGTGTCTCTTAGCAGCGATGCAGCAAGCCGGGAACTTGATAGTGACAGTTTTCTCAAACTCTTTAACATGATATCTCAAGTACCTTTCCAATGTAGTCACTTGCAAGAGTTTGCAAGGGTCGACTCTTCCCAATCTTTCGATGTAAACAGGTCTTCCTTCCTTGTCAACACCATGATATCCCTGAGGGTAGTACTTGAGAACTTGATCCAATTCAGGAAACTCAAAGTCCTACGAGCCAAGAAATCAGTCAACAACCATCGTTAAATGTATTTATTTTAGCGCAACAAATGGGGATAACAAATTTTATATACCTCCAAAATTGTGTCTGTACCAAAATCCCTTCTCCATTGAACCATGTTAGCCCACATTAACTTTGCTTTTCCAAGGTCAAATTTCCTTGCATAAAGGAATCTGCAGAAAGACGACATGTGATGAAACAAACAAACAAGAACAGGAGATGATTCAAAACGAAAGAGAAAAAGACCTCAACATCATGTGATAATCATCAAGACTTGGAGGAAGCAGAGCAGCAGAGAGGAGAGATTGTCGGAATTCAGAGACGAATCGGAGTTCATCGGCATCATGAATGTCTTCAAAGGTAAGAGATGGATAACGATCGATGCTTCTTCCCTTGCTTAGCCTTCTTCTCTTGCTCAGAGAACGCCTGAGTTTGCTAGAAGCATTTGATGCTTTCTTCTTGAAAATCCCGATTCTAGTTTTTTTCTCGTCCTCTGAAACCTCGAAATCCGACTTCCGTTGTTCTCTTCTCTCATCGCTGTTGGAGAAACCTTCAAAACCTGAGGGGACAAACATAATTAACAACATACTCAAAACTATCAAAAAAATTCATAATATCGATCTCATAAAATCGATTCAGTAACTGTAAAAACCCTAGCGAAAAATTGGCTAAATCGATGACGGATGCAGAAAGGTGAGAAATTTACAGGAGGGTCTTGTGAATCGATCAAGAGGACCCGACATGAGGAGAAATCGATCGAACTTGAAGATCCGGAATCGAGCAGCCGAAAGAAAGAGAAAACAGAGAGCTTCAAGGCAGAAACGGTAGAGGAGGAGGAAGGAAAGTTACTGAGGAAATTTTTAAGTTTACTATGAAATAAATATGGTAGTAATTGATTTCATGGCAGCCGGGAAGACAAAGAAATTTCTGACATAAATGTTTTCAAAGATTTTTTCCTTTTCGTCTCTGCCTCTTCGTTTTCTTCCTTTCTGATTGATTTTTTTTTTCTTACCTCAAACTCGAAAGCGGTTAGTTATTACAATTGCCTTTCACACAACAAAGACACATGTCATCGCTCTTGGCGGGAACTCGCTTCCAGTTTTGCCGTTTTTTCTGTTCGATAAGATTTCGCTTACACTTTCTGTAACTAAGTGTTTTTAATAGGTTTTCTTACTCTCGTGTAATTTTCTCTATTCCTTTGTGAGTATTATCTAATCTTTTTATCTGGCGTCGATTTATTATTACCTTTGCGCAAATTTGTATCTGCAGAATATCTAGTAATTAATTACAAATACGTTGCTGACCCAACCAAAAAAAAATCTGGACAAAATAAATATTAATTTATTTAGAGTATTATACGTGGCGGCCCTACTTCCAGTTATCCGGCTTGTGTAATAATGTGGCAAGGATTAATGACAAAAACGAAGATTGCGAAACATTATTTTTCCTTTTGTAAATCAAACAGACTGGTTCATTAAAATATTCATTTATCGAGTAGGTTTTAATTACCCATATTACAGAATACAGATGATGATCGATGTATTATATGTACACATCACTGATTCCATGAATCACGATCAAGCTATACGTTACATTGTTTTGTTGTCCTTTTACTACGTGCACAAGTGTAGATAGACAGAAAAGTATTTCTCCAGTCTCCATCATACAAGAGAGATTTTTATTTTTGCAGGCATTTCTTCCACCACTTGACCATAGCTTCTTTATTATTTACATAAATTTTTATACATAAATACTTTTCGTCTCCCAGCTGCCTGAAGAAGAAACACACGGCACTATTTGCTAATCTTTTTGCTTGCGTATAAGAAGCCGTTTGAATGAGCCCATATTAACAATACCTGTCATGTGTATTTTCTTAGTTTGCGTTTTGCCTGAAACTGGCCAAGCTTGTCTCTCCACTCGGCTGTAAAATCATTGAAACCAAACAACACATATTCATCTCTCATTCTTTGACCCAATTACATAAAAACCAGTCAATGATAACTTGCACACTAAAATAGAAAATTCATAAAATATTAATCACTTGATTTCAAAAGGTTTGAAAAGAAATATATGCTTCAAACATTACGTCTCTCAAAAGAAAAAAGGATCTTGAAATGAGGAGAGTGAGACTAAGCTTACCGGCTTCATCATACCGTTCTTCATCAACAGCTTGCATCATGTTGCTCAAGAGATCAAACTCTTTTGTATCAAGACAAGGCTGACCATTTGGCCTACACAAGAAAAAAAAACACCGTTATTAAGTTTCTACTTGTCAAATTCTCAAATAATTGTATCTTCAATGACTGATTAAATTAGAGACTTAGAATTACCGGTCTAGTTCAGTAAACAATAAACCATCTGAAGCAGGTGTTTGCTTCGATATCTTTCCGGACTCGATGACTCTCATTCCATCACTATAAGCTAGATACTTGTTGACTTGGATAGGTACCTAAAGAGTGAAGATTGACACCATTTCTCAAAAGTGAATACGTATTTTGTTGTATTCGGTTAAGATGATCTCTTCATGGAGAGACCTCTGTGTTATTTGTTCCCCTTAATTAAAAAGAAAGAATTGAGTTATATGGTTATGGTAATTATAGCTATACCTTGCATCTAACAGCTATGTTAATTGCATCTGAAGGACGAAGGTCGAAGCTGACACAGTCCAACTTATTTCCCACCTGCAATTCCATCCAGAGCAGCCTTAGTATAAGAAATTGAAATGAGATACTAATAGATAGCGGATTTTGAATGTCGAGGCAACATTTGATAAAAATGAATGGAAGATGCATTTCTAGGCCAGAAGCTGCAAACCTTTGAAAGGTATAACTGTGCGAGATATGCCTCATGAACTCTTGTGGTAACTCTAACAAGCCTAACCTGCAAAAAAAGTAGGCTCATTCGACATACAAGAATATGTATTGCATCTGGGAGAATAACAGAAAAAGAGGAGACAGGAATTGTAAGTAAGGCATACCTCGTAACCCATCTTGTCTACCATCTCCTTCACCACTTGGTACATAGTGGGTCTTGCCTACAAACCAAAAATATTCCATAAACCCTCTCTCCATAAATCTTGACTGATTCAAACAGCAGATAACACAAAGATTACAGAAAGCATACTATTTGAACATTTGTCATTGCCGCCATAAGTAACGCACTAGGCATCTCCACTGCAATGAAAACCAATATAGAAAATAGGATGTTCAAAACACCGAGGACGATGGAAGTTTCAACACAAAATTAAGCCTGCAAACGAAATAATGAGTTCGATATCACATACAGACGATAATGGGAAGAAGAAGACCAGTTCCATCTTCCATTTTCAGCACAATTGCAGAGTGTGGAGCATAATTTGGAAGCTTCCCTCCCTGAGGATTATTGTG